GTTTAATTTCATTGCGTGGTCAAATCCAAATTGGTTCCATTTCATTGTCTTTAGTTGGACATCTTGATCGTCAACTTTTCCGCAGCCACTTTCATCGTTTGTTCACAAGTTGACAACCTAATGCCAACTTTCATAAAAAGGTTTTCAATTTAATCTCTGAAAATGAACTAAACTTAATTCTAGAATACTGAGTGTCGTGGCTGACTTCTCCTATTCTCTCTACTTGGTCCATTTCCCGATTTTCTGCCTTTTTCACAATGAGAGTCTCAAGTTTGAGTCATTTTGGGGTACGTTGAGATTTATTAACGGAGTAATCAAGAATTGCTTGTCTTAGCTGCCATACCAACAGGTTCAACTAGTCAAATTGTTTGGAAAAAACAAAAAATTTTTAGTTTTTCTACAAGCGCTCAGCGTGAGTCTATTGATGACAATCGTTTTTCATTATTCTTTTGAACGATATTTCTTTCGGTCCTCAAATAAACGAGCTTTCGGCTTCATTGGTATGTTGTTAAAAGATTTCTTCCAACTAAATCGGTAGCACACTCCTTTTCAGGCATTATGTATTTGCTGATCGGACTTGTCGCCTTTTATGATCTCACTTTCGGAGGAATTTATTGGCGAATGTCAAGAAAGAATGGTTCTTTTATGTTTGAAGAATAAATTCTACAGCTTTTTAATTGTTTATGCTTACATGTTAATGCTTTGAGCTAATAGTAAGATTCAAAAAGAAGAATGCCAAAGACTGAAACTCTATAAGACTGATGATCTTACAACAAACAAACAACAAATATGGTCTTACAGGGTGGTCGATAATATGTACAGAGTTGTCCAGAATTACGGGGACTGGGGGTATCTTTGATCTTGTATATTTTTGCTTACAATTTATATATTGTTTTTGTCCTTGTTTTGGTTTATTTATTTAACTTTTTACTTACATCCGATTCTTTGAAGAAAGCCCTTCAGAAGGCTTGGGATGAGCTGGACACGCCCTACCTTCTCGGCACCGTGGACGCGTTCTCAAAATGCCTCCAGGCCTGTGTTGCCGCCAAGGGAGATCTTTTTAAAAAAAGGAAACTTTTAAGTTAAATTACTGTATTATAATAAATTTTTGCTGTTTTGGTGCCATTTTAATGTAAGGTGGTCCTTAAATCCTCAAATCCTTTAGTCCTCGTTATTCTGGACAACCTTGTATTACATGAAGGCAGATCAAGTCGACAATGTGCCAGATTACTTAAAGTTTGTTATAATTTCATTTTTATAACATTTTCACACTTATATTTCAATTTTTAACCCGATCGGTCGGCTGTAAGAAAAATTAGGGCCATTAGAAACTCCGTAAATAAAATCATCTGGCACAATGCAAATTGTCTTATGAAATCGTGCTTAAAATGCTTAAAATCTCAAAACTCTTTCTCAAATGTTATTTTGTGCTTTTTCTATGTTAATTTCATAAACAAATTTTTGTTTGAGCTATCATAGAATCAAATTTTAATTGCTTTAATTGTCGCCATGATGAAATCGAGATGAAATAAGCTTATTTTGGGTGTTTTAGAGGATTCCAAAACTAACATTAGGCCAAAAGCCCAAAGCAAAATGTAATAATTTTAATTTTATCACCCTTTTGAAAGCACCAATAACTAATTAAAATCACTGAAAAGTTCCGTGCTTTCATTTTAATCAGCAGTCTTTATGGACAAAAGCATCTCCGTGCCAGACGGAACCTACGGAACTTCTAATGGCCCTAATTTTTCTTATAGCCGACTGATCGTGCTACAAATTGAAATATAAGTGTAAAAGTGTTATAAAAATGAAATCATAACAAAGTAATCTGGCACATTTTCGACTTAATCTGCCTGCATATAGGGTGTAACACATCTTATGGGCCACACTGTAAGATTGAAACAGAAGAATACAAAGACTGAAATTCTAGAAGACTAGCTGATAGGCACAAACAAATATTGGCAACTGGTATTAAAGTTTTATTTGCGTAATCAGTTTTTATTGCAGAATAAAAAAGAGGAAACTTTGAATTATTTTTGGTTTCTTTGAGAGCAGCTTGCTGTGAGTCGACTCAGACAGCCATCTTCGCGAATTTTGAGTTGAATCTGAAATTGAATTTGATTTATTTTGAGCTCAGTTCCAGATTGCCTTAATTCCTTACTCATTATTAGCTGGGAGCGGGAATTCAGCTGGAGCAAGCTCTCTCTTCTTTCGACCGCAACTCCAGAAAGCTCCGCAAGCACTAAAATCAGATTGTCTTTTGCGGTTTGAGATCTATGACTTTGCATAACTGCATTGATTGATTATAAATTACAGTAAACTTTTGTCGTACACATACAATAGAACTTACTCGGTGACGACGAGAAGACTGACAAGGACGAGAAGGAATGAGAAGATCTTCATTTTCGATTTGTTTAATGAGAAATGTTTTGGTTGAAAGTTGAGAGTCCTTGCTTTTATACCAACTTTCGATGAACTCATATTTAAAATTTGTTTCAAATGATCTATGCCAATTCGTGGAATATCATAGTTCCTGTTTACTATTCAGTCTGGAGGAGTATTTTTTGAAAGAGAAAGGCGAGTTCTTTATCCGTTCCACTCACCCTTTGTTCCCGAAATGAAAAATGCGAGTGAAATGAACAAAAAATAGATCACGATCTTGAAAAAGATTCCCGGAAAAACAGGAAAAGAAACGAAAAGAAAAAGATCGAAAGAAAAAGATTAAAGTTCCAAGAAATCCAGCAAGGCAGATTGTTTGGCGACTAATTATTCATCACTTATCATCTTTTATCAATTTCGTTTTAAAAAACTCATGGTTTTGTATTTTTTGCTCTTAATCCTTTAAGGATTAATATGAAGACTGTTAGCTGAATGGAAAGTTCAATGCTTACATTTTCAAGTAGACTGTCTTTTGATTGGGAAAAAAGTACATTTGTTAAGTATTTAGAAGATATTAGTTAGAATTTCATTAATTCCAATTTCTCAATTGACCCCCAAAGTTTGCAAAAAGAGGCGTTTGACTCAAAGGAAGACTACACAACAAATAAATGTTTCTCCTTTCCAAAAATAATTTCTTTCAGCAAACTCGATGCAGCAAAGAACCCTCACAACCAAGTCGAGTACAAAAGATCAGCAGTAAGCCATGAATCAAGGCAAACTCATCTCAAAAAATGCAAATAAATTCTGATAAGGTAACTTCAGCGTCAGGGAATTAGGATAAGCTGGCAAAGGAATGTCAATTGGGTGTGGTGGCCATTTAACATGTGACACGATTTACCCGACGCAGAATTCAACGCCGATTCCTAATCTGCTTTCCGTTTCTGTTATAAAGCACTCTGTCAAGAGTTATAAGCATGCAAAGTTTTGTATGCAATTTCAAAAGTCGCACCCTGAGTTTATAAGCAAATTTCCCAGAGGCTCTAAGAAGCAATGGCGGCTGAGTGGCAGTGGGTTAGAATACAAGGCAAAGTCTGTCTAGTTCGAGTGCGCTGTTTCACTTTTTTCTTTTGTTTTTTGGATTTGTAAAGTTAATTGTTCTCCATTTCAAATACAAATTTATTTTAAACTACTTCTCATAAAAATCTTTACTTTTAACATCAAACAGCTATCATTAAAGCCCGAAAAAAACTTTGACATTGATGACAACATCGATGAAAAGGTGGAGAGGGAAAAGCATAATTTGACTACAGGAAGGCAGCATAAAATTTGAAAAAAGCATCGTTTGGAGTATCGAATAAAACTCCCTTATTGTCATTAGTGAAGAAGTCTTGTTTTTTTGGAATTTAATGATAGCTGATAGTTGGTTGATGTTAGTAGCACATGTCATTTGGCCACCACACCCAGTTGACATTCACTTATGAATTGATTTTCAAACCATCACCTAAAAATAAAGTTTAACTTCTGTTCTAATCTGTTTTTACTAAAACCTTTCATCCAAAAACTCCGATCAACAAATGGGAAAAAGTCAACAATTGGAGAAGAATTTGATGTGTTTTTGTGTTGAAAAGTTGAGAAAAGGCCTCTTTGCTTACACTTTTGATCTCCATTAGTCATTTTCAATACTGAAAACATTTGCTGCTTTTAAATTTTGAAAATTTTCCAACGTCTGGCCATTTTCTATAGATTTTTGAACTCCAATCAAGTGTATCATTGAAATTTTGAACCTTTTTCACACCTTGATCACCTCTTTTATTTGCTGATCGAATTTTCCCCTCGTGATGAAGCAAAATTTTGATAAACGAACCTTGGAGTTTTGTTTGATTAAGCATTGAAGAGATTTTTAAGGTCTAGAGGTTTCAAAGAGTGGAGACTGAGGAATCGGTTGACTCTCAGCTTTCTAAGTTGGGTAACTGAACCAAAAAGCTTATCGTTCAACAAATATCCAGTAGCTCTGGCTTAATAGTCAGTTCGTTAGGCTTGTCATTTTTAAATGGCACTTTCAGAAATCCGGAACTGAGAATTTCAAATCCGGAAGCAAAGAGTAATAGCATTTGTAAGCAATCTCTGTAAAAATTCTTTCCATTCACGTGAAAAGTGCTTCCGAAATTTCCGCAAATACTATTTGTCATCCATAAACCCTTGAGTAAGGAATTCTTCGGATTCACGTGAATCCAATCCCCATATTGCACCACCTTCCAGAATTCCTCTTTGATCTCTGCCCAATTCTCTGCTTTTTCAAGTTTTTGCTGAATTCGTCTAGTGTGAATGATTAGTTTTCATGACCTCTTTGCTATAAATGGGCTGCCTTTTCAAGGATTAGAAAATTACTGAACGAATCGTTTCTCTGAGTGATAGCTGCCTTCTTTGGAACTCTTCGCTCGTTCACCGTTTCTTTTTTCGGCAAAAGGAATTCCATTGATAAGCTCCAATTAGTTGAGCGCACACATTTTGGCCACGCTTCTTTCACGCCATCTTTCTTTTTAAGTGTTTTGTTTTCTGATTTTGATGAATGATCTAATGAATTGTTTAGTTGTTAACCTAGAGAGTGTCTGCTTTGATATATGGTGCAAGTGAATGTGGTGGGTATTGAAAATATTGAAAATACTACTTCTTATTGATTAAATAAGGTTATTGGGATCAATCTTAAGCAAATCTAATGGTAAAGTTGATACTTTGAAGCTCTAAATGACCAATAGCGATATCTAAAAATCTAGAGATCTAGAAATCTTGAAATCTGATCACATCTAATCAATCTCATCTCATAAAACTCATAAAACACTTAACTTTGGAGTTGAAATGAATGTGAAATAGTTATGAATTATGAATTATAGTATATAGTTATAGTTATGAATGTGAAAACCGGTAACCAATCGCATTTCAGGTGGCCACAGGTGGTGGCAATGCCGAAAGGCCGACCCACTCCCCAAAAGTCTCCTTTTTCGTCTACATGTTAGCATTTAGCGCTGTGATTGGTTTGAGTTAATATAAAGCTTTTCTACAAAAAAATCTAGGTGGTTTTCTGTTTGGATATGATACGGGCATTGTTTCATCAGCTATGCTCTACGTACCAGACAACAAAAATATGGATCCAATGAGCTCGGTGTGGCAGGAAATCATAGTCAGTTTGACACCGGGTGGGTGAAATTTAGACTTGATCAATGAAAAGATCAGTTATAAATCATCGCAATTCATCTTAGGAGTGGCAGCTATTGGTTCGCTCCTTTCTGGGACTGGATCAGATTGGTTGGGAAGGAAAAAGATCATCGTTCTCGCTTCAGTCATCTTCACGATTGGAGCGATCATCTGCGGTGTCGCGTTCAACAAAATCATTCTACTAGTCGGAAGGGTTTTGCTTGGATTAGCTATTGGTCAGTCTTGTACAAGCAACTACCATAAATTATGTAATAGTGGTCACCCTGCTCGTACAGTCGCGTAGTCGCAAAAGTTTTTTTCAAAGCGTATTTTCGTATTCAATTTTATTTAGTGTTTTACTTTCAAGAAATGCGTCTTTGATACCAAGAAATAGGCCTGAATTTCAGCTATTTTTTGACCCCTAAACGCGCATTGTAGCTTAAACCAGTGTCAAGAAAAGTGCGTTCAAAGCTAGACTATGCAGCACTCCACATCGTCATTATGGGGGTGCGGTACTATTACAGTATTTACGGTAAGTCTTGACTAGTTTATCAAAAAAGTTTATAGTTTATAGATATTGTTAACAAGTGCTTGCTTAAACTGACTTAAAGATTAGCTATGATCTTTGGCTTACAAGCGTAAACCAAATGGATTGTTAAGTAGTCAGAGTACAACTGTACTGAACAAACATTTCCAGGTTTTGCCTCAATGATTGTGCCAGTGTATGTCGGTGAAGCCTCGCCAGCTCATATCCGAGGCACAATGGTCACCGGTTTCCAATTGATGATCACTTTTGGCCTTTTCGCGGCGAATCTCGTTGCTGGTGGATTCTCGTACATTGATCCAAAAAATGTTGGATGGAGGTGAAACTTTATTTCAATTTCCCAATTTCCTCGATTTATACTTCTTTGTGGGTTCATTTGATCATTGAACGAAAAAGAAACTCTCCGTGTGAAAACAAATCCTCTTTTCTCTACCTTTTTCCCTCTTTCGCTCCCAAATGAGCTGAGAATTTTGAGCCTCTGAAATTGATAACAGACAACTAGCCAGCAAAGGGACATTCCAATAAAATTTTTCCGAAAAACATTCAAAGTGATGATTTTTGTTCTCCCAAAAGCTTGAAGAACTAGATCATTTGTCAGCATAGCAAGATGAATTGTTGAAGCAAACTCTTTGAGTTCACGTGAAAGACGTGTGAGGGTGGGAAATACGGAAAAAAACAGATGAAACTAAAAAAATAAAGTTATGACAATTTACAACAGTTTTCAGATTGATGTTCGGTTTCGCAGCCGTCCCAGCAGCGATCCAATTCGTCTGTTTCCTGTTTTTGCCGGAGAGCCCTCGCTGGCTCTATGAGCATGGAAGAAAAGACGAAGCAAAACAAGTACTGAAAGAATTTCTTGATGAGTTGTAATTTTATTTAGGTCTTGTCTAGGATTTATTCTGGAGATCAAGAATGGATCGACTATGAAATGGCCGAGATCGAGTTCTCGACAACATTGGAGAGGAAAGCGAAAGAGGAAGTTGCAGGTTAGCTTGGGCCACAAACCCACGTACTGTACATAGTACTGATACGTACTGCACATGGTACTGATACGTACTGCACATGGTACTGATACGTACTGCACATGGTACTGGTACGTACTATACATAGTACTGGTACGTACTTTACATAGTATTGGTGCGTACTGGTGCGTACTCGACATAGTACCGGCGGCTACTATGCATAGTACTGTGCCGTACTGTGCATAGTACTGGCACGTACTGAGATACCGTACATAGTACTCGTGCGTACTGGCAGACTTTACATAATATTGATACATAGTACTGGTGGTTACTATAAATAGAACTGGTACGTACTGACGTACAGTACATAGTATTGGTACGCACTATACATAGTATACGTACTCTAAATGCTACCGGTGATCCCTATAATTAGTACTGGTGCGTACTGTACATAGTACTGATAGATAGTGACGTACTGCACATAGTACTGGTGCGGACCGACGTACTGGCGCTTACTGTGTTCAATGTAAAGTTCAGGCGGTGGCTTGGTGATCACACGGATATTCGGCACGCCACATGTGCGAAAAGCGCTTCTCATTGGATGCATGCTACAAATGTTCCAACAACTCTCCGGAATCAACACACTCATGTAAAATTCAAGCCCACTAAGCATTTTGGCTTTAAAAACCAGCTAAGATCAGCCATTGCTTCAGGTATTACTGCGGAACTATCATCCGATCAGCCGGAGTCAAAGACAACCATCAAACGATTTGGATATCGGCGGCTGTGTCAAGTAAGGGAAAATCTCCAATCGAAAATCGATTCTTTCTAGGCATCAATTTCGTTTGCACTTTTATTCCAATGGTATTGATCGATCGATTGGGTCGCCGGGTTCTCTTCATCATTTCAGTGATCGGTGTCATTTGTTGTCTCTGCTTGATGTCCGGCGCGTTCATCGCCATCAATCATGTAACTTTGCATCTTGTTCAATAACTTATCTAATTCTTAGTCTTGTAACAGATCCAGTTTGTACTCTTAACAAGTAAATGCTTTGTTGCTTCCAGGATTCGGCAAAGAGCTGGGATCCAGCCATCTTCAGCGCTGCTGACGACACTCCACTATACAACCAATCAGCTAAACACGCCGGGCATTGTCGAGATTTCAAGTATATTACCTTACATGGTTAGGACTCCATACTTTTACAGAAACTGTGACTTTTGTGTGACTGATGACAGTTGTGGCTTCTGCGAGAATCACGCCACCAAAACGGTTTGATATTCATTGTTGAAAAATACCTTAAACTTTTAGGGTTATTGCCTACCATACCCGGATAAACACTCGGGAGATTATTCAGCGACTGGACTCTGTAGCAAAGGAGATTTCACATTCCAAAACGTAAAAACCCATTGAATTCTTAGAACAATAAGCTCTAGGGCACAAAATTCGAGTGGCAAGACACGTATTGCAAATCAAAGTTCACTTGGATGCCAATCGCGATCATGGTCCTTTATTTGTCCTCGTTCTCGATAGGTGAGTTTAACAATTCAGTCACAGTATATTTATGCTCTTGTTTTGACATTTTTCTGGATCTTTCTTTCTTAAACTCTTTCCAGGCTATGCTCCTATGCCCTGGGTGCTCAACTCGGAGTTCTATCCATTGTGGGCCAGATCAACTTGTGTCTCTATTTCCACAGCCACCAATTGGCTTTTCAATCTTCTCATCTCACTCACTTTCCTCTCACTTTCGCAAGCACTCACGAAATATGGTTTGTTTGGAGAAAATCAAACACAAAAGGGTTTAGTGGATCAGGATTTTAGAAGATGTTAGTCAGGATCGGTAATTGGTCAAGCCAAAGCCAGCGACTTTCATTCACTTAACTTGCCCTTGTTCTAACCTGAGATTTTGGCAGACTTGCCAAGTTTCTAGATTCATAATCAACCTAGTGTACTAGACAGAATCAAAACTGATCCAGGCCCAATTGACTCACTAATATGAATGCTATAACTGTAGCTTTCAGGTACATTCTTTTTGTATGCCGGCTTAACTGTGATCGCTCTGGTCTTCGTTATCATTTTTGTACCCGAAACGAAAGGGAAAAGTCTTGATGAAGTAAGAAAGGCAAAAGTTTTTTAAAGCAAATCTAAATTTCCAGGTGGAAATGCTCTTCATGACCGAAGAAGTTCGGCAGAAAAAGCTAGCTGAACTAGGAAAAAAAGAGCAAAATCTGTTTGAAGAAATCAGTTTACAGGATAAATTCTAGCAGTGGAAAACAATGAGAAACGGGTTCATTTCTCAGATAAAATTTGAAAGAATAAAGTTTATTCATTATGGATTTATTTGTACATCTTTCATCATACATTCATTCATCAAACGTCTTCACGTGCTCGTTTTCTGGAGGTTCATCTAAACATATGTTTTACTTTAAAGATTAAAGGCTGTTTTAATTAGATAATAGAGGCAGAGTCTTTAAAACTTTTGAGTTATTGAGTTTTGAGTTTGAGTTAAATGGTTTTCTTGAAACAGTGAGACAAAAGATCTAGTGTAAGAGTTTTACAGCAAACTCAAAAGCGATAAAGTAAAGTTCTCGTTTCCTTATAACTAGACTACAATTCACTATCTTTCAATTAAAAGGTTAAAGAGCTTTTTATAATTATAAGAAATCTCTTGTCTTGACTCACAATCGTACTCCTTCTCTGCGTGCCACAATCCACCCATTGCGATGCATTCAGCGGCCAATCCAGAGAAAAACTTCGCAAAGTCTGTTTCTCTAAATTACTTGACAACCTACAATATTACGATGTTTGATTGGTTTCAGTTTTACAATTTCAATACTCACTTTTCAGTTTCACTTGATGAAGTATGGATGTTGAAGTAGAACTCGAGCAAGGAAAATGAAGGCTCAAAGGTGCTCATTGAAGAGGGAAAAGACTAAATTGAGGATTTAAAACAATAAATCATTGCAAAATTGTAAATTTCAGATTTTTGCCCAAAGATTGGTAAAAATTCAGAACATTTCATAGAGGAAGTAAAGTGGGTGAAGTGTTTGCCTTTACCGAAATGAGATTTCAAGAGGCCAACGATGAGAGATCGAAATTCTCCTTTAAAGGGGAAAACTTTTGAAAATTTATTGACAATATTTATTTGGCGATATAGTTTTGAGAATTTAGCAATATTTATTTGGTTTATTGGTTTACAGTTGCACAATAGATGCCAGCCAAGTTTAACTCAAAAACAGACGAAAGACGACAAATTGCAAGTGAATGGTTTAGAGAAATGAAAGGGTTTTGGTTGAAATGTGGATAAAAGTTGCAAAAAAAGATTATCTGATATAAAATAGTGCTAAAATACAAGATATTTGAAGAAATCTGTTTGATAAATCTGTACAAACTGCATTTTTGTTCGGAAATCCAACTCCATTTGGTTCATTTTGAAGGGACAAACGTGCAACTCACTGGTTGTAAAATCCTTTTTAGCCTTTTTATGTTCTTTCCCTTTTTTGCTTTATGCTTTTGCTTTATGATCGATCAAAAAACTCACATGGGACGGTCAACAGACCAAATGAAATCAGCCATAGACCATTCGACACAGAATTTCTGATTCGTTTGTGCAAAATGATTCTGAATCGCGCGCAATTTGGCAAACAAGTTTTTGGCCTTTCTTTACAAGGCCTACGCTGCTACGTGAAAATGGCTGCAGTGGATAAAGAATTAGAATGCGACTGTGCTAACCATTACACCACAACGCGCTCGATCTCCCTTACTCCAGGGGGAGTTAACTAGATATTGGGAACCAGCGTAAAAGTCTGCGTCAAGTGGTCTATGGCTCATTTCATTTAGTGAGTCTGTTGACCATCCCTTGTCACTACTGTTACAAAGTTTTGCAATGATATGGACCTCAATGACTGACAACAGTGGATTGAGAAATTTGCTAAGAAGCTCCCAAATTTTCAAATATGAAATTTAACGGGTGAAGAAAATATTGATGTTGTGTAATTGAGTGTGAATGCGAAATTCGAGGATTGAATTCTTTTGGTAACTTTATTGAACATGAAAAATGGATTGGGTTGGCAATTTTTTGCTGGATTCAGACGAAAGTGTTCAGAGAATTCCACAGAAAAAACTTTTAGACTAGAAACTAAAAAACAATTAAGATTATTGACGAAATAAGAACTAAAAAATATTTAGGATTATTGTTTTAAGTTTCAACCAGCTCAACTTTTGTCAAGTCATGTCTTACAAATCTAGGAGTTTGATCTAGAAACATTCAGGATTCTTGTTTTCTTGTTTTCTGGTCAAATATCATTTATATACAGTTAGGAACAGAAAATGAACCTGAAAGACAATAAATTTGAATCAACTGGAACAATTTTCATAGTTGAAAAAAGTTTTAACCAAAAAATTGGATCAAATGAATACAAATGAAATGAAAGAATATTCTCAGGAATACAAAATCGCGATCTTCGCCCCGTCTCGTCTCATTTCCCCTTACCCTTTCCTTTCTTTGAATTGCCTGAATTCTCGAATAGAAAATTCGATAAAAGCAAAAAATCCTCTTGGCCCACGAAAACCAATCACATTTTTTCTTTTCTTTTTTTTCCGATTCCTTTTTATCTCAAATTTTCCCCATTTCCTTCAATATTTCCCCTTTCCGATTCTCATTCGAAAATTTGCATTTCCAGCCTAGAAAAATACGATCCGGTTCATTGATATTTGAAAGAAAAAAATCGAGATCTTGAATTGAAAATTCCACAAATATCGTCAGAAAGCTTTATTCTTGATCACTAATTGATATGGTCGAATGTTTTTTCATTCACCTGAAAATCTGTGTACTTCTCGTAGCCACAGTTGTGATGGATTGTGATTGAAAGACGTTTTTCGGAAATACCGTATTTTCTAGCACTCACAGACAACTCTCGGATAGCAAAAGCTTGAAAGTTAATAGTAAGAGTACTCTATGCGGATCTGAAATCCGTCCACTGAAATGAAACAGTTTTTCCTTATCACTCAAGTTCCACCCGATTTATATGGATCAATTTGGGTATGGTTATGGTAGTTTGATTCTAACTTGATTAGCTAAAAGCTAAATTTTTGCTCAACTCACATAGTTGAACTTGATTCCCTACTTATTTTTGTCAATTCTGTAAAAGTCGGTGAAGATTTTGTACTGAATTCAATGGCCTTGCATAGAAATCAGTAAATTGTTAAACCTCTGGCCTATCCTCCGTTAACTGCAAGCCCCCAAACCTATCTAGTTCAAAAATTTCATGTAATTTGTGCAAAAAGCACTGTAATTTGTGTGAATTCAAAGCTTTATTAACTTAAAACAATATTTATTTGATAAGTTATAAAGAAAAAGTACGATTATTTCATCTAACAACTAATACTCGTATGTGAATTGTGCATTCTTTTCATTTTGATCAGTTCAATGATCAACTCTGTGCTTTAGTCTGTCCAAAGTGGCCACAGATTTCTAATTATTTCTTTAGATGTCTCCTGTTTGACATTTTGATCCCGAGCACTTTGAGCCATCAATTCTTGATCAAGACTTTTCTCCGCTTGATCCAGAGCCGTTTTTGCCCTTTGTTTTAAAACATCTACTAGCCAGACTGAGGGCTCTTGTTGTGATCCTGTTTCTTCTGTTTTGAAATGTGAAGTTGTAGCTATTGTGGCATTGTTTACAGAAAGATTATCCTTTAAAATATAGGACTTTGTGAGATTTTGAGGATTACTTGACTCCAAACTGTGTAAAGTGGTTGTTGGAGTAACTGGTTGAGATGTTAGGATTACATTCATGTTAGTGCTGCTCGTTCTTGTTACTTGAGTTGAAGATGTTTCAAGTTTGTTCTTTTTAATATCATCAAGAGTTTGGCTTGGATTCAAAGTTGTTGTAAATATAGTTGAGAGTATAGTGGTTGGTGTGGTAGAAATTGACTCTGAACTGGTTGCGCGGCTTACTTCATTCGCCGTCAAATTTCTCATTGTTGAAGAAAGAGAACCAACTGTGGTCACCTCTATCCTTGTCTTCTTATTGAATCTATCACCCAATTCCTTTGAAACCAAGTTCTTCACAGTTTTACTTTTCCTATGCTTCTTTTTCCTTCTCGTTTTCTTTGCATTCTTATTTTTCTTCTTCTTCTCATTCTTCAACCTCCTTGCTTTTCTGCGTTTCTTTCGATGCTTCCTTTTCTTCTTTTCAACAACTTCTTGGTTTTCTTCTGCTTCATTCTCCAAATTGAAATCAACTTCAATCGACTCTTCTAACTTTTTCATCAATTTTCCTTTCATTTCGAGTTTCATTACTTCTTTCGGCGACAATGGTGGAGAAGGATTCGGAATTTTGTCGACATTGGTGTACGAAAGATTTCCTCGATGTCTTGAGATCAACTCGTATTGAAGTTCAATCGATCTAAAATTTTTGTATTAAAATTTTCGGCTCTAGTTTCCGAGTATGTTGAAAGAATTCGGGTATTTTGAACGGGTCGTCACATTTTGAAGACCTAAAACTTTACCCAGAGATAATATTTTTATTAACCTTCATATCATTGTACAGAGGACATTTCAGGCTTTTAAATGATACCAAATAGAGCTTGACTGTGTTTTTAATTCCCATGCAAACAAGGCGACACAACACCCGAGTTGGATAGGCCTCATTTGCTGAGAGTTGGCTCTGATTTTCTTAGACTGGATTATTCAATTAAGTTCTATTTGCCATGATTTGAAAGCCTGGAATGTCTACTATACAATGATATAAAAGTTAGCAAAAATATTATCTCTGGACAAAGTTATAGGCCTTTAAAGCGTGACGACCCGTTCAAAATACCCAGAAACTACACAAGAACCAATTTTTCTTTTGAACCAACTTGTAAAGCACTTCATCATGAGTCGGTCCATCGTAATTGAATTCTTGAAGAGAGTGAGGGAGAGAGGCACATTTGTTCCCACAACACCAATCACCAACCTGAAACCTCTATTGAACTACCGTAGTATTTTTGAGGTACAATAAACTACAATAATCTACAGTACTCTTAATTGTTTATGTTCCATAGCTCACCTTCGCATCATTGTTTGTGATAATTGCAAAGGAATGCGCGCCCTCATAACGATTTCGTCGGTTGTTCAACTCCCGCTGAAATCCCAAAACTCTTTTATGATTAATCATCGATTACCAATGTATGAGAATGACAATTGAGTCCATTGTTAAGATTACAGATTGCCCATGGAAGATAAACGCACATTGATGAGCCGAAATTCGCGCCAGCAACCGAGACAAAAGTGTCTACCTAAAAAGAGGCCAAAGGCTTTTGTTTTGCAATGAAAAACCATTCTTTTCTTTGTTTATTATTTTGAAAAGATTGCCTGACTTTTATTAGATTGAGTACTAAGTCTTGCATCCTTGATTTCATTATCTAAATGAACTAGTATTAAACTACCAAATACCAAACGATTTCTTTCATTATATATGTTTATCTTTTACTTTTTGTTATTTTCAAACAATTTTTAGTTTTTTAGAATAATCGCCGAAAAAGAAAACTGGTATTTTAAAAGATATTGAAAAATGAGCACATAAAGAAAACCGCTGAACAGATTATTCCGAAATTTTCGTTGTAGACGTAACTTTTTTAGCGCTATCTTTCTTATTATGTCATCAAAGTAGGTTTCATTGAAAGAAACGGTGGAAATAGCATCATCGGACCTTATCGTTTTTGAACACTCAGCTATTTGCCAATGAAAAACCTTCAAAAAAAGTTTTTCAAAAACTTACAAAAGCCATTTGTATGAGAAATAATAGGGAAATCTAATGAAAAAACCGTATTTTATTTGGTGGCTTGAGAATTATTCATTTAGAAAATGAATTTGCGTCAAAGACTTAGTACTTAACCGAATAAAAGCAAAAATAGCGGTTGGTGTTTAAAAGGCTATTTCCGTGGATTCGAAGATAACCAAAAGCCTTATCGACTACAGTTTTCGTAACTGACGAAGTTTCATTCGGTGGTCCTTTTAACATTTTACATTCATGACAAGTCTAGTGAATTAAGGGTTATTCAAGACGTATTCCACACAAACCTTTGTGTGGATGATGTTCGCCGTTTCGGTGGCTGATTCTCATTATTCCATTACTTATTCAATTAGAAAATGAATTTGGATGCAAGACTTAGTACTCAGCCTAATACTTACCCAATTTGTCAACGGTTTCCCCAAATCAAATCCATTGCAATCCCCTCCCAGAATAGCTTTCCTTGTCAACGGAACTCCCATCGAAAAAGCCACAATATCGATTTTTGAAGCATTTGTGTACATTTTAATCGCTTCAATCATTGTACGAATCTAAAGTGATTTATTAACAATGAAATTACAATGAAATCTCTTTGAGTTACAGGGTTATTCAAAATCTTGTACCTGTCGTACAAAAGAGCACTCCATCTTTACAAAAATCAATCCTCCTTTTGGTCCTTTACCCCAGGTTGTTGCGTAGAGCTGAAAATTCATAAATTAAAGCTCTACTTACAAATTTTTGATCAAAAACCTCCGCATCCGTGTACCCTTTGTTGTAAAGATACTTCCTTAACATCAGGAATCGTCCAGCAACTGTTGCCACTCCATGAATCATCAACACCGGCTAAAATCAGTTAGGTCCACTATTCTTAATGCTCATTCACTATTCTTAAACAGTTAACTCACCTGTTTGTGTACCCGTTGTGAAGGGAAAGTCTTTCCTCCAAAAGATCCCCATGCCAAATCTTTTCTTTCCAATATCTCTAATGTCCTTTTACCATAAGTTTCGATAAGAAAATCTCGAAAATTGATGGAAAATCCTTGAGATTGGCAAGTGATTTCTTGAATAAATAACAAAAAAGTAAAGACAATGTAGTTCCATCTTGACAAAAACATCAATCCAACTTCACATCACTTTTCAAGAAGCTAAATTTCACCGTTAGACTGTTAGTTCAAAATTATTGATCTAGCAGTCTAACGAAACTGTTAGATCAATAATTCTAAACAAGGACAAACTTCAAGTAACCCCAAAACCACAAAGCAACTTAAAGGTAACCACAAAAAGTTTCTTTGTTATGAAGAAAAGAATTGACCTCACAAAAACGATGTTAAGCGAGGTGAAGGAGAAAAAGAATTGACATTTGGCAGTTAAAACGGTGAAAGAATGGTTGAGAGAAGCATTTTCGAAAGAAAAGAACTTAAAAAGGAAAAGAGAGAAAAAAGATGGCACTCGATTGTTCATTTCCATCTCTTTTCTCTCTTTTCTTCTTTTCTTTTCCCATTCGCATGTTCTTCTTTCCGGAGAAGGGGTCAAAATCGTCTCTTTCAATTTCGAAAAAACAATGGACAAGAACTAGTGCAAGACAAAAAAGAATCCTAAACAATGTTTCACGAGCCTTACGAAGACAAGGTTGGCTGAATGGAAATTTACAAAACTATAGCCTTATTATAAAAGCTAGCATATTCCTGTTGTTTTTTTTGATAAAGACAGAATCCTTTAACTCGTTTTGATGCAGAGTGGGTGAGAAATGGATACCGAAAGATTAAATGTTGGAAATAAAGATTTAATGGGGCTTATAAAGATGTTTTCAAACCAAACTATTGGCCAGCTTCTCATCAACTGAAAACTCGTTAGATGAAATAGGCAGCAAAGTTTTATACAAGTATTTTTTTCCTGTCAAAACTTAATATCATCAATCATGCATGATTTGCAATGAGAATTTGAACTCTTAACAAAACTCAATCGACCTTTTTGATTGACGATCAATCGCGGCAAGAATTTGGATTGCAAATGTTAAAGAACATCAAATAATCAAAACAAAATGAATGAAAGACGATTTGATTTATGTGAGGAATGAAGGGGAAACAAAAATGTCTAAGCGTTCAAAGGCAAATCCGGTGGAAAAGGAGGAAAAGATGGAGAGGGAAAGGTAAGCACAAAGGCAACCCCATCCCTTCAAACAGCCTCTCAGCTGGAGGATCTACGAAACTAGAACCAGAATTGCAAAAAAACTCTCTACTTTGTTTAGGAAAATATAGCTTGTTGCCTTACATCAACTCCTAGCACTTTACCCCTAAGCCCTAAATGGAGGGAAGAAAAAACCCTTATACTGTAAAAACTCTAATTGAAGTCCCGGGGCTTCTATTTTTCAATGCAAAAATAGAAATCGAACAAATTTTTGTGATAGTCTAACAAGAAAATACAAACAATGCGATCCAATTGGATCAAACCATACTTCAATTTCATCACAAGCGTAGATCATCTCGTACTCTTTCTTTCCATTTCTCTTGCGAAAGAAAAATCACAAAGTTCATGACCACATCCTCGAATTCTTTTGGTGCCTTTTATGCGATCGAAGTAGGAATCCGACGTGAGAATCCATTTCTCTTGCGAAACTTCTGTAACCCTCCTCCGATTGCCGCAAAGTTGTTGCATTCTTCGTCATTCTCTTCACTTGAACAATCATTCTCCGAACATTGAGCGGCCGTTTCCTCTCTAGTTCCCTCATCCAGCTCGTTCTCTGACCAGACTTGATCGTCGCTGCCTCACAGTCTGGCCTCTCAGTCTCGTCGCATGTGCTCACGTCCCTTCTCAGAAAATCCCTGCATCTCGTTCCCGTGGCGATCTCGGAACTCTTCAAGTTCATTCAACGAGCGATTGCCTAAAATTAAAATTTAAATCATAAATAGACAAAAACAAGCAAGAAAAAGTATATTAGAGAAAAAACTAATAAAATAAAACTAATAATAGTGTAATAAAAACAAAAAAAAGTAATAAAAATACAAAAAAGGGGCTTCTATTTGAGAAGGGAGCTTTTATTTTTCAATTTTCGTTACAATTTCAATTTTATTTTTCAACCCTAATAGAAGCCCCTCCTCTGGATCTATTAGAGTCTATTAGATCTATTAGAGTTTTTACGGTAAATGAGCAGAAGCAATAATCTAGCCGACGGGATCGAACCCTTGACCTCCCAACTAAGATAAAGGGCTCTCAGCCAATCGACCATGGCGGCCAGTTTGCTCGCAATTTGAGGCCAAATATCTTGAGTGTCGATGCATCTAATGGTTTAAGGCAAAAAGCATATCCGCACTTGAACACAAAAGCTTTTCCTTCTTTTCTTTTTTCCCTGATCTCTCCAATCGAGGAACCAGTTCCACAAAACATATCTCACCTCTATCCAGCACACAAAACAGCAAAAAGTCGGCAAAGAAAAGAGAAGAGATCACTTGAAACGATTTCTGAAATCCTCGTCAATCCTAAACGAATTTTTCAAAATTGAAACTCTTTTGGCGATAAGAATCCTGTGAAAAGACAATAATTTGTTTAAAGCATGATGGTTCAACTATCGAAAAAGCGAAAAAGAAAAATGTATTTTGAATTTGCAGTATACCACTTACTAGCATATTCACTTTCCTGTTTTGAATGTGATTGAATCAGACTTTCATTGATTTTCGGGATCGATTGGAGGAGTTGATTTCGCTCTATCTATCAATAAGAACTCTCAATCTATACTCAAATTGCAAATGATTGAAGTTCATGCAGGGAATTTTATATAGCTATTGTAAATGCTATTGTAAATGAACGAATATTAACCAATGTAAATGAACCAACCAATGTAACTTTAATTTCTTAGAGTTTCAACTTAAAATTCAATTTTTTTCGATTTTCAATTTCCAGACAAGCAACCATTTTCTTCAAAAACTTCTCCTAAGCGATTCTCTATGGAAATCCCATCTTGAAAGGCATAGAGATTCCACATTCTTTCCATTTTAAACGATTATATTGACCAAAAACGTGAAAAATTTCAATTAAACGGATTTTTATTCGTGTTTTGATGTATTTCTTCTTTTTCTGGTAGGTCATAGGAGTTGACTTTTGCAGCAGTTAGTTTAGGTGATACATGAGAATGATACATCTCATCTCAGGATACTGTAAGAAAGTATAGTTATCGGCTTCAAAATCAAAAATTTTAGCCATTCCTACGATCAACAAGTTGGACTCGATCAACATCACTATGAATGGAACGACAGCGGCCAGTGGAAACAAGTTGGCCTTACTTATGAAGATTATTTATAAACTATAGCTGGTTTTATTTCCAGAATTGACTTGTGATGATGTGATGTTCACAAATGTTCGTGATGTTTCCCCAGGAAGAAGCACTCCTCAATGGTGAAGAACCCAAACGGCATCATCCTCTACCATCTCAAGTTTCTCTTCGACGGAAAGGTCATGCTCAAAGACATGATCGTCCGTGATTTGATTTAGATGGAGTTTGGATCACTTACTAAAGCCAGTATCGAAGGTATGATTGTTTAAAAACCTGAGCCATTAACATGAAACTATAAGATTTGAGTCTGTAAATGATTTCAGAAGAAGAGGAAGTGGAGAAAGAAGGCAATCGTCTAAACCCAATTCTTCGTCAAGCAAAACTCGAACTTCACCTTCACTATCAAGTACGTGCACTTGTTTTGCTTAAAACTCAAATATTTCAGCTTGAACAAGAAGGACAACTAGGCGTTCACTCTCTATGCGGACGGATTTGTTAGTTTTCGCATTGTGATATGTGAGCCAACTTAAGAGTTTAGGATATGTGTGTCTGCATTAAAGTGTTTGATCAACCCGCCTTTGGATCTGACCTTCCTTTCACAACTGACAACAGCGCAACACATTTAACCGAGTAAAGGGGAGTCTTCTTTAGAATGACTTGTTCTAAAGACTTGACTTGTAGTTTAATTGTAGAAGTCACAATATTTATGTACAAACATGTAATCGACGATAAGAGAGTTAAGCAGAGAATTGTTAGGAGAAAGGTGGAGGACTCCAATTTAAAAGTGAGTCCGGAGCTAGGGTTGGGTCAAAAGACAATTCCCTTCTCTCTCTTTCAGTTTGGGTCCTAAAGAGATTGTTAGAAAGATCGAAGTTTACAATAAGATCAAATTACATATATGATATATTTGACAACATGATTTACTATAGTCAAGTCCTTTTCCAGTCTAGCTACACATTCCACACAAGGCTGGCCACCGAAAGCCGAAATGGCTGGCAATGGATGGAGATCTGGCTGCACAGGCTTCTGGATTCGGGTGGTCAATCACCTCGACATCATCATGTACTTGAAGATCATTTTGATTTTGTATTTTGCAAATAAACTTTGTGAACAAGTTGAAATTGATATATCATGATGATAAGTGGCTGACGTGAACTAGCCAAAGATTAAGTCTGCTGAGGATTGCTTTGACATGTGACAGACTTGAATGAGCATACAAATTCGTGAAGTAATAAAGTTAATAATTCAGTTCATCCTAAATTCGATTGTCTTTATTAAAGAGTTTTGATTGTAAAACAAGTTTTGAGCCTGTCCTGATAACAAAATTGGACACTAGTATTGCGAGAAGAATGACAAAACTTCATATTCCTTGATCTTTCCACTTTCACAAAGTAAAATACAACTAGGAAGTGAATCTCTTCTCCCCTTCAAACTGAAACTAAAGAAACAAAAATAATGGGAACTCATTTCTCTAAAAGGATAATGGTTTCGTTTCAATTTTCCGAAGCAAAAGCGGGGAAAAGTCATATTTTCATTTACTTTTTTCTCCCTTTCACCCTCGCCTCAAAAGGCCATAACTAAACTAATCAGTGTGTTTTGACGAAAATTTTTTTTTCTTAAAGTTTATAACGAGAAAATGCGTTTGAATCATGAAAACACGTTTGGAGATAAAGCTAATCATGTCTGAGTCAATGAATTCTCTGAATCTTGAGGGACTTAGCCGAAGAACGAATTCTTTTGACTAATTATTGTTACACTAGACTGTTAGGATTAGATTGGGGCTAGGTGAAATGGGTTTCAGTTTTTGAACACAAAGTACATTCTCAATAGATAACTTCTTAGATTCAAAATCTGAAAGAATTCTTTTCTAAATTGTTTTCTTAAAGAAAGAAAAGAAATTGTCTTCTTTTGCTTTCTAATTTACAATCTTTTGTCTGCAAGAGGATGTTTGTTGTTGTTTTGAATCTGCTAAGCGTTGAGATTTGATTAAATTTTGGATTTGCAAAGGCTTGTTTTGACGGATTTCGTTTAAAGAATAGCATTTGAATGAAAAAAATAGAATTGAATGCTAAAAGAATTGAGAGAAAAAGCCAGTTCAGCTTTCGCTAAATTGTTGTTGCAGCTTTTTACAGCTTATATTATAAGTTCAGACTTCGAACAGCTCAAATCAAAGAGTAGACACAAAATTGGACTGTGAACTCTTTAGAAGTTGGTTGTTTTTCCCTTTCTAACTCCATTTTCGAGCTCATGACCTTTAAGTGCTAGACAACTATTCGGATACCTTTTCTAAAGAAATAGTTCGCTATTTTGAATTTCATGATTCCAGAATTTTGTTGTGTACCTATGAAAAAACGAAAGACAAATTTCCCAATTTCAAGGCAACTTTCTTTCCGCCATGAAAACAAATGTTCTGCTTTTCTCCGGTTATCGGACATTTGATACGCGTCCCACCCCTTTTGCCATTATCAATCTAAATTTGAACTCAAATATCTTGGTTTTGGGCTGTCCAATTAAAATATTTTTGGTATCATTGGATGCACGAAGTCTTTCCCTGTCGATTGGTATAAAAACTATTTAAATTGAATAGCCCAACACCTAGATATTTGAGCTTCAAGCTAGATTGCCAATGGCAAAGGGGGCCTCGCGTATGGAAGGTCCCATAATGCATTTCTACTAAATAGACTGGATAGACAAGACTATCGACAGGCGTTTTCCATTTACTCTAATTTAAATTTTGATGTTTTGTTATGGCTACCTTTATTGACCAGGTAAAGTTGTTGGAAAAGGATAGAGATTTTCTAGAGCTGACTTGGTCTCAAACTTGGTCTTGACCTAGTCTTCGAGACTTGACTTGATTTTAAACAACATCATTTATTTGTTACCTATAGCTCTTGTCATTTGATATCTATAGAACCATTTTTTCTGACTTGGACAGGTGTTTTTCATTTACTCTAATTTAAATTTTGGTAGTTTGTCACAACAAGCTTACCCACTAGTTCAAACAAAATCGAAATCACTAATGAGCTGGTGCCATGCTGCTTATAGCTTTCTTCACTAAAAACAATTTTTCTTGTGATGTCGCGAAAATTGCCGAGAAAAACTCATGAGGGGGTGGAGGACGAGAAAAATGACACGCGACATCATATTTACATCATCAAATCTATTTTGTTCAACCTTACTCATCTCATGAATCTTTCAGAAACCTAGTCTGAATCTTTTAGTCGTTTAGTTCTTATTTTAAAATCTTTCAATCTAGCTTTCAAAGGAAAATTTCAATTAGCTAAACCCGGATCTTTCCGTTTTTAAATGTTCTTTTAAAGGAAATTCCCATTCGTTTTCATTCATGGTTTTTTGTAAGGAAATGAAAGTAAATTGAAAATCAGATTTCTCTGGAATAATTTTTGAAAATAGTACGATTGGCTAGACACGTGAGAGGTTTACGGAAAGAATCTAATATATTTTGGTCAACCTTACTCATTTCATGAATCTTTCAAAAGCTGAATTCTTTTTGACTAAGAATCCTTGAAAAGGATTGCTTTCTTGGAACAGATAATAGTACCCTTCGGCTATTCGTCTCGTGGAATACCAATTCGTTTGACTTTACAACAATGTAGGTTATCCAGAAATGAAATCAGAATTGAAGTCAGATTACTTGATTTCTTCGGCGAGCTTTGCTCTTGATGAGCTGTTTCTGTTTTTGAAATTGAAACTTTAATCCTACCCGAATTGATGGCCACGTGCATCAAAACATTGACTCATTTCACTCATGAAAAGACCATCGGAACTCTTGAATTCGTTAATGAAAGGAGTGGGTGAGATGACGTCTCTTTCTCTTTCTCCTTCTCCTTTTCCTCCTCCTTTCCCCATTGTCTTCCACAAGGATCATTAATCAGTGTTTTTGCACTTTTCCTCTCCTTTACTGACTCACCCAGGTCATGAGCCTCTTTTTCTGAAAGGGTTTAAAGGGTCACGTTTAAATCCCAAGAGGAAATGACTTCGACTTTATTGAAAAACGAAGAGAAAAGAGACAAACCACGTGGTGGAATAGAATAAAAGATGTTGTAGATTGAAAGAACAATGGAGTTTGGTTTCTTGGTAAAGTCCGAAGAAGCAAGTTTGATAGAAAAACTAAAGCCGCGTTATTGGCTTTCTTTCTTACGGCTTTCTTACGGCTACGACCATATGAAAATGAGACTTTTCACCGTACTTTAGTAGCTGTATCTTTATCCGGGCTTTATTTGTCTTTCCCAAAAGCTTTTTGATGTTTTGTATGTATTTTGACATAGAGAAACATAGTAGAAGAAGAGATATTCCGTAAACATTCTAACATTAGAGCCAGCTCTTCTAATTTTCAATGTCTCTCTAAAATTCTTTTTTGTGCCGGTATACCGAAACATTCAAGAGTTCAAAAATGGATGTTTTTGTTGGATTTTCATTTGGTTTTTGACGTCATTAAGCTATTTAAAGCCTTTTAGGAGTCTTTAAAAGTTAAGCATTTTGCTATCTGAGAGTTCAAAAATACAAAAAAATTAAAATTTTGCCTAAAGAGGCTATAGAGCGCTCTTTAATTGGAATAAATACTCACAATCATTGATTCACTAGCCGAAAGACCCGCCTAGCGGCGGATTTTTCTGATTGGGTGCTTTGGGGTTTATCGAAATCGGTTCACGAGGATCCGAGATCCAGAATGTGACGGACGGATGAACGGACGGACGGACAGACAGACAGCCCTCAATTATATATAGTAGATAAAAGATTTTTTGAAATTCTAAAACCAAATAAGTCCTTCCCATTGCAGTACTATCATTTCATTCTATTCAATTCAATTCAATTTCAATTTTCCATTTTTTAAGACCAATTTTGATGATTACAGATCAAAAGAACAACTGACGCGGCCGTTTTTCACGTTTTCATCAATGATTATTTTCCATAATGCGCTAACATTGTTGAAAAATTCTCGAAAATTGGTGTCAGAATAATCCCATTGCTCTTCCCCAATTCCTTTATTTTCTTTCCTCCATTTTAGTCATGCATTCTTTCCAATTTTTTTCAATTCTTCAAAAAAAGCGTCATCCGTATTGTTCATCACTCTATTTTCAAAAATATTACGGTATTTTGAAGGAATTTGTTCAATTTCTGGACGTAAGCAAGTGCTTGCATAGTAATTGACAAATTAAAGGTTTTTGGTGAAGCGGAAAATTTCTAATTTCTTTCTCGATTATTTGCACGTCACGGGGTGGGTATTTAAATGTAACGTTTCAAAATTTGGCATTATTGTCTACCATTGGCTTGTGACTACAATATTTGAGGCATTCTTGAGTCTTAAGCCGTTACTTCCGACTTTTGTTCAATTCTGATAGGTTTCTCTTATAGGTTCTCTGATAGGTTTTCAAATTCTAATAGATTACAAGGTAATTTTTGAGAAAACACGAAATTTAGCCCAGAAAACTGTTGATGTGTCGGCAATTTCTTAGACAAAACCAAACAAAACAAATCTTTACTCTTCTATCAAATTTTTTGAATCATTTACACAATCAGCTAACGAGAATGACTATAGAAAACAGCTGCAATTCAAAATAAAAGCCTTTAAGACAGGTGATGTTTAACCTTTTCAATTTTTTTTCTACACAAAAACGATGATAAATACACCTGTCCTTTTAACATCACTTCATCACCAATTTTCATATTTTTCCACCTTGACTATTTTGATGAAAAGTGAGTTCATTTCTTTGCTCACTTCTTTGCTCATTTCTTTTCTTTCTCCTCAATAATCTCCCCTTCCAATCTCTCACTGAATTACGAAATTTAAATGTTTTCTCAAAAAATTTACGTCAGAAAGGAAAAGGCGGAACAATAGAATAAAAAAAGTGTTTTCAAAGAAAAAAGAAGTTACTAAAGTTGGAATTTTCTTGAGCTTTGTCCATTGTTACTGATCTTTTCCTGGAAAAATTTGAAAATTCAGAATCTGAACAACCTTTACTTATTTGGAAAACTGAAAACTTGAAATTCTTCATTTTAATTTCATTTTAAAGTTGACTATCTTCATTTTAAAGTTGATCTTTAGACAATTTTCAAGATCTTTAAGAAGTTTTTCGTTTGAATTGAACAATTCCTGCAAAATTCATGAACCAACAGTCTGCACTGACCATTAGACAAATTCCCGCTCAATTTTCCCTTGAATCCAATTCTCAGTCTATCTACAATCAATTCAATTTCTTCTTTTTCCAACTTTTAGATCTCTAAACCCTTTTGATTTCAATTGAATTTTCGGTAAAAGAGTTTTGGCCCTTAAAACATGTTACTCCATTACTCGGAATCCTCAAAAAAAGGAAAGAATTCGTTCCCCATCTGATTAGTGTCCTTTCCTTCACTCCCCTTTATTCTTCTTCATTCCCTCGTTTGTGGATCGTCTCTATTTTCCTTTTTCTCATTCTAGATTGGCTGCTTTGTTCAGAGAGACTCGACTCTTCTTTTCTGGTCATCATTTGATGAACTTGTTCAACTTGGGAAAGGTTACAAGTTACAAAAAATACAAGAGTTAAATAGAAAATGCAAAAAGGAAAAGACGGTCAATTTTTGCGTTACACCAAGGAATTTTCGATTGGGTTGGCGCTAATGAAATGTCGGATTTTTTCAAGATGTCCTATTCTTTTGCATGATTTAGAATTTACATTTGTTTATTCAACATAATCTCCGTTATTTTCCAATACTCGAGCCCACCTGTTATTTCTGAGAAAGAAGTGAAATAGTGGCTAGAAAGTTGATTTACTTTAAGACCGGATCATTTCTTCGAAACAGAAATCAAGCACTTGCGCGACAAGCGGACAAATGGACAACGAATAGGACATTTTGGAAAAATGCCGTCATTTCATAGGCGCCAACCCAATAGTTTGGTTATATCATCAAATTGGTAATATCATTATCATCTAAAAGCTTTTCATCTCTGAGCATTTCTGAATTCATTTCCCCAAAATGATTCATCTAAAATTCTACACACTAAATCTCATAGTGGTTTCGCCCCGATTTTCCCACAATTACCGAATTCGTGGGCGTAGACAAAACAAAAACACTCTCAATCAGTGCAACAACTCATCCAACTCATCCAACTCATCCATCTCTCTCCAATCTATCCCCTTCAAGTTTTTTCTAAATTCAAAAGATCGGACTCATCCTTTTTCCAATTCGCTTTCTTTTTTTTTACCATAATTGAGTCTGCAAACGGGTCCATTTAGTCGAAAAAGGTGGGCTTTTTCCTTTTCATTTCACTCACATTCACTCTCTTCTTTTGAACCAGCTCTTTTTTTCGCAATTCATTAGAACATTCACTTGGTCAGTGTTTTTCAATTCAATTCCAATTCTCAGGGTTGGTCGTACTCTTTACTTTATTCTATATACATTCATTCAGGCAGACTCGGGTAACTTGTGGACATAACACAGTCACACGAAATGAGTCGCCTTGTCGTCAGCACTTTGGTGAGTTTGAGTTTAAATTTTGGTTAGTGTTAAGTCTAAAATTTGAAGAATAGTCTGTTTGTCAGCTGAGCTCATTTCGTTCTTCTCAAATTTTCAATCTTTCAGGCTTTCCTCGCTTGCACAACAGCAGCCACCCAACTACAGGGTTGGTTCTGAACTGACTAGAGTTTTGTAACTAAAACAACTTTCGTTCTAATCAAAAATTTAATATTTAAACATTTATAACCAAAAATATCTACAAATTCATTGTAAATTTCTTTTTTCAGGTAGATACAAACGAGCTCTGAACAGTCTCGATGGAGGATTCGGCTTTGACAAGAGGTACAGATTCTCTTCAGAGTTTAAAGCTTTTCAAGCCTGTAGAAGCTAATATATTTATAGAATTCAGCAGAGTTATAAGTTCACTTCTGCATTCACACCAGAAACTTGAAATTTCAGAGCGCTGAACAGCTTGGACGATGGCTTCGGCTTCAAGAAAAGGTATCGCTTTCACTTCATTGAATAACTTCATTCAATAACTGAATAACTGAATAACTTTAAACTTTCATTGTTATTTTTATTGAAAACTGTCAGTTTATAGTTCTAATAAATGCTGAAACGTAAAAATTCGTTTCGAACAAAGCACAATGGTTTTTCATCGCCTAATTAGACTAATTGCTTTAAAGTTTTTCATTGTTTTCAAGAAAACTCAATTTTTCCAAGTCAGTTGTGGGTACTGAATAAAATTTGGCAAAAAAACTCATTTTGCATGTCAATCAGTCGTCATTTGAGTTTCCGGAAAAAGTTTAATCAACGACATTTGCAGGGCAGTTTTTGGAAATATTTAGATGATTGATGAACAGAAATTAGGCTATTTTTAAAGATTAGAAAAAGCTAAAAGTTAGAAGCGAATGATGGAAAACTTTCAGAGCATTGAACTCTTTGGATGATGGATTTGGATTCAAGAAGAGAGCGCTGGGAAGCATTGAAGGAGGAGGATTCGGCTTTGACAAGAGGTTTGTGGATAGAGATTGGCTTCGGTGATCCAGCTGTGACTCACAATCAGATCATCATAGTCTAGGCTAGATTCAAAAGTCTAGACTAGGTCTATAGCTTAATTAGTAGACCTGGTTTATTCGAACCATGAAAGCTATTGACTTTCAAGTAAAACTAACAAATTCGTTTCAGAGCTCTCGGCAGCGTTGAGGGTGGAGGATTCGGCTTCGACAAGAGGTAGGATTTTAGGATTTTTTAAATCTAAAACTAAATTTTATTCAAATCAAACTAATCTCTCTTACTCAGAGCTTTGGGCAGTATTGAAGGAGATGGTTTCGGTTTTGACAAGAGAGCCCTGAACAGCCTCGATGGAGGTTTTGGATTTGATAAGAGGTGAGAACGAGTTGAAACTTGTTTAAGCTATTAAGTAATGAAGCTTATTGAGCTTTTGTAATGTAATGCTTGTAATGTTATGAGTAATGAAGCTTAAAATTTGTCAACCTAAACACGATCTCGTAATCCTTAAAGAAAGATCAAATTCCAGGGCACTTGGAAGCATTGAAGGGGATGGATTTGGATTTGATAAGAGGTGGGTTGATAAGAGATTTGATAAGAGGTTTGATAAGAGAATGAAGCTAAACAAAAATGATTACAATTATCGCAATTTGAAGAAAGTACGAGTTTTCAGGGCGTTGAACTCGTTGGACGACGGCTTCGGATTCGACAAACGCTCAAGATTGCACAGAATCTTTGGTAGGATTTCAGAGAGCTCTAGTTATGAGTTTTGCTTCTGAAACCTCCTAAGAACCAAGTTAACTAGCGAAGACATTATAAGGATAGATATGAATCAAATATTGTATCTAGTGCTTCCAGGATTTGGAGCCAGAGCGGGAGCCCTCGCCGGATATCATCCAAGGCATTGAGCCCTTTCCTTCCACTCCATCCCATCCGCGCCCCACTTGCCACAGCGCCATCCCTTGACTCACTCGCACCAAAAAACGAATCGTATCGATCTCGTCTCTATTATTTATTCATCTTTCATGATCTTTTTCCTTTATGTTGATATATAAAGTGGTTGAGAATTTGATTAGTAATTCGCACTCACTAGGGAATGTCGCCAAGTACCCGAGACCTCTTAAAACGAGATCAACTCCATCTTATAGAATCGACTACGCTGATTTCGAATCCGTTTTCAGTATTTGTCCTCGAGGCCTGTAACGCGAGATATCTAGGTTACAATTTTTGGGTCTCCTTACTTGAGTTCATTTTTCGCAACAGAGCCAACTGGTAACGCCAAAGCTGTCAACTACGGGTCAAAAGCCAAAGTGTTTACGGTCTAAAGCCAAAGCCTTTACGCCAAAGTGACTACGGGTTCAATCCCCTTCTTGGCCACTTACTTTTGGTTTTTTAATCTGGCAAAAACTGAGAACGGATGGATCTATAAGATGGAGTTGGTCTCGTTTTAAAACGTCACGAGCAACTGGCGACGCTCCCTAGTCAAAGTTTCAAAGTTTGATGCAAGCCTAGACTGAAACACAGAAAAACATACTCTGCACACAGAATTTTAAAACCTTCCATCATTCGTAATCCCAATCTCGAACTCATGAAACTGCAGCTTGGTTCCAATTTTCTACGCTCTTGTCCATTTCTACAACTCTTGGTCATTCAAAGAATAATTTATCATCCCAAAAACCATTCAAGTTATTTGAACACAACGAAAATGCTCAAAAAGCAAAGAAACAGTGAAAATTTTTGCGTAGAAGAGAGATTCAAATAGTTGCAGAGATCGGTTTGACAGCAATTCGTCGTGTGGGTGATTCCACCCTCTTGCCGTGTTCGTGTCTCAACTTTCTGAAAAGAAAAGGGCTTTAAAGTTTAAAGCTATTAATAGCTATTAGTTTACCTAAGTACTTCAGCTTTCATTTTAAACTTTAGCTTTAAACTTTAAACGTTTTAGCTTTAGGATTTACAATCCAATTTACTCTTGAAAAGATATCAAACCGTGCAAGCTGCGTCATCATCCAGTCCTCGCGAATTGTTCGCGCACTCCAACATTGTCAACTAAAAACTAGAATTTATTTTAGGAAAATTTGATCAACTAAGTTTGGCTTAATTGAGTTTAGCTAGATTGTAAGTTTAAATTGCAAGTTTGGGTGAATTGAGTAGTCTAAAAGTTTCAAGTTGACTTGGCATCAATTTCTAAGTAAATCTCCAAGATCAATTTCTGCAGGACCAATCTCTTTCTTAACTCTTTTCTCTTTTCAAAGCGATCTCTTTTCTCACCTTAACATCTTCTCCATCTTGAATGTAACTGACGCAAAAAATCTCATCTGTACAATTTTGAATTGTCTAAATTTTGGATTTTCAATTTCACAAGCTCATTCTAAATCAAATCCAAACCAATTCGCCTTTTGTGGCCTTTTTATCAACGACATCCGTTTCTCGATTATAACATTGAAGTGCGAAAATTGTGGTCGGAATCAAAATTGCAAACAGAATGAAACGATGCATAAACTGGGCGATCAGAATTGACGAAATGAAAAGAAATGAATCAATCAGGCAAATTTGTCAAACGATCACTTTACGGAATTTTTCCATGAAGGCCTATCTCTGCCTCTTTTTTGTCGGGAATTTAGGGCCGCCAATAAAACGAAAATTATTCCTCTCCCCCGCGAAAAAGAAAAGAAAAATTAAGAGACGGAACGTCATCAAATGATCCAATCATTCTTTGATTTTATGAGGTTTTTGTGCACTCAGTTTTTTTGTAGAAATTAGTAGAAATTTTGTTTGGTTTATCAGGATGAGAAGATCAGAATTTGTGGCTAATAAAATCGTTGAAGGAATCGAGTCGGACTTTGGCAAATTTTCCGCATAATGACGAAAATTTACTATTAGATTGGTTCTTAATTAAGTTGGCTCTTACTCTTAACTTACTGTACGATAAGTCTTTAAACGCCTTTTTGTAAATCTGTTTATAAATTAAAAATTTTTGAATTGATCTATGCTGCAAATGCAGTCATGTGCAAAAGTCTTTTAACGCTCAATTTTCTAAAAAGTTTCATCGATTTTCTTTGATAAAGTTCATGGCGCTCTTTAAGCTATTAATAGTTTTAGTTACAACAAATATATGTACAATTTATTTGCAAAAACGTTGTCGCTATACAACACTTATTCATTGAGAAAAAAAATATAATTGTCAAAACACCCCTAAAAATCGTGGTGCAAAAGTCTTTTAACACTTGCAAAAATGGGCATTAATTTTGTTCGCTTCAGATTTACTGGTACTAATTTATTTTTTTAGATGCCAGGAACGTAGTTGTCAACTCCGGATAAAGAAAGGATCGAGGCAAGGAAGCAAGGAATGCCACGAAAAGACGTTGCTCGCCTCTTAGGATGTACGCCCACAACAGTTTTTGCTTGTTACGGCCAAAATGAATGCGTCTGGAAATGTGCACAGATATAAGAAAAAGGGCCGACCGAGGATTACAACAAAGAATGAAGACCGATTTCTTACGAAGGCTTTCAAGAAGGATTCGAATTTGATGTTGAACGATGGAGTCATTCTTTTCAAGCAAACTTCAAACAAGAATATTTCCCGCTGGACCTTGCATCGACGCTTACTTTAAGCAGCATTGTATACTAGAAGGCCTTCTCTCAAGCCTATGATGACAGCCAAAGGCCGGAGGCAACGTCTTCAATTTGCTCGAATGTATTCAAGTTGGACAATCGATGATTGGGCCCCTGTGATTTTCGTTGATTGATGAAACCAAAGTTGATATTTTCCCTTCAAATCGAAATCATCTGATCCGACGGCCAATTGGAAAGCGATATCAACTCAAATACTTGCAACCTACAGTGAAAACAGGCGGAGGATTGAGATATTAGACAGATGTCTACTTCCATTTGCGATTGCTTCGATGAATTCACGATGGTTTCTTTATCAAGATAATTCGCCAGTACACAAAACCAAACTTTTGGTGGGCCGCGTTGTGACTCTCTCGAACGAAGCAAAAGCACATTTATCGGGATGGCTTGGAATCAATCACGTTTTTTTTGATCAAAGCTCCATTATTTTTACCGGATTTAAATGTTATCGAGGATCGAGCTTATTTGAAATTGAAAAACGATTCAATTCCAAAGTCGAGCTATGGTTTTACATCAGAAGAATTTGTAAGACGATTGGACCTGGATTTCTTGATGAATTAATTACATCGATGTCTACTCGTATTATAGAAGTACTTTTGTCAGCAGGAGGACCGAGAAAATATTGATTATAGCTTAATTTGGTCTTGTGTAAAAAGACTCTTGCACCACGATTTTCAGGGGTGTTTTGACAATTCTATTTTTTCCTCAACTACTTTTTTTTTCTTGACATCAACTATTGTAAAGCTCATTGTTAGCCAAAGCATATTTTAAACCGTATAAAGTTATTATTGCATCGGTCTTTAGTTGTACAAATAAATGTAGGCTCAATGTTTTTAAATAGGAATCTTCATGTGTTTAGAAATAGATCCACCCTCTTGACTTGATCATCTCCAACAATTGCAGCAATAAATTTTATGACCTCATGCTTTTCCGTGATTGAACTAAAGACCTCTCTTTAACCCCTCAAAAATCAACAACATCCCCCTCAAAAATTCCTCGAACATCAAAAATATCCTTTGAAAGTCGATCCACTTTTGTGTTTTCTCCCAAGCGGAGTCCAAAGAGTATTTTTGGCGAGAAACACTTGGCGTCTAATGTTTTTTTAGCGAACGTTTACTTTTTGACGAGTAAAAAACCTGACTTGTGGTCTAGTCTTTGAGAGATGAATGAGTTGGGTGTAAAGTTGGAAAGTAATCTTGGGTTTTGGTAGAGTTGAGTAAAGTTTATCGAAAGTTTATGTTCTTGGAAAGTTTATGAAAGTAGTTCACTGCTTTATAACCAAATTTTGCTTTTACTATTAAGACTCAAAATCTGCAAAGACAAAAAGCTGTCAAAGTTTTGAAAAGTCTAGACTGATCTGGGAAAATCATAAGGTTTCAGGGATCTTTATGACCCAAAAAGCTTTGGTTCTGATTATTGAAACTCTGATTCTTAGGTAGTTAAATGAAAAACTTCAAAATATTTTATTTTCTTCATAATTCTCCCCAAAAATAGCCATGGAAAACAGAAAAATCGTAAAATTGTTAAATTGTTTTGTTCTCGCTCGTTCGAAATCTTTTAAAAGGTGATAAATCGTGCCCGGGCCCCCAAAAACAGATGTTCACTTCAAAATAGAGAGGAATTTTTCTCTTCTCGGATCCCACATGGGATTTCGTCTTTTCATGTGGTGTTTACCCATCTTTTGGCCCAATAAATGCTGGATCTTTGAGGTGGTCATTGGGATCTTTTTGACAGATTTCTTGTGGTTGACAGATCAGATGACATCCAAGCGAACATCCCGTTCACGAGAACTTTACCAAAGCTTTTCCGTTTGTTTGCTTGAATGTTTTTACAAAAGTTGCCACTAGTTTTATATTTGCAATGGTTCTTGTTAGACTAGATCTTCTGTGCTTAATTGAATAAAAAATCCTTCTTTTTAGTCTTCTTCAACGAGACAATCGAAACAATTGTCGTCTTTTTTGATGTCTCCATCGATAAATCAACTCTTTCCATATCCTCGTTGTCTCGTTGGACCAATCAACCAAAGCTTCCTTTTTCCCCATTTCCCCTTCACTTATGTCACCAATGAGATCTCATTTTTGTCGACTCTATTTTTCCGCTTTTCACCAAAAGGTCCCCTTCTCTTGTTGAGCCTGGAGCCCAAAGAAGATCACGGGTTTCTGCTTCAGTACCGTACTATTTCAGTAATTCTGTCTTTACAAAGTTTTAGAGAGTATTTTGTTATCAGGTTAACCAGAGTAGAGTTTTCATTTTTTGAAGCGATCCTGCGTTATCTCATCGATTGTGATACTGAAATGAAAATGCTCAATAGAATATCTTGTTGGACCGGAGTCTTGTCCGCTCTTTTAAAGGTTATTTTTTAAAATGAATAATGAACCAATCAATCTATAGCTTTTTTTATCAGGAAGTCCTATTATTTCTTTACAAATTGCTCTTTAAGAGATTCTGAAAAGCTTGTGTTAGTTGATTTTTTTAAAGGTATGAAGTCGAGCAGTCAAAAACGATGAAACGATGAAAATCAAAGTTCCGATTTGAGCACTTTTTGTCACAGAAACCTATTTAGTGACAAAAGACAAAAGATAAAAATTAAAAATTAGGCAAATAGAAAAATTTTCCGAGAAATTGATTAAGCCGATTTCATTCTATGTTCATTGTAAGGATTTTAGCAAAAAACAAGAATTCCGGTTCGAATTTTCTTCAAGAATTCCCGTTCGGACTCAATTTTGCCTAAAAATGAGCTAAATCCAATAGTTAACCTTTTTTATTTAAAGCAAACCATACGTTGATCGGTTAATTATTCATCGGTTAAATTCAAAAAGGTAGACAAGACTTTCTGGCCAAACTAATAGCATCCAATTCCAAATTTAGCCAGCTACTTTTTATCTTATTTAAAATGGTCCCAGATCAGGCCATGGCTAGGGTAAAGTGTTTGGGTCAAAACCAGGCTAGCACTAGGTCTTGGCCTGGCTTCTGAGCTGCTTGCTTGACTGCATCTGCATCATTGCCTCAGATTAAGCTGTTATTTTCAAAAACCATTCAAAGTAAACTGAAACTCCTTTAATTTCCAAACAAAAGCTGTAAGTGCCCCTAAAAAACCGGCCCAAAGAGGCCAATCAGTTGTCGAAACTCTCTCTTTTTTACCCCCCATTTCCCTGACCTCAAATGATCTCCTCTGATCTTTCTCCTCAGGCCAACGTGTATCATTTCCCCCTTTTTCTCCACATTCTCATTCCAAAGCCATTTATTCTCGATTACATGACAAATCGTTTCCTCTTGTGAAATCCCTTGTTTACCCGCTTACAGCACTTTTTTTGTGAAGTTTCCATTTTAAATGTTTAGAAATTCCCTTCAAATCTTTGCTTATAAATTTGTCACCATTCCGGCTTTCAAGAAACTTCATCGTCTGGCAAATTGGATGCGATCACAAGGTATGAGCAAAAGATTTTGAGTAGAATTGGTCGCCTTATGCATTTATCTGTTTCTTTTTCCATCGTTAAAAGTAAAATCTTTAGAATTATACCAAGACATCCAGGAAATATTTAAAACTGAAGAATAACAGCCAAAACTGCTAAGAAACTCTTGAATCAGCCAAAATTACCTAAAAAACCGTCAACTCAGCCAAAACTGGAGCATATAAGCTTAGAAATTGCTAGAAATCCAATAATTTTCAGATGTGTCTCCAATGTGTGGTCGCTGTGTCCTTTTCGGGCTTTACTTGATCGTTCTTTTGGAGACACTCACCGTCGGTTTATTGGGATTCGCTGCATGGAGAGAGTTCAATCAAATCATCAATCTTCGTGTTCATGAAAGGTTTGGGCTTTCTTAATGTCAAGGAACACATGAAAAGGGGCCACGGGTTAGAAATTTTGTGATCAAAAACAATCTTGTTTAAAATTTGCCTGATCGCTTTAATTGATTAGTTTAAAATCACAAGATCACACCTTTTCAGAGACACAAATGCGGTGATTATTCTCACAATCGTTGTTGTTGCTTTATTGGGGTACGCTGTCAGTCTGCCTTGTTTATGCTTTGCAACACATGTAAGTCCAATTTTTTTATAGTTTAAACCAGCTTTGTAAACTAGAGCTGTTCATTTTCGGTCTGATTACTAATAAGTGTACGAGGGAAAAGGAGTTTTGACCACTTCAACAGCAAATTTTTCAGGGTTTTTCAGACCAAAAGATAGAGCTTAGAAAATTCTACCTTTATGTGGCAAGAGATCCCAAAAAAGTAGCTATTAAAGTAATCAAATCTCGTTTGCCGTTGTACACCTATTGACAATCAGAATCAAAATGAACTGCTCTAGTATAAACGATTGCTTTCAGACTCAATCCTCATCAGCTGTTGTTCCATATCTTTCTTGGAGACTACTATTCAATACATTGATTGTTATTATTGTTATTTCACAGGTAGACAGCAATGTAAACAAAAGAAAGATGAAATTTAGACGTTATTGGGTCGACGAAAGAGAGCGGCACCGTTTTCGTCAACACTTTTTGGTCGACAACTAACGATAGCAATAGCTGAGGTTAGTTTTAACGACAATAACAGTTTATTGGCTATTTTATGCGATAGAAAGAGTGTCATTTTGACCACAAAATATCTAATTCTCATCCCTTTCAGTTCGTTTTTGGCACCGCTTTCCTCATCGTTGCCCATCTAGCCTACCAACATTATGAGAGATTGAGATTGAGGAGACATGAAAGTGACGAGGATCTCGTTGAGACACATAAAGTTTTATATGCATATGCTTGAAAACTTATCGCTTTGTATTCAAAGCTTTGAATTTTTGAATGAATTTGTTCTATATGATGTAAACGAGCCAAAATCTTGTTTTCTTCAAATGTTTACCTTCCATTTCTCCGTTTTCTTTAAGCTTTTACCTTCCATTTCTCTGTTTTCTTTAATCTTTACCTTCCATTTCTTTCACTTCAATATACGATGTTTTTGGCGTATTTTCTTTGATTCCTCTTGTGAGCTGAATCTTGCGTTAAAACGGGTCTTTTTGTTGCAATAAAATTAATTACCAAGCCGATTTTCTCCCCAATTTCTGCACGAGTGAAGCAATTTGTTACCAAAGAGAGATGAATTTAAAAAAGATAGCATCGAATCAAGAAAGAGGAACTTCCCAATCTCTTTCTTTTTCTGTTATGACCAATCACTTGGTTGTGTAATACACTAACACAAATAAGTCGGTTTCTCATGATGGGAAAGAGTTTTGGAAGCTTTTTGGGAGAATTTGATTGATTAGTTGAGAATGAAAAGAGTCTGAAGGGTTTGACCTCAAGCAAGGAACTTTTATAATAGACTTTTCAAAAGAGAATGTATGACTTGAAAAGTTCCCTAACAAATTGGGTGATGAAATTGGGCCATTTATTCACAGGATTCACAGAATACAGATTTCAATCTCAAGCCTGATTCTTGAAAAGTCGTTTCTCGAGGTCATTGTTGACTAGCATGTCGAAGTATCTGAATTCGACTAATTGAATAGAAAGTTGAGTCTCAGCTGAGCAATAGCTGAGTCTAGAACCTCAGCTATTACTTTGGTTTAGCTCACTTACCTAAATTCCCCACTTTCACTTGTTTCTCCCGATTGAGAAACGTCGAGTTTGGTCTGTAGTCCAACCAAATCTTGGAGTACCTGGAATGGAAGACTTTTATCTATGTCTTTTAAATATTTATGGCTTTTAAAGTCTTGATTACCTTGATAAAAGTGTGACTTGATATAAACTGTGTATCCAAATCCTTTTTCCTCTTCTTTCCCATTTCCCATTGCTCATAACTGGGAACAGTTGGATAGATTGGGACAAGGGTTTTCGGTGTTGTGCGCATCACTTCATAGAGAGACTCCCTGGAGTTTTCAGCAATTCGAGGGGATTTGGTAAACCAATTCGGTTGTGCTGGTTTCCAAGCTTTTGACATCTTCTCAGTCGACTTTTCTTCGATGGATACAGAAGCTGAATTTGGACTTGGACTTCTCCAAAAGTTTGCCTCATTGGATGTTATTGGAGTCGTAGTACTAGTAGTTGTGGTTGTAATTGTTGTAGTTGTAGTTGATGTAGTGGTTATTGTTGTTGTTGTTGTTGATGTGGTTGTGGTTGTAGTTGAAGTGCTGCTTGTACTTGTACCACAAGTCGTTGTTGTTGTGGTTGTTGACTCCACAGGTGCGCCGATCGATTCTCCTTCAACTTCTTTTACCGGAGTGCCTTGAATAACTTTCTCCCAAGGTCCTCGCCAGGTTCGATCATGAAAAACTGTGCTATTCATCTTTTTCTGGAGATCTGAATCGACGTCGGCTCGCAGCTTCTTGGCCATGTTCTGGAATTTGAAAGTTTTCCAATATTATGAGACTGACATTACAATTTACAAGGGAAAGGCACCGAGTCAAGCTGGAGAGAGTGGGACTCGAACTTGAAAGCAAAAATGTAATAGATTCGGTAGTCTAGCAGACTATCCAATAGATAACCACCGGAGTCGTTGTTAAAGGAGCATTTGACGGCTTCTTACGCAGTCCAAAATTTAGATATCTGCAATATTAGCGTTCTGCAAAAACAAAAAACAGGACTCCAGATCCCTATGGACGTTATTTGGGGGGGGGCCCAACCCTGGGTGTAGTTCGGTGGCCCCGAAGCGTGTAGACAGCATGTGGCGGGGGTCCGGATTTGATATCTCGCGTTTACAAGCTTTTGCAAAAACTAAAACGGATTCGAGATCCCCATGGCCGACTCTATAAGAATGGGCTTGATCTCGAGTCAAAAGCCTGCTTGACTCCGTGCCTTTCCCTTATTAGAACTCAAAATTCCCGGTACAATTAACCAACCCTGTACATGAGACAACAAATCATTGGAGCACATTTCATATACCCTGGAGCACATCGGCAAGGAAACCCTCCTCGACACGGCATTGTCTCCGGTGGCAAGATTAGACAATCCACATGACATTCAGGCATACTGTAATCTGTGGATATTAAAATCAAAACGAGACTTTACCAATCCTCTCTGCATTGGTGTTGCTGTTGTTGGAATTCTTGATGAAAAGAACCAGCGCAACCGGGAAGACACATCGGTTGGCAAGAGGGAGAACACTGAGGTTGAGGGGCGACTGTGGGATGTGGGTGAAGGACAAAGACCATCGGTGAAGGAGGATTCGCTCCACCTGAACAGATTTACGGATTGCTAAATCTTTAGCTGAACTTTATACCAACCAGGCATTGCCATCGCATGAACGGTTGTCGGTGTAGTGATTTGTTGTCTCGGCATACAACACATTCGCCCACACCAACCGAACTCGCACTCTATTTGACCATTCGGATAATAAGTCATCTAAAACTTTTACAAATCATCACTTATTATCAAACCAACCCTTCGATAAGTGTTCCCCCATTTGTGTTTCTTCTTTGAAAGAGCTTTGTGCGGATCTTCTTTTTCAATTGATTCCATTGAGAAATCCTCCTCGACTTGTGGAGAATCAACTTTTGGTGGAGGATTTGGATGAATCTTGTGCCTTTGTGAAGCCAGAGCTCTCAAAGTACTCGACATCGGTGGAAAATGATCAACGACATGGTTGCGTTGAGGAGAAGTTGGTGAAAGGAATGAGAAACCCCTTGGATATGGAGGAAGAGTAGGGATTTGTGGTGTTGGAAGGCTTGGAATTGTTCCCAACATTGTTGCTGGAGTTGAGTAGTAATCTAAAAGTGATTGTTTTCTTCAAAGCAAAGCTTTTTCTTTGGTTTTGTTCCTGGTGTTTGTACTTGTTCAGTTTCAATTTCAGTTTTTCTGCAAAGTTATAAGTTTACCGATATTTGCTCGAATTGGAGGAGTTCCAATTGCAGATTGTGGTTGTGGTGAGACTGTTGGCGGGTGAAGAGTCTCGGGAAGTCTCATCATCGGTTGAATTCGCTGAGGAAAAAGACGAGCATTTGAGAGAACGTTCGGGTTCTGAAAAGAACTTATTCTTGTTCTTGGATTGTTGGTAAAATCGGTTTACTACAGGATGTGGCAGGATTATTGCAACCGCCTCAGAACATGAATGTTAGTTCCAACAATTATCTCTTCTTCCGGCTATTGTCTATCCAACAACTATCTCAACTATCAAAGAAAGATCTTCTTCCGTGAGCTAAAAATCACTTTGGCAACAGGATTTAGTGTTTTACGCAAGATGATGCTTATGCTCACAAGGCTTGAGTGGTTCAGGACTGGAGCAAGCAGCCTTTTCCCGATTGGGCCACTTTTAGTGAACCTAATCCGATGGATTACAGTGTTTAGAATGTTCTTAAAGCAAAAAACGTGCTCAAAACCGCATTCCAGCATCGATTCGCTTAAGAAATCTCTCCAAAAAGCATGTGATAAACTCGATCCAGCTTACCCGCTTACCATTTGGTGGATGCATTTTCCAAATGTCATCAGGCCTACATTCCTGCCTATACACAGTAATTAATGACCCAAATTTTTAGAAAAACCTATTTCTCTAAAAAACTTTCGACAAGAAATGTTATATATTATATACTATTTGCAAGCTCTAATTCTCAGCTATCTTGGTTCACAAAGAATTTTTTGATTGGAAAAACTTTTGGATCCTTAAGGCGCCTCGGGAGGGGTGTACAGCAAACACCCTTCGGCGTGCTACCATTTTTCTTGGTTTACTAGGCGAAGAGGGTTTAAAAAGGAGGTTGTTTTTAGTTGAATAAGGTTTTAACGATTCTATTAGTTTAGAATAAAGCAAGATTGAAGGAATAGAGGCGACTTCTAGCACCCGCTTTGCGCCAAGGCACTCATTTGTGCATAGTTTATCAAGATAAATTTATTTCAATAGTTCTTCACAAAAATGATAGGTTAAAAAGGTTTTGGTCGCCAATTTTTGAAGCCCCAACATATGCAGTTTATCTCCCTTTCCCACAAAATGAGTGCCTTGGATATTCCCAAAAAGTGTAGAGTATTTTGCTGACCCATAATACTCTACTTTTCAAGATTATAAGATTATCCGTTATCCGTATCGATTATCTATTATCCGTATACATTGCAGAAAAATTAAAGTATAAAACAAAAACAATAAGTAACGTAACAAATAGCTCCACAAAAGTAATGTCCCATTAACGTTTTCCTTGATTATTCTTTTTATTTTTGCGTTCTATGAACATTAAATGTATTTTATTTTATTATTTAGATGGATGGCAAGAAAAACCTTGACACTCCGAAGAAGCTCCGAATCGACAAGGCCCGGGAAAATGGGATGCGGGAAAAAGATGTGACCAACCTCTTCAATTGCTCGATATGGACAGTGCGCCGCATTCTTTCTCAATCAAAAGTCGACCGAAACCTTCATCGAGGCGTCAAGAATGGCCGACGACCAATCACAACCACAAAAGAAGATCGAGCCGTGATCCAAATGGTGAAAAACGATCCTAACAAAACACCAACCGATGGAAGCCAAATGATGAGGGATCAATTTAACAAGGTTGTATCGCCGGAAATGATCAGACGACGATTAAATCAAGCTGGATTATATGCAAGAAGGGCTGCCCGTAAACCTCTGATAAATTCTAAGCACCGGAAGCAGCGCCTTGACTTTGCACGGACCTACCGAAGTTGGACGACACGTGATTGGGCGAAAGTGTTATTTACCGATGAGACAAAAATCAATTTATTTCACGCGGATAGAAACCATCTTATTCGGCGACCGACTGGAAAACGACACGCACTCAAGTACATTCGGCCTACCGTGAAATTCAACGTCGGAAACATAATTTGTTGGGGCAAGAACCTTTTTAGTATTTTGTTACCTAAATTTTTTTCTTTAGGAGCGATGTCTCGAACTTCAGTAGGTCCGCTAGTCTACGTAAACTCGACGATGGAAGCTGTGGCTTACAAGAATATTATGGAGACCCAAATCAAACGATGCCTCCCGGATGGATGCTTTACCAGGACAACGGCCCGAAACACAAGTCGAGACTGATGATGGGACGGTTGGTGACACTTCAAAATGGTACCAGAGCTCGTCTGCCCGGATGGTTTGCGGCGAATCGTGTTAAATTGATCAATCCACCTCCCTACTAACCGGATCTCGATCCAATTGAACATTTGTGGTCATTTGTGAAGTCGCGCCTCAAGGGAAAGAAATTCGATTCGAAGGCCGCCTTATGGGTTCACATTCAACGTCTTTTGGCCACCATCCGCCCAAGTCTTTTGAAAAATCTCGTGGATTCCATGCCGGATCGACTCAATGAAGCGATAAAAGCAAAAGGAGGACCAACCAAATATTAATTTTTTGAAAAAATTGTTAATTCTTTGCAAATGGGACATTACTTTTGTGGAGCTATTTGTTAAGTAACTTATTGTTTTTGTTTTATACTTTAATTTTTCTGCAATGGATACGGTTAAGTCATAATCTTGAAAAGTAGAGTATTATGGGTAAGCAAAATACCCTACACTTTTTGGGAATATCGTTTTTTTGCAAGATTTTCGTACGAAAGAAACTTTTGGATGGCAATGGGACAATACTTTTGTGGACCACTGTAAAAGGAAGTAGTGTTTAACATGTCTTTAAGAATCAATTGTTAAAGTTTTTGAGTTAATTTCTCTTTTATCGGTTTCTATCCTTAAAAATATTGGTTACAATAATCCGGCCGCACCCTTTATTAGTCTTTAGGTGAAACTCACCGTCGAGGTTCCTCGAACAAAATTGGCATTTGTCTCATTTCTCACATATGGCTGCGGCTGCTTGACTGGATGAATGTAGTGACGAATTTTGACTAAAGTTTGACTCGTGTGACCTTCCAGAATCGACTTACACAAGTTCTCTTGATAAAAGGGTTGTGGAGTTGTTGTTGTGTAAATGACTTGAAGACTCGGCACCTGAACCTTTGAAATATACAGAAATGCTTTAAATATCTCCCACAGAATCGGATTTTCCTTGCAAAGCCCAATTTGCATATGAAGAAGCAATCTGAGATCGGTTCTGAAAGTCGATTTAGATCTATTTAAAGGAAAAAAATGTACCTGATGAGTTTCCACAAGCTTCAAATGAAAAAGCAGTAAAGGGAAAGTGAATAGAATCATAATAAGGAGTATTGTTCAATGTTCATAGAAAAATCGTTGATAAAAAGAGGTCGTGCTGATGTCGAAATTTGCATAAATAATGGGCAAAGGGGTGGTGAGTGACCCAGATCTTTCCTTCAAAAGAGACCCCAATTATGACAGATCAACAAACAAAGCCTCATTGACGCTCCAGCCACGCATCACTGTGGGATTTTTCGAGAAAAAGATTTAGTGCCCAAGTTTTGAAGAGTTTGTGAGCAAGTGAACGACAAGATTCTCGAGAATTTCATGGACTTGAACAAAGTTTACGCCTTCACTAATGTTTTTGGAGTAATGGAGTTTTTGTTCTAATGGCTGTACATTTTAAGATTGTTTCATAGAATATTTCATTGCAATTCATTGCAAGGATATTGCATACTGGATTGCAAGAATTTTACTAGCAAACTGCTTCTTGTCCAATTCTACAACTGTTTCTTGTTCAATCCTGCAATTCTGCAACATCAACAACTTCTAGAAGATCGCGAACAATTCCCCGGTATGTTTCAGCTTTTTAGGCATCGGCAAGCTGATCAGAACCATCTCTGGATGCCAAAACCGTCTTTCTTTGCACTTCTATCAAATACGGGAATTCTGATCACTTAAAAGAAGAAGAAAAGGGGAAGTTCCCTTTTCTTTTGCTCTTTTTTTCGTGAAAACGGACACTTCTCGGGCCTGTCAACGAGAGCCGACGGCATTCCAACACATATAAATAGCGGAAACCAAACATGGAAGTCACACGTTTTGTACACGTTTTCTAAAGGATTAAGCTTTTATGAACCAATTACTAACTTTTGAGTAAAAATTAAGCTCTGATTGAACTCTAAGTCAATCTCTGAAGTTCTTTTTCAAGAATTCTCTTTCACAGTTCAAAGCCATTTCCAGAAATGCTGCCAGAATCTTTGCTCTTCACAACTCTCTCCATTTTCTCGTACCAAAGCTTTGCTTCATCCACTTCTTTAACAAGTCTGGTAGGTATTTCTGTCAAATAGACACTCTATACTTAAAGAAGCACTGGAAAACGAAATTTCTAGGTTCCAAGATTTTCCGACTTATCCAAACTCTCGCAACCAATCTCGAATCTCCGAGTTGATCGACACAAACGACAGTGTGACGATAGCGGCTGTGCCCCACCTCCAATTTGCTTTTTTTGTCCAGTAAGTTTGGAAAAAGAGGATTGATAGATCAATCTTACTTACGGTGACAAAGCCCATCAATCTAATCGATCTTTAGGTCTGCTGTGGAGCCCCAAAGCCACCCCCACCCCCACCTTGCTGCATGTCTCCGAATCCAGTCCCCCCATGTCCTTGTGCCCCACCCACCCCACCTCCACCACCATGTTGTGCAGCTCCAAACCCTCCACCAAATTGTCCATGCTCGTCACCTCTTGTACAAACAGTGATCTGTTGCAAATCTGCTCCATCGCCAGCCAATCCATGTTGCCAGGCTTTGGCCCCATCCCCGCCACCACCTCCACCATGCTGTATGGTTGGTTTTGGTGATTTAAACTTAAAAACTAATGCCAGCATATTTGAGCTTTTGGTGCATTGAGCTTTGCTTTGCGCTTTCAAATCTAGTTCGACGTTTCAGATGGCCCCTTCACCAGCTAACCCATGCTGCCAACCAGCTCCACCACCGCCTTGCACATGCCAAGTTCGTTTAGATTTACGGACAAATGAACAACGAAATTCCTTTTCCACTAAATGTTCAACACTATCAATCAAGAGCTAAATTCTTTTTCAGGCTCCCCGCCCAGTCCCTTGCCGATGTGCAGCGCCAGTGATGGATTGCCCGACTTGTCCACCATCTCCGCCAAGATGTCCCGTCGCTATTCAGTGCCGAATCGGGTATCAGAGATTTTTTATCTACCTATAAACAAAGATATTTACATTTTCATAACAAAACTTTTTCAGCTTCCGAATGAGACGAGATGTTCATCATTCGGTTCTCAAAATGCTCCATCACTTCTAGAATCTTTTTTTCAAGAAACGGGTCTCATTTGTTAATGTTTTTTCAGACTTTTATGTGTGAATAGAAAGAATTTGATAAAGAATTTTATTGATTTTACGAGAAACTGCATAACATTTTAAGAATTCAATCATAAGACATAATCATAAGAATATAGAGTTTATTTATATGTCTATTGGCTTCAGCGGTCCATTTATTCGCTGGACTTGCAGCTTCTTCTGCCAGAACGTTATTGATTTCTTTGATAAGTTCTTGCAAAAGTTCTTTCTTTAAAGCATCAATTTCCGCATTCGATACTTTGCTCGTATTCCTAGATTTGGAAAGATTCTTTGGTCTAATAAAGTTTAACCTAGACTGAAGCATTGCAGTTAGATGTTTCTCTTCAACAGCACGCAAGTCTCTAAATATCTCGATTTTTTGAGTCATTCTGCTTTTGGGCTTACGGTTTTTCGTCATTTGGCGAGTTTGGAGCGTCTTGAGTTGGGAATTTTCTAAATTTTTTACGTAATAGGCACCGAATCATTTTATTGTCTTCAACTGCATCCATGATCGTTACCAAAAAGCGAAAAACCAATGATCACAAGCACTCACCCATAACAATAATCATTGCCTCTCATTTGCCTCTTTCGAAGCGCGTCGCCTCTTTTACTAAAAACCATCTTTTACTTAGCAAATGTCAAACTAAAGCTTACCAGCAACAATTTGAAAACAAGTCCACAACGATGTTAAGCGGCGGTGGAAAATGAGCCCTCTGATAAAAGAGTGCTCTCCGAAGCCTTCGACTATTCCATAAATCGTCCGCTCTTGCGTATGCTTCATCGTAGTGTTTACTAAATTAAATGAGTAATATTTGATAAATATGATCCACTTGATGATTGTTGTAAGTATATTGATCACAAGAATACTTGCTGCAAACATGTAACAGAAAAGAAGTAAAGGAGAAAGACCGCGACGAAGCCAACACTGAAAAAAAATATGTTTATCTTGCTTAATTTTCGATTGTATCATGCTACAACTAATCCTTCCATCAATCTTTGTAAGCAAAGTGCAACCTGTGCTTGTAAGACCCAATCCTCTGAACTGTTTCCCTTGTTTTCACATCCAGCTTTTCCCACCATGGAAACGTTTCCGAATTTCGTGTCATCTTGCGTATCTTGCATTAACTCAAAGGCTCCATGACTGAAATTTTATTTCCTTTAAGACAAAATCCACTTACATAAACATAGCCCACGGCGAATCGAAACCCCAACTTGTACCGAGCAACGAATTCTAGGAGTTAATTTTATTTAGGAATTTTTAAAACAGAGTTACCTGTACAACCGAATAGATAAGCCAAAAAACGAAGATTAATGGAAAGAAGCGGTAGAATGTTCGAGACTAAAGGAAGTATGGGGATTTTTCAATAGCGTAAAAGCTGTAATAGTAGCCCCCCTCTAATAGTAGCCCTCTCAGAGGGCCAAAAAATTGCATCTCCTTTTGGTTAAATATTTACGAGGACTGGATTTTGCTGCAAGCAACTGAACGCACAAACGGGAACCCAAAGGTCCCTGGAATGGGCATCTACTTAAAATGGGTTGCTGATGCTTGGGATTCAATGTCGGAAGAAGTCATTCGTCGATCTTTCAAAAGCTGTGGTGTTCAAGTGGTGTCGACGACCAGCTGATTCACTGTTTTAAGCCCGATGGCTCAATTCCTACAGGACTACAGTTACTCAGGGATGCACGTATCGAAAAAGAAGCCGATAAGCTCTTGGATCCACTTACTTCAGCAGATCTTCTCGATTTTCGTCAAGAAACAGAAATATGTGAGGAAGAATTTGGATCTGATATATCATCTGATCTAGATTTTCAAAATTCTGTTTTTTTTCTTGTTAATTTTTGTTGAGTTTTGCTTGATTTTATAAATAAATTATTTGAAAAATGTTTCTTTAAAGAGTAGCAATTATCTTATATTTTCCAGTTTTGGTCATGTCAATCGCAAAAAGTAGTATCGAAAAAATAATGACCCGCCTCTAATAATGATCCCCTAGAGGGTCAGCAAAAAAATAATGCTTCCGGGGCTACTATTACAGCTTTGACGGCAGTTTGAGCTAACCATTGTTTCAATTGTAATGATAATCGTGCCAAAGAAAGGTGTGCTGGCCATAAAGAGTAATGATCGTAATGAACAATAGATGAAGTTAATGTAGAAGAAAAATTCGTAAAGAACGATCAAGACCCCTCTGAATCCAACACAAATTCTTTCCAGGTTGGTTAACTCACCTTCCCTCAAATGGTAGGCTAGGATCTGATTCCAAAAGGATAGCAATATGTGCAACGAACAGGAAAACGACAGTTATGATTAGTAGCCAGATTTGAAGGTAAGCATATCGTTGAAAACTCCGATATTTCCAAAGAAAACTCCAATAATCGTCGTGAGCATAATCATTGATCACAAAAGTTTCCCAAATAAAGGTCATTTGCCAGCTGGATGAATTGGTGGAAATCGTTGATTAGCTTAACTCACCCCAGTAATCCGTACGCACACCATGTCAACCAATGAGTTCTTTGAATCGCGAAATTTTCACCAATAAGATGTAAATGTTGAAGACTAAGTCCATAGAGAAGAAGAAAGAGAAGATAAAATGCCTGTAGTCATAAATTGTTATTTAGATTCATTACAACTTACCGCGTGAGCCCGGAAAAGCCTTCTCGGCGTGAAAAATGGAGTTCTAAAATTTCATAATTACAATCTTTTGTATTCAAAGAACCGTTTCTTGTCATCGGTAGAAGGATTCCCCTTTTCTGCGCTTGCCGCAAGTCCTTGCCGCTCCTCATTTTTTGCCCCTTTTTCTGGGTTTGTATCCTTAACTTTTTCTCCTTTCTCCCAAAGTTCGTCCACAAATCGCTGAGCACAAGGATGAGCGAGAAACTTCTGAATGCTAAGCTTTATATAAATAACAAAGTCTCATATGTTCAGTTTCAAATATTGAACAGTTAATGCTCCTGAACTCCTGTGGCTTTCTCCAGCTTTCCGGTTAGAACAAAGCGTGAAGTCCAACATTATCCGCCAACTTACGCTAGCATTTGCCCTGTCGGCTATTTCGAGCAACGATGTAACACTCACAGGATTCGCTAAATTTTATTTCAACGCATAACTTAAAAAAAGACTTGATCCTGGTGAATTTCCCGCATAATAACCTTCCGAAAGCAATTTGTTCGCTACCCTCCCAGGCTTTGGTTTTGTTGGATCACGATAGCAATGGTCAAAGAGTTCATGGGCATTTATATCAAACTGCCTGAGGAAACAGTAATAAAGGGTGTTCAAGAATTACACGCATTTTTTATCTAGTGCGTAGCTCCACTTAGAGTTAACCATTTCCATAAAAATTTTTTGGTGGAATTTACAGCTTATTTTCAACTTATTTTCGATGCTTTACTTAGAAACTCAAAATTAGCAATTCTATAGAACTTCAAATCTCCAAAACTCGAGAGTCTCAGGGACGCGGCTCCTTGTGACCAAACTTTGCCTTTTTCTATGACCCACTCTTTTTGTTTGTGAAAAACATCGACCCAATCGAGCTCGTAAGCCTTTTTGAAGGCTTTTTCCATTTGATCGGAGACATAAACAACGAGCAATGCGGCAAAGATCGGGGCTTGGCATTTATCCCAAGTGTCAGCTTCGGCACTAGAATGCAAATATCAGAAACATTAATCAGGAATAAAATGTGAGCTTATTAAATCAACCTTGCAATAAAATGTAAGCTAATTTGTTATTTCAATCCAGACTTACTTCGATTGATCCGTTGGATTGACAGCTGACTGATCCGTTTCCTTCACCTCTCCAGCTTTTCTGAAAGAAATTGGGTACGATAATAAAGTAAAGAACTGAATGGCAAAGAATTTGGAACCGAGGAGGAATTGAACCCTCGACCCTCTGCCAACCAGGCAGGTGCTCCTCTATCATTGAGCTATCGGCGCTTTTTTTTGCCCAAGAAGAAAGAGGAAAGACAAGGAAGAGAAAGAAAGGAAGAAAGAGAAGGGAGTTAAGAGTCACATTTAATTGTCGCTATTCAACTGAAAAATAATCTTTCCAAAGTCCTACCCATAAAATGCGTTGCATAACAAACGGACGAGAGTCGGATCGTTGAAATTTGATAATTTACCCTGAATCAATATTTTTATCGAAGAAAATATTGTATATCCCACAATTGGCAATAGTGCTTTTATAATTTCCTCAACATATCCATAAATTCTTCCCCCCTCTTCACCCTCCACATATTCGAGCTTTGGTAGAATCACTTGTCTGTAGATATTACCATGCTAAAATATTAAGAATTGAATTTAGAAAAGAATAAAAGAACCCCTTCATCCAAAGCTATCAAAATCTCCTTGATCTCGGTTGGAAAATCTTGCTCTTCACATTGATTCATTAAAATAACTGATATTCTTAAATACAGCCAAAAAATTGATGAAGCAAAAAGTAAAAAAGGTAAAAAAGTAAAAAGCTGAAAAGCTCTGTGAAAGTTAAAAATTGTGACTATCGCAAAAAAAAAGTGAAGGAGTGATCTTGGCTTATCAGTTTTTGCCTGGCTGAAGAGCTTCTCTTTGTGCAAAAACTTATGCCTGAAAATGCTTAAACATGTGTTGCAAGTATATGTGTGATTCATTGATTTGAAAGTTCAGCTCTTTCCGGGTATTTTGAGCGGGCCGTTTAACTTTGAAGGCCTATAACTTTATCTAGAGATTATATTTTTGCTAACTTTTTGTAACATTGTATAGAGGACATTTTAAGCTTTTAAATTATACCAAATAAAGCTTGACTGGATTTTTAATTCCCATGCAAACAAGGCGACACAACACCCGAGTTGGATAGGTCTCACTTGCTGAGAGTTGGCTCTGATTTTCTGGGACTTGATTATCCAATTAAGCTCTATTTGGTAGCATTTGAAAGCCTGAAATTTCCTCTGTGCAATGATGTAAAAAGTTAGCAAACATATTATCTTTGAACAAAATTATTGATCTCCAAAGCGTGATGATCCTCTCAAAATACCCGGAAACTACGCAAGAGCCGAAAATTCTTTTACTCTCTTGAAAATGCACTAAAGTAAAAACTTTTATTGTTGCATTAATCTCATTGTCAGATGGCAGGTTCAATTTCCATGTGATCCAGTTTCCTTCACGTAATCGAATCCTTCAACGTTGACTTTTGTATCAAGCAGACTGTTTCTGAAAAGTTCGTAATTCTCATGCTTTAGAATTTAGGCTTAGGAATTTAAGCTTTAAAATAGAATTTAAGTATTAAAAGCTTTAAAAGCTTAAATTCAAACGTATGAGAAGCCTAAAAATTTTCTGAAAAATAGCTTTCAAACCTATCTGTCGAACTGTCCTCTTCAGCATCCACAAGTGGGCTAAAGTTCGAAAGTAAACAAATCTTTTCAAATGTTTTTGGTGATTACTTTAGTTTGTTTTTAAATCAAAGCAATTACATATTGTCATTTTGATTTCCATTGCCGCTTTCAATGTTTGAAGAGCTCGTAGCAGGTGGGGTTTGAACCTTGGCTCTAAATGGATTTATCGTAGATAAATAGCACTTTCTTTAAAATTTACCCAGAAAACGTTACAGAAAACGTTACTATCTGGTGATTTTTTTCGATTAGCCAAGCCAAAAATTATTTAAACTCACGAATAACAATGCTGATCGCTGTTTTTCTCCTTGAGTCTACGAAGCTTGTTAATCCCCTCTCCACTAAAGGAATTGATTATTCAAACTTTCAACTATTTTCAGCTCACCTGCAAAGGCCTATCAGATAAGCTCCAAAGTCAACGAAAATGTTGAATGGTGGTGGTAGATGACTTTTCTGATAAAGCATCGTTCTTCTCAACTTTCGGCTATTCCAGTGATGGCTTGCTCTAGCTTGTGCATCATCATATTGTTGGCTAAAGTTTTAATGTTTCTTTTTATATCAAGTGTAAAAAATGAACTTGATAAGCGTTGTTAGGATGTTGATGACAAGAACACTGGCTCCCATGATGTAGAAGAAGAGAACAACTGGGGCCATTCCGCGACGGAGAAAGCACTAAACACTAGACATGGGAAAATTCTAAGCCGAGCCTAATTCCACTTTCATTTTCTGGTCCGTCTCTTGGCCGATTGCTCTGAAATTTTGTCTACAAGCAGAGAATGCCAATTTCTATTTGTAAACAAAATTTCAGAACAATCGGCTAAGAGACGGCTGAGAAAACAAAGGTGGAATTAGGTTCAGGTTGAAATTTTCCCATGTTTACGGCAGTTTTAATGCGATCCGAAAAGGTTTGTTTTCTCTTTTGAGCATGAAGCACATTTGAAAAAGGACAGTTATTTAAAGTAATAATATCAAATTCACCAAACCTGTTTTCCTAGCACCGATTGTGTCTCATTTGGGCATTCCACATTTCCCACCGATTGAATACTTCCATTCTTTGTCTCGTCTTGTGTATCTTGCACCAACTCGAAAGCTCCATGACTTAAATTTTACCAAATATCCAGGTAAAAACTAAAAACTTACATAAACATAGCCCAAACAAAGTTCTTATCAGATGTGACATCTGTTAAGGATAACTGAAGATGTTTTTGATATTGAAATCTTTCATTTAAGCACCTGAACTGTCGAGTAAACCAACCAAAACACGATGATCACTGGCGCAAATTTGAAAAACGTTTTAAACTGAAACTTTTTGTTATGACAACTTAAGATTGTAACCATGTTTTCAATTGTGAAAATGATCGTTCCAAAGAATGAGGAGATTGTCAAAATGAGGAGAGATCGAAGAGAAGTGTAGATAAAATTGAGGTAGAAGAAGAATTCGTAAAACAGAATCAACCATTCTCTGTAAAAAGCTTTGCTTGAACAAACCTGGAAAGCTTTGCCTTACTTCTTTGGAGTTATTTGAATTCGTTGATAACTATCTAACAGAGTACAGATGAAGAGAATTGCTAATGGTATTGTGTTTATAACGAGGAAGATCCAATGGAGAAGTGTGTATCGGTGATAGTTCCAATAGAGGGAAGAATAGGATAGAGAACTGCCTCGAACTTCGACAACATAGGTTTCCCAGATGAAAGTAAGTTGCCAGCTGGAATATTAAATCCAAACAATCTATTAAATCTTGGTTCTTACAAAAGCAATCCAAAAGCCCATCCAATCAGCTTCCAGTTAATCTCAGAGTTTTCAAAGTTCCTTCCGAGTGAATACATGTATTGCAGAAATAGTCCATAAAGAACCATGTAAAGGAGGTAAAAGAGCTGGAAATTTTGAGGTTATGGTTAAATTAAAAGGTTTACCGTATGCACCACAAAGATATTTCTTGGTCGTTTGTAGAATGGAGCCCTGTAAAAAGGTTTTTAAAGTTTAAAGAGCGTTTTCACCTTTCAATAACAGTTTCAAACGTTGAAGTGGTTGTGGTATTTGAGAGAGCGGTCGCTTCCATTCGTTGTGCTGCTATCAACGGTTCGGTAACTCCTTGTGGAATGGCCGCCCTTTCTCGATTTTCTGTTGCATCTCTGATCGGTCCCCCAACTTCGACCTTTTTCACAGAATTCATTCCGTTAACCCAAACGTGATCGATGAAACGTTGAACGCATGGAAGAGCCAGAAATTTCTGAATTACCGTAAATGCCGTATTGGAATGACACCTCCCTGACCCCTCGAAATCTTGACTTTAGACCCCCCTTGTGGGGGTTCTATGGATAGATCTAGGCCTAAAACCTACTACCATAAATCCTCTATTAGAGCGGCACCCTCTAATAGAGCGGCACTTCGTAATGCTCATTTTGACAGCTCACAGATTCAACTTTTTCCAAAAATATTTTCTCCGAAAGTGCTTAAAATTATGCATATGGGTCCTAATTATAATTTAAAAGTGATGGCAGTAAAATCCAATTCGCTCCTGGAAAAAATTTTTACTAAACATTTCTTGCGAAAAAAGCTTAAGGGGGGACCACAGGGATTTTCGAGGATCGGACATCCGGGGGTAGAACCATGGACATTACTTTTTGTTTTAATGGTGCTTTTCGTATGTTTTAGACTAGAAGAAATTGAATTATATCGAATATCTGAATTTTCCTAATCCGGTGTTATTTTTTCAAAAATAGGGTGTTTTCCGAAACAAACTGTCCGTTTATAAAAAGTACAAGTGTATAAGAGTTTTTGGGACACCCTGCATATAGTAGATTGTCGCTCCATCGGGGACTCACATGAGCATTCGCTCGATCAGCGATCTCCAACAATGTGGTTGCTTTTGAGTTCTTATCTAAATAAACAGATTGTCAGCACAACTTTTAGATAAATGTCTAACTTATCTGTTTATCTGGTCTTAGACTCACTAGCTATTTCCGCAAAGTATCCTTCGGTGAGCAAAGTTTTTGTTTTTCGTCGATTCCCTTTATGTGATGTGGAAAGAAGTTCTTCAGCCTTTTCATCAAATTTGCTAACGTTTTAGTTGATCGCTTCAATTCTTTTAAACTCACTTCTTCTGATTTTCAAATATTTCCACCCAATCCAATTCATACCATTTTTTGAAGAGTTTAATTAGTTGGTCAGACACATAAACAATGATTAAAGCGGAAAAGATTCGAGTCTCCTCCGCACATCCCTTTAGAAAATCGGGATTACTTGGGTGCCCGTTAACTGTTCCTTCTAATTCTTCAACTTTTGCTTCTCTAAAAGAAAATTAATAGTGATAAATTTTCCTAAAACAAAGGAAACCCCTTTTTGATGCAAAAATGAAAATTACCCATAAAATGCCCTGCACAAGAGCCTGATCAACTTTTTATCAACGAGATCCATGAGTGAATCCTGTAAATGCAATCAATTTCAACCTTCTTTCATCACTCACCAAATGCAAAATCCCCTCCAACATCGATTTTATTAAGGAATTTATTTCGGAAAGGAATGAGGCATCTTTCGATGTCAAATTGGACAAAATGGAGTGTTGGTAGATGTTTTCATGCTGAAGCAAGGATGAGTACAGAACAGGTAAGATCTACCCACCGAAGCCTCTAATTTTCCAGCAAATTTTCAATTTCTTTCAGCAATTAATTAGCCATTTGAGTCATTAAGAGATAAAGAAGTAACAAATAAGTGCCAAAAAAAGTACTCAAAAATAATACCAGGATTGGAGAATTTAGAGCCAAGTCGCGTCTTCTTATCACTCTTTTTTGAGTGGTCACTATCCGTTTCTCCGCCATGGCGTTAGTTCTCTTTCCGCAGAAATTAATCACTCAAACGTATCAGTAACCAAATTTGAAAAAGTTACAAATAAAATGAATAGGAAATAGGAAATAAAATTTGCTTTATTTGATGTACACAGATCTTTCAACAAGTTAGGAAATAGTAATCAAAAGTTGTTTTTAAAAGCTTCTAAATACCAATAAATCAATAACCATCAAGTTATCTTTGGCTTTCACATACTTGATCTATAGCGGAACCTGTAATTTACTTCAAAAACTAATATTAATGCTCTGTTTTGGAAATTTGCCACCTTTCACTTCCACAATCTTTTGCTGGAAAGTCAGTTTTTATCACTTTTTCATTTTCCTAGCAAAAACGTGCTCATAAAAATTTCATTTTGAGTGGACTTCCAAAATTTTCCTTTTGAAAATTCAATCGCAAAACACGCAATTCTAGGATTGAAGTTAGGGAAAGGGGAAATTCTCCTGCTTAGTTTCTGCTTTGATAAATCTCAAAGTTTTGTTTTTCTGGATGCATTTATCAAGCTATGCAAACACGAAGCTCAATTCGGAAAATTTTCAGAGCTCTTTGACAATCCATTTGATTGTTTGTTGTTCGTGCTCCTCAATAAAAATAATAGCTTGTCTTTTTTAATGATTGACATTACTCTAATTTATAGTGTGCCCTTGCGTTTTTAAAAACTTTCCTAAAAGTAAAAGTAAAACTAAAACTCAACTTTCAAAAACTACCGTAACCTTGTCACTAAATTTATCCAATCTAGCTACTTTTTATATCTTTTAAAATCTTTTTTAAACTCTCACAGAATCAGATCAGATCAAAAGTAGACAAATTGGATAAAACTGTAGAAAGAGTAGCTTTTGGAGACTTGGTAGATTATTTGTGAAAGATAATCTTTATTATCTTAACTTGTTAAGTATCTTTGTTAAAGGAATATTCCGGCCTAAAAGTTGTCTTTCATGAATCGCCGTCATTTATATATTATTTGATGCGTTTTAGTCTTCTTTACAACTATTTCCTATATGAAAAACAAGGTTTCCAATCGAGAAATGAAGAAAAATGCAATTTTTGCTTTCCGCCCCACCCTAAAGCGTGAATATTTGGGCGAAAAGTATATAAAAGTTTCGTCCAATTCCACTTTAGCACTTGTCTTCTTTTCTTTTGCACGTATTTTCTCAAATTTAACAGCAATCTTCAATATTTTTTTTAATAGAAAACATTACATTCTATTAGGTTGGCAACTTAATAATGACGCGTCACTACTTAACATGTTTTGTAATTTCAAGCGCCGTTTCTTCCCTCTTTTTTGCATATATACAAAGTAAAAGATGTCTGCATAAATAACATTTAGTGCTCCAAATTTTATCATTCGCTTTTTGGCAAAAAATGGAGGACAAAAAATTCCGTATTCGAGCTACATTGTTCTACAATTTTAAACAAGGAAAATCACCAGCGGAATCTCATCGCACGAGCATCATTGTTTTTGGAGAGGAAAGTATACACATCCGTCAATGTCAACGATGGTTTCAACGATTCCAAGGCGGCGATGAAAGTCTCGTAGACGAGCCACACCAAGGACATCCTCCAGAAGTGGTCGACGATGACTTGCTCGCCTTAATTGAAGATTGCCCAACACTCACTGTTCGTGAGTTGGCAGAAATATTTGAAGTATCCCATACGACAATCGAAAGCTATTTACACCAACTTGGGAAAAAGAATCGAGTTGGAAAATGGGTTCCTCACAAACTGACCCAAAGCAACAAAATGGCCCGTGTCAATGTCGGCTCAATTTTGCTACAAAAATGTAAATCAAACGACTTTTTTCACAGGGTTTTGACTTCTGACGAAACGTGGATCAACTATGAGAACGTCAAACACAAAAATCAATGACTCTCTATTGGGCAGACCCCGCAAACCACTCCCAATCCGGATATCCATGGGAAGAAGATAACGCTCTATTACTGGTGGAACTTCAAGGGATTGGTGCGTTATGAAGTGCTGAAACCTGTCCAAACCGTCGATGCTGATCCTTATTCGAAGCAATTAATGAGAGTTAACGAGTCTCTGAGGAAATTGGGGCTCAAACCGGAAAGAGTCAGATTTTTACACGACAACGCAAAACCACAAAACTGCAAAGATCCCTTATAAGAAAATCTAGGAATTTGGCTGGAAAGTGCTGCCCCATGCACCTTATTCTCCCGACTTGGCTCCTTCAGATTACTTTTTTTCAGTCGCTGAAGCACTTTTTGGAGTGAGAAAAGTTCGATGATCATGCTCAGGTCATAAAAGCAGTTAATGACTACTTCGCCTCAAAAACTCCCAAGTCCTTCGAGGATGGGATCCGGGATTTGCGCAGAAGATGGGAAGAAGTCAGAGATACTAATGGAGAATACCTTTCGAATTGAAAGCTCTTCTTTTGTGTTTTTTTGAAATAAATGATTTGCCAAATAAATAAATGAAAATCAGACTTAAGAAGACGTGAAAAACAGGTGCCCAGTTTAACACTAACTTTCCTTAGGCCGCAGTACCCCTTTAAAATGACATGAAAACGCATCCTTTCTGGCATACTGAATTCTCCGTTTCAAAAACAATCAAAACAAATTAATTGTTGCCTGTGTGTTTTCAGAAGAACTGAAAGTACACAAAAAAACAATAATTGAATCCAAAATACCGAATCTTGCTCATTCCTCGAATCACACAAATCAACCCGTGAACTCTCAAGCATTTCCCTTTTTTCCATCCTATTCTGAAAGAGTAATCAAATATTTGTGCAACGAAAACCAAAACTAAACAACTACACAATTCGGCTCTTTTTTTTCAAGTTTTCTCACTTTTTGGCGTTTTCAAGAGTCTATAGGGGGGAAAAGGAGGACTGGCTCTTGACTGGTCTTTTTGGGCATTCACTTGTGAACCTTTCGATTCCAACGGTTCGAACTTAAACGCTTTTAAAGCCACTGAAGGGTCAAATTTTAAAAGTTTCTCTGTGACAAAACAAAGACTTCCCGGTAAATTTGAATATCTCGCTTTAAAGAACGATAAATTTAAAACCATTTGAGCAACACCACCAACTTTCCCGAATTCTCTTGATCCTCTCCCATCGTTTCCCCCTTTTTCCAATCCATTTCCATTCTTTCTATTCTTTTCCCCTCTTTGGTTATTCTTTTATCTACTCTTTTCCCTCTTTTTTGCACCTTTAATTCGTCCATTTGTTGTTCCACTCATCACCACTTTTGTCGCTCTTTTTGATTGAGTTGAATTTAGCGAAAATAGTCAGAGTACGATTCTCAACAGTTTTTAAATCAAAAAGGACGTTGATAAGAGAAAAATTGAAACGTTTGAGAACTCTAATATCAGTTCTGAATCTTTTGATGGCTTTTTACAAAAAATTCCTTGAGCTTTCTTGGTTTTGATTTAATTTAGTACCTTTTGTATCTAGCTGGGAATTTTCGGATTTTGGCTTCAATTATGGCTTCTTCTTTACAACACTGATATTAGATTTACATCAGGCCAAAGACTTTGATGGAGAAAGTAAAACTTTCCATTTTCATAAATAGAGAAAGATAGCCATGCTTTTGAATCTCTACCTTTATTAATCTTCTAGATTTATTACAGATTTCTTTTTATGGTTAAAGAAAACGCCAAACATCCTAAAATGAGAATTCTCTTTGAGCAAAACTAAAAATGAAATCGAATATCCGATTGGATTACTTCATTTTTATCCACTCAACTCGATAAAAGAACAAATATAATTTCGGAGTCAAATTTCATTTCAAACAATTTCTTCTATCATAAGTCATAGTTTCCAATTCTATAGTCTTCAAATTTGACTCACTTTGAGGAATGATTAAGGAGAAAGAAAATACTGACATTTTAGAGTTCTTGGGTTTTTTCAAAAGGTTTTTTCTCGAACCTTTTGCATTTTTTTTTCTCATTGTTGCTATTTTAGGAAGTGCATGACGAGACAATCAAATTACAAGAGTGTTCCTGTACTTGAAGGGGTGAGTAGAGTTAAAAGTTGAGCTCATTGAACTAGAATGTTCGTCCAAAAGACTAAAGTTCGTTTGTTCGTTTCTTTTACCAAAGTTTTTTTACAAGATTAACCACGATTATCTAAAATACCTTTTCCATTTCACATCTTTCCCGTAATAAAGAGAGGAAATGGAGTTCCTGAAGTTAAATAGTTCGTTTCCCTTCATGAAAATTGCTTCCTTTTCCCCAATTTCTTGTGGAACGAGAGATTTTTGTGGTTCTTCCCGAAAACCAAACTCTCCCCCGCATTTTCAAGGTCGTCTCCAAAAAATCTTAAAACAAAATAGATCTGCTGTGATTGAGATTGTTACTGATCTATTTCGAGATTCGTTTTTTATTGCTTATCTAAAATTTTGGATGATTTCTGAGCGTAGAAATGTTGTGATTCCTATAGAAGAGGTGAAATTTCGATTTTTGAATTTCTTTTCTTACAAAATTTGTTTATAAACTTTTGAATGAAGCTTTGCAAGAGTTCAACAACAACTTTTTTCTTCCTTATTTTTCTTTTTCTCTTCTTTTCGAAATGGGAACAACTGTTACAATCAGAGACAAGGGTTAAACTTTTGGGACTCTTGCAAGGACTCTTTCATTGTTAATCCATCCAACCCTTCCATTTATTTTGATTTCCAATGAAAGCTGTTTATAGAATCTATTATTCGGTTGGTTTCCGTTTAAATTTAAAAAAAACCGAGATAAATCCTAAGCAAAACAAACAACAGTATTACCTAGATAAAATGAGCTATTGGCTAAAAACTTTAACAGTATTGTAAGTAGGATAAAATCTTCTTAAAAGAGGAAAATGAATACGGTAACCCATTAATTTCTAGCTTTCATCAAAAGTAACTGGTCGCCAAGAGTACTACTACACGAAAGTCCAGCATCATGTCCTCCTTGCAACCGCCTCAAATCTCATCGCTTCGTTGGTATTTTTAGCCTTTGAGCTATTTCTCTATTTCTACATCACAAAAAACCGATATAAGTGAGTTTACAAGACCAAATCTGCTAAAATTGCCTGTTTTTAGTTATTTTCCACGAAAACTCGATGAATGTCAATGGTCATTTCCTGTGATTTTCTTTGTGCTCAATGTTGTGCTTCAAGTGATCTTGGTGCTCGGCGCTCGGAAGCTAAATCTGTCATTGCTGAGGCTATATCTTGGTTTACAGGTTGGTTCTTGAGATGAGGCGCCTCGCGGGTCATTTGACACAGTGATTTTTCTTTTGTCCTTTAAATGATTCCCGAACGAGATTTAGTATTAAAAATTTGTGTGAAGGGGTTTTCAAGGTCTTAGAGCGTATTGCTGGAGTTTATTTGAACTTTTTGTCCCAAGAAAAGTCCCAAGAGAACCGAGTTTGCTTTGGGTTTTGCATATGATAGCTTTTCACAATGAAAAGATCCGTCTTTTGAGAGAGATTTTCCAAATTTTGGCATAAATTTTTTGCTTTAAATTTGACTGCATTTTGTTACAAATTCTATAACCTTAAAAGACAATTTTAGGGCTTACTGATTGTGGCCGAGATCCTGATTCTCGTGTGGACGATGATCAATCTTGATGCCTGGCTGTTAAACATCGCCCGATTGATCATCACCCTTTTCTCATTTTGGTCTTTCTTGGCTGGCTTGAAAATGTTGAAGATCACGATACATGAGAGATCTGATGAATAGACGTGATTGAACAGATGAATAGATGATGATCTAGAATAGATGTGATTGTACAATGTTTTACAATCGTTTCCCTTGAACCAACGCAACTTTTAAACTTTTAACCCTGAGAATTTCACATATTTATGGTGCACTATTCGGTGTTATTTTCTTACCAAAACGGGTCACGAAAAGCTTTAATTTTCTTGTTGTACGATGATTTTTGCATAATAAAAGTTTTATGTTCACAATTTTACGATGAATTATTATTGACCCAAAGCTTTTGACATATTAAATTTGATTTGCCGAATCATAGACTGATAAAATTCGATCAGCTTTCTCGTATTCGTTGATGATCTCGGCACTCGTCGTTAAAACCCCTATAGCTATGGAAGATTCTTTGAAAATCGTTTAAATTAACGTAAAACTAGTACTTTTGGATATGATCTTGATCTTGAAACAAAAAAAGTAGTTGTTTAAAACAAACCCAGGCCAAAGACCAACCAATTTCTCTATACAGTCCGTGAATAAAATTAAATTCGAAGTGTCTCCCAACTGTAATTGAATACAGTTAAGTTTCGAGCTTCGATTATAAGCTATTATAAGTTTCGATTAAGCTTCGATTATAAAATTACACGATCAATTCGAAATCCCTTTTTCGACGGGTATTTCTTCCAAAACTCGATGCATTTCCCAATCGTGGCTTTGATTTTCGTGAATTAGATTCTTCGCTTTTTCATTTAGAACACCTTCTTTTGGGCAGAGTTTCGGTGTTTCTTGAACAATCTTCAACACCGAACATTGAAAACATACATTTTGATGTTCAAGAGCTCACTCAGCTGAATAATATTTTCACCAAATGAGAGGAAATACCGTATTTCCCCTAATATAGTGCACCGCAACGAGCAGAATTGATGACTATTTTACGGTTTCCAAGTTTTCGCAAAAGCTCAACACTCTAATCCTCCACAAGATCTCATCATCAGCTACATTTTCCTACCCCACATCGATAGGTTCTGATAAGCGGTTTTCGAGATTTCAAGCAATTTAGGCGAAGCTTACGGTGCACTATTATTAGGGAAAATACGGTCGTTGCCACATCTGCGTTCCCGTCACTCTTGTCTCTTGTCGTTTCTGATATTCTTTGGGTGTTTTCGCGATAAAGCTCTCAACTAGAGCTTTGTCCTTCTTCAAGAAACGCTCTAATTCCCTGAAGTGAAATCTGAGTTTGATTAACTTAAGTGAACTGACTAATTTAACACTTTTTTTTGCCCTGTTTCAAGATAGTATCCTCTACAATATCAACCCATTATGGGTGTTGGAGATTTGAAAGACAACTGAGGCAAAGCCGTCGAAAACCCGATGTAACCAAATTTCTTTTCCATCTCTTTCATCAAGATTCTATGTTCGTTATGAAGATCGGCAATTCTCAGCAATTCCAAAGGATTCATATCACTTGCGGGAATTCTTTGGCCCTGGTTTTCTCCTCGCCTCACCTTTGTTTTCTCCGTTTCGTTTTCATCTTCCGAAAAAGTGATCGCAGAAATTGTACAAGCATTTTAGTGAACTTATTCCGTAAAACAAATACAGAAATGAATAATGTCAATTTAGTTTTCAATAGATTCAATCAGCAATATTTCCCTGTGGCAAACCGGATATAAAAGCGTTTGCTTAATTGTCTCAAGACACGATGAGAACTTTTTCAACTTGGTGAGAACATGATGAGGACTTGAGAAGCAACTTTTCCTTTTAAAATATGATCGATCAAAGTATTCAATTCAATGTCTAGACTCATCTATCATATTTTTTCAAATTTTCAATGCATTCATTGCACGTGAGACACGTTAAAAGCTGGGTTTGTTAATTGAGAAGCGTTTCAAATATCGTTTGGCCAATTGAAATTCCACAACGTACCTTGTCCTTGTCTTTAAACTCAGAAATGGTCGCTATCTGTTATCGTTATGTAAAGGTTGACTGGGAGTTAACTTTTGTCCAAAGAAACCCAAAAGTGGCAAAGAACGTCTACGATCTATTCCCCTTTTTCCTTTCAACACCAATCAACCCAACCACCTGTCTATTATCGAATAAATTATGCATTAAAAAGTGAAATCCCATGACAAATTGCATAAAAAAGTTATGTTTTGATTAAAAACAATAAATTTCCCTTTTTCCTTCACCTTTTCCCCTTTTCAGCAGGCTACAATTATTGAAAAGGTTTTAAGAAATGTTGTTGCCATTTTTGATTCATTCCGAATTATTTCAGATTCTCTCTATATCTAACTTTGAAATATGGTACTTTTCACTGAAATCATTGACTATTTGGGCAATGCTCTGGCTATTGTCGTCCTCGTTTGGACCACTTTGCTGTTGGCTAGGAAAAGGAGATACCATCCGAATTATAGGTAAACAAAGAAGATCTAAACTGGCTTTGAAAGCATTTGAAATAAGAAAATATCAAAAATTCAGCTAACTTTGAATCAATTTAAGCCAATAGTGACAAAAAAAAGTGGCTTGCCTCTTCCAGAATCGGTGTCGTTCTCTTGAGCGGCTCCATTTTATATCAGTTGATTTCGAATACGATATTTGTCGCGATTCAATGGTCCGAATTCACTGTCAGTTTGATTTTTTCACATAAAAATACGAATTGTATCAAGTTACAGTTCTCTTTTGAGTTTTATATCATAAATCAACTCGGTTGGATCTGGTATCGAGCGGCGATTTTGACGTTTGTCACCGAGAGATTTATCGCCTCATTGATCACTGATAGCTATGAAACTCTGAATACAATAAAATACAACATTTTACTATTACTATTTACAGTGATTGTCTTCATACTGCTGTTCTTGATTATGTTGTTGACAAGTGAGTTTTGCATAGCTGCATTGTTTTGTCTGGCTGCAACATTGCATAGCTCGATCTTGACAAATTCTAGAAAATGTAAAGGGCATCTATACGGTAATTTGGACAGTGTTTATGCAAGGGATCACGCTTCCGGTAAGAAAATTTTGAATCTTTATTTTTAAACAAATTTAGATGGTATTTTATGCCCTGAGGAGAACAAGGATTGATTGGGCCGATCGACATAAAGAAGCTTCACTCTCGAAGGTTTATCTTTCATCTTTTACTTACACTATAAAGGGGGGCGAGGTAATAATCGTGAACTCACTAAAAAAATTTTTTGAGAAAATTTATTTATTTCGGGTTTATTTGTTAGATTTATTGCTTCGAACCGTCTAGAGTTGGCCTCTTTGGCAAGAACACTAACCACTCGGCTAAATCGGTAGCGTGGGCCAGTCGCTGAGGACGGCTTAGAATGGTTCGAAGCAAAAATCGGATTCAGCTGGGGACCAGAATACCCCTTTAAAGCTCAAACGAATCAACTCCATTCAGCGTTTTCAACTTGCCGAATCGCGTTCATCCGCTCGAATCTTTGTCCCTCTTGTAATTAGCAATTTCTGTACGGTTCTCTTTTTTCTCGCGTGTCAATCGATTAACACTTTTGCCGAGTTGAGTCTCAATGAACAACAATTTGTGAGAGGTTTCATTGACTTGGTGAGTTGTGAAAAGAGTCAAAGCTATTTTTCTTCCAGATCGATTTCTATCAACGTATTTTCTACACTTGTTTGGTGGTGAGAGCTGAAGAAGATTGGTGGTTGGATGTGAAGGATCGATTTTGTCAGTTGAAAAGATGGATATGGAAGAATTCGAATAAAGAGAGCAAAAGGAATCGGATTCACGAATTGTCAGGTAAGAATTGAGTTGAATTGAATTTAGAAGTGAGGATTGAGTCCAAGAATTGAGCTTGAAAGGCTTATTATCGATCAGTAAACTTTACATTAAACGGATCCTCTCAATTATCCTTTGTGCTCTGGTAAAACACATCATTTCTGTTCATTCAATTGGGATTGACTAGAAATGAGATTAGATATTAAGAAATTTGTTACGAAAGACTTCAGGAATGAAGATGATGAACCAAGATGATTACTTCAAGAGTGTTCACGAGATGTGGGCTTGAGTGCATGCAATAGTTCAACATTGATATATCAAAATGTTTCAAGTGGAGGTACCGATTGCAATTGTTCTTCCAAATGACAATGATCATTGAGGTTTTGAAAAAAATTCTATTTTTTTCTGGTAATTAGAGCCTTTCGTACAGAATTCAGCAAATTTTGATGAGCATAGTTCATTTTGGTTTAAAATATTTGACTAAAGGGATCTTTGAATAACCTAAAATGAGCTAAACAAGTTTTAAATTTACTTTGGGAATCCTTAAATTACAGTATTACTTTACCATTGGAAATGCTTAGATTTACCTTTGGAAATTCTTAAATTCCACATGGGAAAACAAGTACAAAAGGCTGATCTCTGACCTTCTCGCTGACCAAGGAAATCGATTCTTTGAAGAAATTTTTCTAATAAACATTCTAAGCAAGTGCTAATTTCTGAGCATTCTGAGCAATTTCTGAGAACATTCTGAGCAATTTCCGCAAACTATTTCACATAGGAATTCCAAAAACCCCATTTCACGAATTCACAAAATCTCATTCCACAAAATCCCTAAGCCCCAGCAACGACATTGATCAAAACCATTCATCTGTGCTATTTTCCACCAGCGGACCCAATTCTTGGCCTCACAAAGCCAATTGCATAAACAGAATCGTAAATTTGTTTAGCCTTTTGCCGTTGTAATGAGATTTGTAGTGAGATCATTTGGAACTGAAGGGAATACAGATTTATTGCTATAAATTCCTCAAACCCGCAATTTTGGCATTCTCCCTGGGTTGAAATTTATTATTTTCTAAAATTAGCTCACTCATGGACCACAATTTGCTTCGAAAAGTTTTAGAAACTGGCCAAAAAGCCCTCATTTATTACTTTCCCAACCAGACATCTCGAGTTTCTTATTGATGTTTTTACCCGGCTACATTGAAGTGATTCTACATGCAATTCAAATGGTGATTCTAGCTTGGATGACTCTATCGTTGGCGCAAAAGTCCCGCTTTCATCAGAATTTTCGGTTAGTTTTGCACCTATTTGTTTTTTTGGTAAAGAACCTGGGTAATTAAGCTTCAGGAGAAGTATTGTTGAGCAAAACACTTAATAAGTGATCAAAATCCCTCCAGTACCTCCAAAATCCATTTAGTACCTTCAAAATCCAAGATCAAAAGTACTAAAACAAAATTCCCTTCAGGTTCAACGTTGTCCTCTTGAGCGGATCCGTTTTTTATCTCCTTCTCTTTTATGCGATTCTCGACGTGTTCAACAATTTACCCATCATCGTATTACCAAATGTAGAAGCATCTCAAGATCTTTTAGTTTCCAACTACAATTTTTGTCGTACGGCAATTCGGTTGGATTTGGTATCGATCAGCGATTTTGACTTTTGTTTCCGAGAGATTTGCTTGTGCCCTAATGACAAGGAATTACGAATCAGTTAACCATATTTGGGGGAAAATTCTAGCCATAATTTTCACCGGCTTTATGGCTTTTCTCCTGGTCGTCGTTTTGTTGTTAACACGTGAGTTTTGGACAAATTACTCTTAGATCTGATCTCTCATTCATCCAATTAGAAATACCGCTTTGATTTGAGATTTGATTTAAGTTGATGATTGATAATGATGATTTGAGTCAGGGAGTTCCACTTTTTTTCCTGCTCCTAGGAAAACATGCCCGTTAAACTGTTTAAGCAAACCTACCGCCGAAATTATTAGCTGCGAATTCCAAGAACAAGGCTGTATGCTTATTAAATACTTACAAAGATCGGAATCGCTAGGTACAGACCTATTTGTTTGTTTAGAAAACGAAAAAACGGTGTACACTGTCGTTTGGACAGCTCTAATCGAATCGATCACTCTGCCGGTGAGAATTTCCCGTTTTAAGCCATCATCTGGAAATCATTGGCTTTCTAGATGACAATTTATATTCTAATGCGGACGAAATCTGAATGGAAACTGAGACATCGAGGAGCATCATTGTCACAGGTTGCAATAAACAAATATTCTAATCTTTGATCTTTTAGAGATTTCAACTCTCCGAATTCCGATCTTCTGTCAAATTCTTTGTGCCACTCGTTTTGAGCAATTTTGTGAGCGTTTTCATCTTTCTTGGCCTCAAGTCAGTGATCACTTTTGTGGATTTGGATGATAATGGACTGGCGGCTTTTAACGAAGCGATTGATGTGGTTGGTGGAAGGATTCAGTACTGAAGTTAGAAGCTAAAATCATATCCAATAGAAGATAAACCTATGTAGAATCAATCTAGTTAAGTCAGTATCTTCAATTTTAGTACTAGCATTAGATATTGGGACTTTGGTGAACCAGTCCTCCATGTTCTGTCATAGCTAGCTAGCGGAACAACATTTCAGCTCGATTTCTATCAGCGCCTCTTCTACGTTGGCTGTGTCGTCCGAACCGAAGAAGATTCATTAAACGATTTCTTGAACTTTTTCAAGAGAAAACTGAAATGGAGAGAGAAATTCCCACGGAAACCAAATCGAATCCGTGACATCACAATGGCAAAAATAAGCCAAGATGAATATTTCAATTCAATCAAAATCATGTGGGCTTGATTTGTTGAATTGTTGTTCCTTGGTTGTTTCTTTGTGCCTTGGTAATGAAACTGGATAAACATATCAAAGCTAATTTTCCTTTATGATAATTTTATCGTGTGCTATTTTTCTGTATGCTAATCTTTTCATAAAGTGCTTTACAAATTCAATGTTATTTTGATAGCAATATTTCGACAAATGCCGGGACATTTCGGCAGAGTGACAGAGCACAATTTGGTTGAATACTTTTGGAGTACTTTTAGACTCAGGTGCTAGGTTTCGATAGTTTTGAATACATTCATATAAGTTCCGCTGGTATGCAATGACTCTGTGAGTCATTCAAATAAGCTCACAGTGGATGCATGTGATTTACCCTTGGTACTGATAGACTGGAGTGGGCTTGCATGAGGAAGCAAAGTAGTGAGACTTTATTGTAAGTGAAATGAGCTTGGCGACCTAAATACAGAAGAAACGTAAAATGCGTTGAAGGACCACACACAACGCCAAACATCCACTCTTTGTGAGTGAATGTTTGCCATAAGATATCTCGTCGAGTCTTTTTTTGCCCGATGTTTGATCTTCCACAACGCCAACTGAAAACCTCCGAAAGGAGTTAGTGCTCAAAAAGGGAAATGAAATGGCAGAAGGGGAGGGTTACGGTATTTCGGGCATCATTTAGAAAAGAGGGGATGACGGGATTGACCGTATTTAACTATAACAACGATAGTAAGCATTGCTGGCTCTGGGGGCTACAGAGGTCAAATACATTGCTATTGAAGTAGTGACTACTGAAGTACATTGCTATTACTTTCCAGAACAATCGTTGTATCAGATTCTTCTTTTGGTTAGAACAACAAAATGTCTGTTTTAGATTGTTAAACTCACAGATTCCTTTCGTCATATTTATCATAATCGTTCATCTGAAACTTCAGAACAGAATTGATAAAGTGGAATAGCTTAGTGAGGCATTGATAACCGGAGCTAGTTTCTAGCTAAAATTAAAGTCTAAAACAACAATTTTCTAAGCTGAAGAGGATTGGAGTCTGGGATTGGAGATTTACTAGTAACAAATTTATAAATTGGGCGTTTGGTCGGCGGTCGATTTGCCGGAATTTCAAGTATTAAAATTTTTTGGGACTATCTGTCGTCCTTATTTTTTAAATAAGCTGGACAGCAAATAAATTTCTATGTATTAGGTTGGCAACTTAATAATGACGCGTCACTACTTAACATGTTTTTTGTAATTTCAAGCACCGTTTCTTCCCTCTTTTTGCATATATACAAAGTAAAAGATGTCTGCATAAATAGCATTTAGTGCTACAAATTTCACCATTCGCTTTTTGGCAAAAAATGGAGGACAAAAAATTCCGTATTCGAGCTGTATTGTTCTACGATTTTAAACAAGGAAAATCTCCAGCTGAATCTTATCGCACGATCATCACTGTTTTAGAGAGGAAAGTATACACATTCGGCAATGTCAACGATGGTTTCAAAGATTCCAAGGCGGCGATGGAAGCCTCGTAGACGAGCCACACCAAGGACATCCTCCAGAAGTGGTCGACGATGACTTGCTCGCCTTAATTGAAGATTGCCCAACACTCATCGTTCGTGAGTTGGCAGAAATATTTTAAGTATCCCATACGACAATCGAAAACTATTTACACACTTGGGAAAAAGAATCGTGTTGGAAAATGAGTTCCTCACGAATTGACGCAAAGCAACAAAATGGCCCGTGTCAATGTCGCCTCAATTTTGCTACAAAAATGTAAATCGAACGACTTTTTCACTTCTGACGAAACGTGGATCAACTACGAGAACGTTAAACGCAAAAATCAATGGCTATCTGCTGGGCAGACCCCTCAAACCACTCCCCCAACCTGATATCCATGGGAAGAAGATAATGCTCTGTTGCTGGTGGAACTTCAAGGGATTGGTGCATTATGAAGTGCTAAACCTGGCCAAATCGTCGATGCTGATCTTTATTCGAAGCAATTAATGAGAGTTAACGAGTCTTTGAAGAAATTGGGGCTCAAACCGGAGAGAGTCAGATTTTTACGCGAGAACCCAAAATCTCACACTGCAAAGATCACTTATAAGAAAATCGTGGAACTTGGCTGGAAAGTTTTGCCCCACGCGTCTTATTCACCTGATCTGGCTCCTTCAGATTACTTTTTGTTTCGGTCGCTGAAGCACTTTTTGAAGGGAGAAAAGTTCAATGATCATGCTCGGATCATAAAAGCAGTGAATGACTACTTCACCTCAAAAACTCCCAAGTTCTTCGAGGATGAGATCCGGGATTTGCGCAGAAGATGGGAAGAAGTCATAGATACTAATGGAGAATACCTTTTGAATTGAAGGCTCTTCTTTTGTGTTTTTTTAAAATAAATGATTTGTTACATAAACGCGTCATTATTAAGTTGCCAACCTAATAATATCAGTTTTCTAGGGGTCATTATTGTCAGCTCCGCGCCCAACTGGTATTTTAGTTACTATTGTTATTATTGAAGAATTTGTCTATTCTTATGCAAATGTATTCTCCCCTGTGCTTATCCCTTTCATCACCGAAAAGGGACGGTCCTTGGGAGTGCCTAGGGGGACGAGTGAGGCTCTCACTTGGAGTCCCCCTTCTCCTTTCACTCATTTGTAATCCGTTCGTCTTATCGTGCTACTGTAAATAAAGATACATATCTTCCGGGTCTATGCATCTGCAGTTCAGGTCGGTCATTTGTTATTGGCTGCAACTGCAGTTCAGGTCGGAGGAGTTGAGTCGGGGTGTTAGAGATGGCAGAATATCAAAAAGATCCACTCGCTTTAACTTAACCCAAATTCTAGTCCATATCCGTTTACTCCTAGGAACGAACAGTATAAAAAAATATTATTTTAATATAAAGGTACAGTAAAATTTTGAAAATTCAGAATGCAAATAGGGTACTAATTTTTCTAGCTCTAGGATTTTTTTTGGTAGAAGCAACCTATGTCATTGCACCTAGCTCCTAGATAGTTTAAAAGTTCTACTATTTTCTATGATATTCTTCATTGATCTGAAACAAAATTCAGTTTCAGAGCTTTGACCAACTTTAGGGAGGCGGCAGAACTTTGATTGCATCCTGTTTATAGCATATTGGAGTTAATGTCAATGTTTTCTCTTTTGATAAACTATTTTGTGTGTTTGGCCATGTGGTTTGGCTATGTTAAAATGAAAAAAAAACCATATAAATATTTATTACCCGTCTCAAACTATCACATATTGTTCCTAAGGTTCATAGTAAGGCAAAATTTTCCCGGTCTCCTCGTATTCTTGAACATATTCGAGAAGATTGTACTCTCCAGTCCAATCATCCGGAAGAAGAGAGCGATTCTGAAAAATATTGATAGTTTTGAGTTAAAAATCGCTTCATTAACAACTTACAATAAAATTCGGTTCATAAACCATTCGATTCATTGTTTCGACGAAAAGACTTTCTCCCTTTTCCGTCGTGTCGCTCCATAACTGAAATTTTGTTGTGAGCACTTAGTTCAGACACTATCCGGTTATCCTTATGCCAATAACACTTCAAAGCTATGGTGATTTATTCTTTATTCGTTAGAATCTCTAAAAACGCTTTGAAAATAATTACCTGATCAATTCGGAGTGCTCGATCGGATTCTACCGCCTTTCGAATTTTGATATACGTCTTGAGTCCTTCCTCGATTTTTCCCAGAACCTCCTTTTTGCGCTTTTCCAAACTATTTTCATCTGGATCCTTTTCATTTTCCAAATCAGGATCCGTCCAAACATCGTCACCAAAAATTGCGAAAATATCCTGGAAATGTGAGGTAAGATTACTGGCTCAACTTGCTTGACTAGCTTTCTAAATCTAGATTAACTTGCTCGTAGATCACAGCTGATACACAGATTTCCATTTTCTAGGCTTTCAACAATTTAGTATACTTATCCTAACGATATTATTCTCATCCAGCTGCAATCACTCACCGATTCAATCACTTCTTCCGAAAATTGTTTCTCCTTGATTCCGAATTTCTCCTCCTTCTCAATCGTTTCCAAATCCCACAGAAAGGTGCTCATTCTTGCAAGGAGATCTCGTAAAGCACTCGAATCGGGAAAACCACGTTTTCTGAATATTTTCACTGACTAAGGAACTGTTTCCACCTACCACCGATTTTCGAAACCGGACCTAACTACAAAGCGTCCCAGTAGAATTCTAAGTAACATATATTTTTTATTTTTTTCCGATGGGCCCTGGTTTTCGAAAAAAAAACGTTTCCAAAGTTTCGGCAATTTTTGGTAAACTGCGACCTCGCCGATCACGCTGAAAGGCATCAAAAGCAGCGACAGTCTGGGGGATAGTGTGCTAGACCACGAAATTTGTCCCATTTTTGCTCGCGGGTTCAATTCCGCTTGCCGCCAAATATTTTGCTTTTTTGTCTCAAGTATCAAAGACGTTTTTCGTGAGTATTAAGATGTTTTTCAAGTTTAAAAAGTTCCAATAAATGTAGCAACATATCCTATATCGTTAATGAGATGAGAGACGATCGTTTTGGGATCGACAGCCGACATTGAGACGTGAGAACAAGAATGAAAGAGAAATAAATTGATTTTTTAGTGGCAAGCGGAAATGAACCCACGACCAAAAGTGGCATACCGTAAATACTGTAATTGGACCCCACCCCTCTAATAGTACCCCCCCTCTAATAGTACCCCACCCTAGAGGGGAAGGGAAAAAAATAATACCCCACCCCTCTAATAGTACCCCACCCCCACCTAACGCGTAATTACAAATAACGCTTTTAAAACGGAAAATTTTCATGTATTTTCAGAAATCGTTTGTATTTTTAATTTTATCCCATAAATTTGTTGTTTTTAAATTTGCGGTGGCTACTTTGCGCCAAATTTTTTGCGCAGCTCGCCAGAACTTTCTTCTAAGTGGGCCAATCTTTATGATTGTAGATCTCAACAAGTGCAAAAAAGTAACACCAAAATCATAAAGATTGGCCCACTTAGAAGACTTGAACCATTTAGAAGCCACTTGAACTCGAAGGGGATTGATATCGGCTTGGCTGAATGGATACGGGATCGTCGAGCCGAGAAGAAACGAGTGACATGCCGGATTATCTGGAATGAAGCAGCTAATCGATTCGAAAAAGCTGAAATTTCTTTCAAAAGAAGCCATGGTTGGATGGAGTCGTTCTTGAGGCGCCCCCAACTTTCTTTGAGGGCACCAACAACAACTTCTCAAAAGCTGCCGAGCGAATTTGAGAAGGCCATCGTCGAGCACATTCTGAGGCTGAACAAGACAATCAAAGAAGGCGATTACAAGCACATTGTTGCTTGCGATGAGATGGCGGTTTGGCTGGATGCTTTGACGAGCAAGTCCATCGAAGCGGTTGGCGCCAAAGAAGTTGGTGTTCTCACCCGCGGCTACGACAAGACGAATATATTCGTGATGCTCACTGCTTGTTTCAATGGAAAAAAAGTTGCGCCCTTTTGTCGTGGTGCTTCGGAAAACGGTGAACAAAAAAATCGAGACAAAGTTCCAATCGAAGTTATTGCTCTGTTGGAAAGAGAAGAAAAGCAAGTGCCTCGATGATGAGATCACGGCGGAATACTTGTAACGCTCGTTCGATGGACTTATCTTTAATTATTATCTTTACTCTATTGTACTTGCACACGATGAGAAATGCTCGGACAGAGACAGAAATCGAGGACCTCTTGGAGCCGCTCGCATCGACGGGATTTCAAGGACATCGAGGAATTGATGATAAAAAAAATGATGAATTCATTGATTCGGATGTTTCTATTGATTTCGCTTGTTAGTTGTTTTTGTTTCGTTTTGCAGTTAAATTTTCAAATGGTTAAAACCAATAAAAACTAAAGAAAAAGTTTGCTTTTGAACAAATTATTTGAATGTATCCTGATTTGGTAACTTGAATAGTGGTGTAAAATAGTAACCCACCCTCTAATAGTGCCCCACCCTCTAATAGTACCCCACCCTAGAGGGGGAGGGAAAAAATAGTACCCCATGGGGTCCAATTACAGTATTTACGGTAGGTTTCGTAGTTTAACACACTATCCCCTAGGACGCCACCGCTGATTCAGCGTGGTGCCCTCTTATAGGTGAGGTCCCGTTTTACGAAAAATTGCCAAAACTTTGGACACGATTCTCTCGAAAACCAGGGCCCATGGGGAAAAAAATAAAAAATATATGTTGCTTAGAATTCCACTGGGAATTTTGTAGCTAGGTCTGGCTTCGAAAATCGGTGGTAGTTTGAAACAGTTCTCTAGTTAAAAGTGTTTTCTCATAAACAAACCTCCTTGCTTTATAGTCACAATCAACGAAGAGCAAAGACTCCTCATTGCTGATGATCAAGAGACCTTTACCCTGAATATAGATAAGGTTTTGTTCAAATTTTTATCACTCTAAAAAACTTACATCATCTCTTCTAATCAGTTTCACTCGTGAATCGATTTTTGAATCGTTGAATGACCCATTTCGCCCATAAGCGATTTGATTGGCCACTTGGTGGACTTCCGATTGTGCTGAAACAGGTTGATTGGGTTTAAATTCGAGCCCGGAAGTATGGCTTTAACCATCCTATCCTATTAATCCAAAGCCTTTTCCATTCGATCGCTTCTTACCGATAAACGTTGCATCAATATCTTCATTGCTTATACAGTGCAAAATAAGAACATCGATTTCCCGTTCTTTTCTTTCCCATTGCTAAATTTGAGCTTTAGATTGACAGCAAACTAGAATATTGGCTTTTTAAACGCACAAAGCCTGTAACTATAGCTACCTGAACGATTTCTTCTCCAAAAGACAACAACAGACTCCCAATCCCATTTAAAATGTTGTCCACAACAAGGATCATTTTTGGAATCTTCACATTGAGAAATACGTGAAAAAGCGACATATCGACATTCATTTTCAAAGCGGATAAGGTTTTAATCTGAGAATTTGGTTTTGCTGGGTTTTCTTTACGAGATATTGTACCTGATCACTTTTGATGAACTGCTCTAGAGTTTCTTTTGTATTCGCTGGTTCGCCACCCCCAAAATAGAGATGAGATGGTTGAAAAGAATCTGAAAATTTGTGAGTCTAAGAATTTGCTTAAATTCAAACCAATCATTTGAAGAATTGTATCAACATTTTCACAGATTGGCCTCACAACGATTTTCGCTTTAATTCCCCAATCGAGCATTCGCTTATCGGGGTGCATTAGCTCAAATGAAGAAGTAAATTTGTGACTAGTTTATCGCTATGAGATTTGTTTTCTTGTTTTTATTCTAGTATCAATTCAAAATATGATCTCACCATATCCACTTCTGCATTCCTCAGCAAACTCTCATAGTCAGCGCCTATTTTCTTCTGATATTCATCAACGCTTCCAATAGAAAAATGGTCATTGTACGGATCTGTGTTCTTCATCAAATACGCCAAGCGTTTCGGATGGTAGCTGAAAGATCCCTTTTGGTAATTTCGCTTTTATTCTAAAGGGTGACCCATAATATGTTTTACGCCTTATCTGAAGGCAGATTAAGTCGAAAATGTGTCGGATTACTTAAAGTTTGTTATAATTTCATTTTTTATAACATTTTGACTCTTATATTCCAAATTTTAGCCTAAACGGTCGGCTATGAAAAAAATTAGAGCCATTAGAAGCTCTGCAATCAAAGCGACTGGCACAATGTAGAGGCTGATTACGGCTATACCTTTTCAACAGATTGCATGCCAAACGCCGCAATCGATTCAAAAATCCTCAGTGTTATATAGAGAATTGAAGCCGGGATTCTTGGAGGAGGAGGAGGACCTTACCATTTTAGAAAAATTTCTTTTTCTATTTTTTTTTGGCTTTACGTGCCGATTGTTGCATAAAAACGTACTTTTTCAAGAAATTAGACCTCCAAAAAACTTTTCGCCGATTTTTATCCGACCCCCCCCCCTGAAATTTGGTTTGCCTCCACAAAAACTTTTCTGGGTACGGGCCTGAATTTATCTCCATACAAAGCGTAACACATATTATGGGCGACCCTGAACTTCCAACTGTTGTGTGCATAGAAAGAAACACAAAGCCCTACCTCGCTTCGAGAAAGTAATTCCTTTCAAATCTTCTCGTTCTATTGTTCTGATAAAAATGAATTACGAGAACCGCTTGTCCATCTCCATAATCATCTTGTTGCATTTTCACGAATCCTTTCTTCATCCCTTCCACAGCTTCTTTTGCTTCACCTCCATGATCGGCGAGTATCAACATTTCCAACGGACTCGAGTCAATGGACAGTTTACTGATTTTCTCGCGAAGGATAGCAGCATAGCTTGGGTCACCGAAAAGGAGACCATTATCCTGCAAATTTTCGATTAAAACGTCATTCTGAATTGTTATAGTAAAAATGATTGCTTCCCAATGATCCACCTCAGACACTTCAACAGCTCGCTCCCAACTTGAGAGGAAATTTTCAAACCATCGCCAAGCCTCCGAAATCAACCATTTTGTTGAGTCCATTTAGCGAAAAAGAACAAGTAATCAGCGATAGCTAGACATTCAAAAATTATTTGATTGATTGATTAAAAACATTGATTAAAACATTGAAACTCTCGCCAAAAGTTTACCTGATTAACTTCTTTTGTTTTCTTCTCAGAACTCTCAAAACTCCATTAAAATCTCAGAAAATTGGGGAACTGCTAGATAGTTTCTTTCAGATCAGCTTTTAGAGGGGAATTTTTAGATCAATAGCCTGTAAAATTGCCCCAAATTGCACAACAAATACGAGGTGGCCAACGGGGGGAAACGGGTGATGAAATTGAAGGGGAACGGGGAAAAGAAATGAAGAGGAAAAGAAAAAATGACAAAAGATGGATTGTTGTGAGTGAGGAGATGAGATAAGTGGAAAGATTGGGTAAAAATGGATTGAGAAAAGAAAACGAGTGAAAGGTGGACTGTTGACGGGTCGGGGAAAGAGGGGAAAGGGAGCTGGGGTGACTCAGTCCCGCCCCTAAAAAACACCACAAAACCTAAAAGAGGCGAATTGCTGAGAAGCGACCCGTCTCTTCGTCATAACATTTGATTGACGTTTTCCTTGTTATCACTTGAATAACCAATTTACCGTTAAAAGCCCAAGGATTGCACAAGTCGCCTCATTTATTTGACTTGTTTGTTTGTATTCCCGATCCTATTGCACAACTGAACTATTTTCTTTGAAAATGTGCTAAAGATATTCAGCTAGCAATTGATTGATTGATCAAATCGACTTCAAAATGGATGAGTTTTCATCGCTTTTTCAGGATTTTTCCTTTAACACCGGGAAATTTCCCTTTTCCGGCTTGCCCAATGAGCTCAAGCGATTCGTTTTCATGAAATCGAAATTCATCGACTTAATCCATTGCTTAAAGATTTCGAAATCAATCCGATCGCAAGTTTTAAATGAAAACCCATTTGCTAAACCCCAAGAAAATCTTAAAATCATTGTGACAAACACCTCTCTTGAAGGTGATCAAGTTCAACTGAACAACAAAAAAGCCGATATTTTGTTTGTTTTGAAATCCAACGCCTCCACTCAAGAACCTGAGACTTTACTGATTCGCTTCAACTCCCAAACTGGCGTCTCTTTTGAACTCTTCTCTAAGAAAACCTTTTTATTCAATGATTCTGAACAAACTTATTCGAAAAATGTCTATTTTGCCTTGTTAAAGAAGATCCGATTTTGCAGAGAAATCTCCATTCATCTTCAAGAATTCACAATGTTGGAGGAAAACGATGAAAATGCAAATGATACAATTTCCCTTTTCCTCAGAGTTTTTCTTTCGAAGAAATTCTTCCTAACATTGAGATTGTTCAAAAAATGCATTTCGAGATCGTCGGTATGTGGAAATTTGCGAGATTCCAGAGTTTCACTCAGCATTTTTCCCCGCGTGTAATCGATTCTTTTGAGGCGACCGTTCAGAAAGGGAGCTTGCTTTCAAAAAACGAACGGGAAATTTTCGTCTCCCAAATCACGGGAATGATTAAAGATTGTAAGAAAATCAGACTTTTCAAAGAAACAGAGATTTTCCATGAGGCTTTGGAGAATACAAATGTTCAATCGATTCATATGAACTGTGGTGAATATGTGGATTTCGATAAAGAGATCCGGAAAATCACCCAAAATGGAATCCCAAGCAAGAACGAGAAAAAAGAGATCTACCTTGGGGGCACCTCGTGGGGTGATGCCCCAGAAACATTCAAAAGTTCCGAGAATATTATCCTAGAAAACAAACGGATTAAAAGAGTTCCGAAAGACTCCGAAAAGTACAACGAAATCCATGAACTTTTCAAGGATTTTCATACGGAAATCTGGCAGAAAGATAGCTATCGTTTGGAACATTTGAAAAGAACTACTGAAAATATTTCCATCTTTGAAAATCCGAAAACAAATACGTATTTTCTTTTGGTTTGCTTTTGGCAAGATTTCTACTTCTATGCTCGGGTTTTGTGATCTCAATTTTAGCTGTAGAGCTCATAGTTTTTCCTCAATATTACTGGTAAAACAAGTGATACGTTTCCTAAGCCTCAGGTTATTTGTGTACTGGTTTAAAATGTTTGTTTCTTGTTTTTTGTTGAAATGTTGAATAAATTATTATGAAATTTGCGTAAATAAGAGCTAAAACTGCAAAGAAATTAAAAATAAAGAACTATTCGGTTGAGTACTAATTCTTGATAACACTTTTTGTTTTTTGTTTCAAACCATAGCTTTTTATAAATTTTTAATATGAAAATCAGACAAGCATTGCCTAGCTTTGGGCAAAGTTTCATTCCGACCTAATGGCTGGACTTCAAGCAGAAGGCCTTTGTTTGAAACCTTTGAGACTCTTTGATCTTCTGTGAACCAGATTTTTCTGCTACCCATAAACATTTCCAGTTGGCAATGTGAAGTAGATACTTTAAAGAAGATAATTTGAATAAAAACATATATATCTATCAAATAGTTTTTCGAGAAACTTTGATAGCATTTTCAAAAATATCAATTTCATTTCAAAGTATCAAAAAGTTACTCAACACTGAAAAAAGTAAATTTTGAAATGTCTAAAAGTCCATGTGGTAATGTTGGAAATTTTACGTCGGATCTCTTATTTAGATATTGATATAGCATACAAAATACTGGTAAAAAGTTTCTGGATTGAATTCTTTTCTGAAAGAATGTGCTAGAGAGTCTATTTTGCAGGTCACTTTTTTTTGCTCTTCTATTTATAGCTCAACTTTCACTCATCAAAACAGGATAAAAACTTGTTGCCTAATAGACAATCAAATACTAACAATGCTCCAAAAGTTTCATAAAAACAAATAGTTTAATCTTTGAGAAATCTTAAAAACAAAAACCCTTGTTGTGCGATGTGGCCTAGATCAGAATCGACTGGTTTTCAACAAAAGCCTCCTGCTTGAAGTCTAGCCTTTAGATCGGGATGAAACTCTGCCCAAAGCTAGGCAATGTATGTCTGATTATCATATTAATAATTTATAAAAAGGTATGATTTGTCCTTCGATGTAACAAGAAACAAAAAATGTTATCAAGAACTCAACCTATTAGCTTGGTAAATATGAAAGGTTATTTTTTTGATCATTTTTAACATAACAGAAAAATTTATTTAAGCACTTTCAAAATCAAATGTATTCACCAGAAGCATTAATAACTTCTTTCCAACGTTGCCCCAAATCACGAATACCGTCCTCGTAAAATTAAAGATTTTTAGAGGCAAAATAGTTGGCAACCCAATTTTCGATGTCCTGCTTTTGTTTGAACTGCTGTCCAGAAACTGCTTGTTTCATTGACCGAAAGAGATGGTAATCCGATGGGGCTAGATCAGGGCTGTATGGTGGGTGTGGAAGAAGTTTCCAGCTCAACTTGTCGATTTGTTCGTGGACGATCTTTGAAATGTGAGGCTAGCATTGTCGTGAAGAAATCTGACCTTCGATGGATCGATCCTCTTTTTCCTCAATGCTGGATCGACTCGACCCATTTGTTCTGCATAAAGTCTTCCGTCAACAGTGTCTCCTTTATCTAATATTTCCAAATGAGCCAATCCCTTAGCATTCCACCACACACAAAGCATAACTTTTTCGGGGCTTCGGGATAGAATGAGAGGTCCGCTTCGAACTCAGCCACTGTCCATAGAGTTGAATATTTTCATACGAAAGCCAAGTCTCATCAGATGTCAAAAATACTTCCAAAAGTCACGATGGCTACTTTACGTAGAAGAACAGAGCTCAAGGTGACTCGTGTGACTTTGTGGGCATCAGTGAGGTCGTGGGGGAGCCATTTCCCGCTTCGATATGATTTCCCAAGAACGTGTAAATGGTAACATGAGTGCATCCGAACTTTTCTGCTAATTTTCTAACACTTTTGCGATGGATCCAAGTCGACCTCGTTCAGTAACAGCTGATCGTCCAAAGTAATCGGCGGCTTTCCATGTGGTGCGTCTTCCAATGACTCGTTTCCCGTTTTGAAGCGACCGTACCAAACACAACATTGTTTGTAAGTAAGAGTAGCTTCTCCAAAAACAGTACAAATGTTTTGATGGCATTCCGTAGCTTTCTTGTTTAACTTGAATTCAAAGAAAATGGCGGCCCTGATTTTAAATTTTTGGTTATCCATCTTTGCCGAGCTGAAACAATACAAATATTGTTCAAAACAAAAATGTTTTTGCAAAAAAAACATGAGCACATTTTGACATATTATTGAGAAAAATCCTAGACAGGGAATGTTCTTCGTAACGACAGGGCAATATTTTTTGTAAAAAATAACCTTTCATATTTACCAAGCTAATAATACAAGGAAACACTTGAAAATTGCGTAAAAGAATGCAATGAGTCAAAAATCTTTTGTTTAGCTTATAAAAGTATTCCTCAAATTCAAAATTTTATTGAAAAACTTCTGTAGTTGATAAATTACATCATTTTTTGTAAGAACAGGGTGACTTTTCTTATCTAAAATTTGAATACAATTGCTTTTTAGTGCTTTGCCGATGAATTTGCAAGCACCTTTCAACAATATTGCGACAAAATTACACAACAAAAGTGCATGTGTTACTATTAAATTGCACAACAAAACCCCAGTTTCGAAATGTGTTTCTTGTAATGGGGTTTTCGGCGTTTCGATGATTCCGGGAAAGGGAAAGGGACAAAAACTGAAAGAGAAAGGGTAATGAGGGGCGGCGTTCGATTCATTCCCTGATGAACTTTATCCACTTTTTGACCCTCTTATAAGTGTCGTTTAAATTTTTAAAACAAAATAGAAAGCAAATTACTTCTTTATCCTTTTGAAATGATTTCAGTCTTTGCTTTTGAAAGAAAATGAAAAGGAATTCATTTCCTTTCAGGTCGGAAAACCCCTGTTAATCACTTTAATACAAGGATTTAAAGGGCTTCTGAATTTCCTTTTGAAACAGTTTAACTCCTCAAAATGCTATATAAACTAAACCTGTTTGGTCGTATAATAGATCAAAACTTCATCAGCAATCTCAGCTTATCTTGAGCAATTGAAAGCAGCTTGTCTCATGCCAAGAAAGTTCATTTTTAACTTTTCTAACTACAAATCTAGCTTTCTTTAAATTTCATGCAAAAACTGAGTTCAAATTTTCAATTCCATTGTTTCCATGATCCTGAGATGGGAGTGAGTAGGAAAAAAGAAAAAGAAGGTAATGAAGAGAGCCGTTCGATGTTCCTCTTGATGAGCTTTCCCGATGAGTTGCTTCTTCCTCAAAATTTTAAACTCACACAATTCAATGGCTTTTAAAAGCACATAGCCTTTGTAATTTATAAATGATTGCACTATCATAAATTGCGTAGGTTTTTCCGATACTCGGCCACTTTGCATTTCTTTCCAAAATTAGCATTTACACAGACTGAGAAATCACTTACGCGGTAGCCCATAATCATCGTGAGAAGTTATTTGAAAGCAATAAGTGCTTGATGTACATTAATATTGAATAATTTTAGTTATTTTAAATCTAGAGATTCTTAGCTACAAAATACTACCTCAATTGTGAAAATTGGCTCAGTATTTGTTTCTATCCGGGCGAAACTTGCCACACGAAGGGTCGAGTTGCACGTCGTTTACCGAATTCCCTATTTAAAGCCTTTTACTCCCAACTACCCAACCCAAAATCCAAATTTTTGTCGAAATTTTCATTCTCTATCCAATGACATCAAAAGTAAGACATATTAGGTTGGCGACCAAGTCTTTTGACACTTTTTGTTGTGTAATTTTTCAAGGCTTGTTAAAGAAGCTAAGAACTTAACTTAACTTCGTAACTTATAAAGAATGATGAACTCTTTTTGGTAAAATATTCAGTTTCAAACTTTATAACAACGATTTCATAAGAATTTCCCGTCGGTAAACGTTTTCCTGAAAAGCCTGACGATTCGAAAAAGAGGGAAAGGTCAAAGAGAATGGAGAAAGAGGGGAGATCGGCCCTTTTCCCTCTCTTTCACTCTTTGTGCCCAGTTTGTATCATGGATGACTAATCAAAAGCATAGATCTTTCACAAAAAGGCTTTGATCTTTCATATAAAGTTGATTTCATTTTATTCTCTTGCAAAACTAAAAGTAAACTCTTATTTATCCACTCGAGTCCAAATTTCGTCAGTCAGTTTACTTTTAGTTTCATCAAATCTCACAGAAAAACAATTATTTTACCATTTTGCGGCAAGCTATTTATTAAAAATAAAACCGTTAATCACTCAATTTTCCTAAAGAAGTCAAATAGCTTTGTGCAATAAAAATGGAGAGATCCTTGTTTTTCTCTTCTCTTTCCCTCTCTGTTCGCCCATTTCCATCTCTTCCCAAAAAATATGACTAATCAAAAGCATACCTTTCTCTCGGTCCTGCAAACCATTCAAAAACAAATCAATTCGTTTCACTCTTCCTATTTTTGCACAATACGATTCACATATTCTTGTTTGCTCAATTACAAAGTTAGCGATTTTCAATCAATTTTTGTGATTGTTTTTGACAGTCAATGCTTTGATTTGAACTTTTTTAAGGAACTTGTAAACTTTTCGTTTAAAGAACATGTAAAGTTCTGATATCAAACCTTCAGATTAAAGATCAATCCACTCTTTCCACATTTTTTGAATCGTTTGATAATCTCTTCTTTCGACTGATAAGCTTCTTGGCAATGTGAAAATTCTTGTTTGCTCAGAATTCTCACACAACTCATTCATTGTTTAATCGTTAGTTTAATTGCTTCTTTTTTTCCTAAAGTCAATTAGTTTCCTCCTTTTTTCACAAAAGTTGCTCTAGAAATGATGTAAGGGTGTTTTCTTTTTGTTATAAGTCTCATTTCTTCCTAACTAATCAAACATTTTGTGGGAAAACTTGGAAAGTGATGTTAGAAAAGATTAAACAATAAAATAGGCAAACGTTTTGAGTAGAAAATTTTGCAAATCAAGTCAGTAACGTGATTTCATGAGCTTCAATGAGCTTCAATGAGGAACGAGCTTCAATGAACAACGAGCTTCAATTTTTCTTTAGCTTTCTTAAAGTATTCATAAAAAAGATGAAATTTGAAGAAAATTCTACTAGAACTCAATTTTGCGATATTTCTTTTTGCAACATTTCTTTTTGCAACATTTGCTCTTAAACTAATTCCGATCGTTTGACTTTTTCGAGTTTGTGAGAGTAAAGGCTTTACGAAGGTAAACATTATCAAGAAAGAGAGATAAGGAGTGTGCAATGAATCATCAAAAAAGACAGAAAGAAGAAAGCTCTCGTGATTCTGAAAGGGTAAAAGAACTTGACGAAATCACCTTTTAACCTTTCAATTCATTCTTTCTGAATCATTTGATAACATTTCAAAATGCAGGATTGATCTAAGAGTTCATTATCCTCAAAGCAAATGCCTTCTGAACTCGGAAAGCTTTCTTCCTTCATTGACTTCTTCATTCCTATTCTTTTAATCTTTTTGATTATTGATTATTGATTATACAATCAATTTTCAGTGCAACAATGGTAAGCATGGAGATAATCAAAGAAGGGATGAGAATCAGCGAACTAGCGGAGAGCTCGAAAAATGTGAAGCGAATGGGCGAAATCGATGAGGCATTTCAGGTGAGATACTGTTAAAATCTTATAAAAAACAAGATTTCTAAGATATCTTGTCTAAGAAAACATTTATAAAGATTATAAGTAAACAATTATAAATAAAAATAGTGCTTTAATGTTCAAAAAGAAATCTAAATTTCAGGGTCGATACCCACCCCTTTGTGCTCTTGGAAGAGCTCTTCTCGCTGAAGGAGTTCTCTTGAAAATGTGTCGAAAGAAGATCAAGGAAAGAAAATTCTTTCTATTCAATGATATGCTTGTCTATGCAAAGATTGCGGGTCACGAATTGTATTACGCACAAAGAACCATTCCTTTGAAGACATTGGATGTTGAAGACGTGATTGACACATTCAAAGATACTCTCAAACATGCTTGGATCGTGAAATCCCCAGAGAAATCTTTCGTTTTGATTGCGGAAAATGAAGATGAGAAACAGCATTGGTTTTTGAATTTAAAAGCTTGCATCAGACTCTTGAGAATCAATAAAGAGAAAGAGAAAATTGATTATGCTCCGATTTGGATTCCTGATGATGAATCAAATGAATGTATGAGATGTGAGGGTGGGAAATTCACGGTATTCAGAAGAAAGCATCATTGTCGAAAATGTGGAGCGATTGTTTGTTCGGGATGTTCGACGAGATCCGTGGTGATCAAAGGACAAGGAAATGATCCGCTCAGAGTATGTGATGCTTGTTTTGAGAGATTCTATTCAGAGAGCGAATCGTGATTTGAAGAAAAGAACTGGTACTGTGTAAAGAAACGAATTTTTTTGCCTTAGCTCTAGAACTTAGCGCTTTTTCATTGAATATCTTTGTCTTTTAGTGAATTTGTTATTCATTTTTCAGTTTTACTTGCTTTTACCACTTCCATGTTGGATTTGTTTTCTGGTTCTTGATTTTTACCCCATTTGTGATAAGGAAATGATCTCAAATTTTGTCCAAATCATGTTCAAATCATCATTTTAACGCATCGAATAAACTAATACTAAAAAATATGGCAAGACATTTATTTGGAAAATGCATTTTCATTATAAAACTAGATTTGATTGGGTCATTAGTATAGTAGGGTCGAAAAGTTTGGACACACCTCGAGTCGGAAACTTAAAGTCGCCCGTCCATGCACTCTATAGCAGCTATAATTCCCCAAAAGACAGTTCATAACTTTCAAAATAACAAGTTTGAATGAACAAATGAGTCGCAGATTTCAATATTTAGTAGAAGATCCATTTGCCTTAATCACAGCTGCACATCGAGTTAGCATTGAATTGTTGATAACCTAGTGTGGAATCTTTCTCCATTCATCCATCAATTCCGAGGTCTTCGTGAAGTTCTGGATTCGAACTTTGACTGGCAAGCATTTTCCGAGAAAACATTTTGGGGCCGCGCACTAAAATGCACTAAATACCGTCATCCGCCTTTTTGCACAAAAATCATTTTGTTTTGCAACTTTAGCTATTTTTTTACTGACTTTTGCGCAATTTCTACTCGTACTTTTGCTTTCTACATTGTTTTTAAAGCAATTACTGTTTCATTATAGAGCTCAACTTTATTTATCATTTTATCTCTCAAAACTTACCTCTACTTTAAAATATTTTTCAGGATGAAGTTTTCGTGCAAGGTGGCAAACTGTTTCTAGCCAACAGATAAGGGGATTTTCGAAAACACTGCATGCGAAGGCATTCAACCAATGAGTTCTCAGAATTGAACGAAGAGAAAACAGCTGCACCGTTTGTGATTGTCAATCATGAAGTTGAAGTTCAATCATGAAGTTCAATTGAAGTCCCTTCAATTGAGTCCCTTCCACCCCATCAAGGAAAGTTCAAACATGAGGTCAAGAAGGGTTCTATTAGCTGCAATCTCTATTCAATTCTCTTCATGACTCATGAATTTCTTGCACAGCATCACTCCGAGGCACACAGCAATGATCCAATGATACAATTTACTCTCACAATTTCTTGTATCTTTTTTCATCCGATCTGCGAGCAGATAACATTGTGGAACTGAAATTCGGTTATGATTTCAATAATTGACAGCTTTTTTCACCAAAATCGCCGCAAAAGCAGCCATGACGATTCCGACAGCATCAGAGGTACACGCGACAGCCAATGAGAATTCCCGAACATCGGATGGAACCTGCAAAAACATTTTAGTCTGGATTCTCTTAAACCTAGATGGATTTCCTGTAAAGTTACCGTTTTGTGAATGTGATTCAAAGTCTTGGCAAGACTCGATCCACCATAAAGACCCGCCACAAAGATGATGACGAAAGCGATTAGAATATGGGGAACAAACGCGAGAAGAGCCTCGAAATAGAAAAAGATCGCGTTTCCGATCTAAAAACTTATTTTGCTTTAAATTTTCGTAAAGATTTAAATATTTTTCAGACCAAGAATGAACCTGCAACACCGGTAACAAGTAAAGAACCCAAACGGGAAAGTCGAGGAGACCAAGCGAAGATTTTGAGATAAACGAGCCGGTACGGTAGATGAACTGAATCAAAATTGAGATTGGAAAGCTCCTAACTAGAAAACTTTTCAGATCCCTCCAAAAAACTGCACAAAAAACAGCTCAAAGACAACCAGCTGAATCTGGAATCATTTGTTCCGATTAGTCAGCTCATCAATCAAAAAGGTCACGTTTTGAAGGTTCAACTTCCATAAAAAAAACCCTCTAAAAAGCTTAAACTACAGGAAAGAATGATGCAATTTCTGCAAACTTTTCTTTTCTCTCAATTCTTTTAAACGACCAGTTTGTACCACAATTCAGCAATTTTTTTTGTGTGTCTATCTCTTCCTGCGAACTTTATCCTCTAAATGCTTTTTTCCTTACCTGGAACCACCGATATTGACTTGTTTTTGAGAGATGGAGACCAGTGGAACAATCAAAGACAACCAGTTGGATCTGGAAACATTTGTTCTTGTTTTTTCAAGTCAACTCACAAATCCTTGATTAATCATGTATTCTGCCAGGTAGATACACATCAAAGGAATCAACCAACGAAGCAATGGCTAAAAGATTGAAAGATTGAAAGATTTGATTGAAGATTTGAGTAAAAGCTAAGACCTGAAAGCCTTTCGCACAACTTCACCTTGATCAAGCACACTTTTTGCCATAAAGTTGTCGGTCTTTGCTCGACTTTCGCATTTTCATTTGAATTTGGCTTTGGTTCATGTGAAGAAGCATCCACAACAATATACTTCTTGCAATAGTGAAAAATATTCTTTGAGTGATCGAGAATCATCCAAAAGGCGACAGCAAAAGCAATTGGGAAAATCTGGAGAGATTTTGTTCTCAACTAATCTCAGAGTTTATACCAGCATCACAAGAAATGCTGTCTTTGGGGAAAGGTTGGCGAGATGAGGCTCGGTGAGGGATGCATACAGAAATGAGCCTAAATAGGGATTTGAGATTTCCGTATTTTCTCTAATACTAGCGCATCCTGAGCGTTTCCTAAATTGCTCGAAATCTCGAAAAGCGCTTATCAGAGCCTATCGATGTGGGGTTGGACATCGATAGGCTCTGATAAGCGTAGCTGATGATGAGACCTTGTGGGGGATTAGAGTGTTGAGCTTCTGTGAAAACTTGAAAACCGTAAAATAGGCATCAACTCGGCTCGGCGGAGTGCACGACTTTTAGAGAAAATACGGTAGTTAAAAAAAATTACTGTCAAAACTGGTTAAGTAAGGATTGATGTTATAGTCAACATCAACTCCAGCAGCCTAATTCATAAAAGATATATGAGCTCCTGTTCTAATGGCTTGTTTACAGTAATCCGATCAATGAAAGGGTTAACCTAAGATCCCGACAGCTCCCGTTCCCGATGTCCAGGCCACCGTTGTAGAATGGGAGAAGTGAGATGAGTAAGAGACAAGTGTCGACTCTCCCACACCGCCCGCTATCGATTGGAGTACGACACCTAAAAGATTCATAAAGATTGGCTTTAGTAAAATTGCCTTAAAAATTGATTACGAGAAGTATCATAACTATAGCTATGAACAAAGACTTAAAGTTTTCCAATTAGATACTCTGCAACACCGACGACTAGTCATTTACTTATGTTTTAAAATCCTCAAGTGCAAACATTCTGATCCCTTTCTGCGAATTTCTTCCTTCCCTCTGCCCCCTCAAGCCTCAGATCTTTTAAGATCTATCTTTAAGATCCAGATCTATCATTTAAGTATCCCAGATCGTTTTATAATGTTACTTTTAATTACTTTCACAATCGTATCGCTCGCGCATGAAATTCCCTACCAATTAAGATTCGGAGTTTTCATCTCTCCCTGTTTTTCAACAATTTCTTGTCTAGCACAATCCTATTTTTCGTATTGAAATTTCTATTGTGAGGCTAGTTTATGATAATTCGTCATTCCGCCCACTTTCATTTTTTGCGCTAAACTCTTTATTGTCAGTACTTTTACGTTGACCCAGAAGTCTTTAGACACTTTTCTACTAGCGTTTATAAATGACAAATTCACCAATTGATCTACAATTGGTTCCATTAGAAATGGCCTACTATTTTCCCATTTTTCTACTTTCTACTATTTTCTATTTTCTAAATATCGTTCGAATCTTATGAAAATGTTTTGTCCATGGTTTTTATAAGGGCGTGAAGTCGGTTAGTCAAAAAAGGCAACAACCCGAAGAACCAATTTAGGCGCTTTCGTCCACAGAAACCGATGTTGCTGTTGATAGATAAAAAATAAAGCACAAAAAAACCTTGTGCCGTGCCGGAAGTGCCGAACGGCTAAGGTATATAGCCGAATTTTCAGAATAATCTGTTCAGCCGATTTCTTTGCAGAGTTTTTTTTATCAAATTTGACGAAAAACGAGTTTTTGCACTCAAATTTACTTGGAAACAGACCAAAATCGGCTTTAAATGATAGAAAAATGAATAATAAACATTTTGTATTTAAAGCCAATTGTAGATCAATTGGTGAATTTGTCATTTATAAACGCTCTAAAGACTTTCAGTCAACCTAATATTTTCCTATTTTTCTCTCTTTTCTATTCCGTGCCAATTTTGTTGGTCCACTTATTCATTTGCTCAGTAAAGTAGATATATAGAGAGATATCATTGATAAAGATATTTAATGGAGAGCTCATTTCCCACCGAAAATCGCCCAAAAGTAACTATCCGCAAAGGCGACAATGAGCAACGCAGCGAATTGCAGACTCACTACACAGAAGTGACGTAATCTGGAAGGAATCTTAACAAGTGTAAAGCAAGTGTAAAGATTACTGATATGAAACTTTTTGAGCCCAGAACATGACGAATATTTTCGCGAGAACACTTGGTAGAATGTCTGCGAGAAGGATGATCCCTGTCGATTGCTTCCCATCACAATGTTTGGTGCCTCGATCAGCCTGAAAGATAAATATCCAGATGAATATACAATTTGTCCAGAAATATTGAACAATATTGAATTTATTGTAAAGTTAATAGTCAATTCATTGTAAAGTCAGTTCAATATTGTAAAGTCTTTTTGTTCCTTTTCATTTTTCCATTGAAAATAACAAATTCACCAATTAACCTTTGGTTTGCTCTAAATAAAAAGCGTTTCTTGTTCAATTTCCCATCTTTTCAAATCAATTTTGGTTCACTTTCAAGCAAATTCGAGAGTGAAAACCCGAGAAAAATAAATGAAACCTTACCGGACAAGTCTCATTGTTTTGTGTCGAGTTCGAGAGTTGAACGATTTGTGAGTGTCGATGCCCTTTATCGATGATATCCCCCGCCGCACTCAGCATCACAATATGGGGAAGATTGTTGCAAATACCGAGAATCCTAAATTTAGTCAATTAATACAATAACCCTGAAGACATTTCAAGTAATCCAACTAAATTTTCCATTATAAACCAATCGAAAGTACAACTCTCTCTCCTCTTAAACACACCAAAAAGCGAAAATTGTCCTGAAGCTTGCTTTCTTTATATCATCGGTGCTCATCCTTGAGATCTGAAGAGGATTTCATAAACAAATCAAGTCAAAACAAGTTCAAGTTCAAGTTCAAAAACAAAAGAATACTTGTAGAAGTGTACTTGTACACGATTCTCCCACTTTATGTACAGTTGACACCAAGTTTTTCAAGTTCTTCAAAAAACTCTCCGTAAAAAGATTATATTTTGAAAAAATTGATCAAATTGCGTGGAGATAGTGCGATGAATTGACAAGCAATAATCTCTCTCCGATTATGTCCGAGACAAAAACTCAGCACACGTTTTGTTGTTCGCTTCTTTCTCCCTGTCTTCTCCTCGTGCAACCATAGAGAACGGATGGATATTTCTCAAATATTTCTCTCTCTAAATAATCAATCACAAAACCCAGCCCACTTGTCGATGCATTTCCGTGAATGGGTCAGTCGTTGATCTTCCAAATGCTGTTTTTTTACGCGATTAATCAAATGTTTGTGCAAAGTTTATCGGGTACATAAACAAGAGTCCAGAAAGAGTCCGTAAACTATATTCTATTGTATTTGATATCATTGGTAAATGGTTGGTGGTTGATAAATGGATAAATGATTTCACAACACAAAGAAAGCAACGATTTCAGAGACAAACGAATAAAAAGAATCGGCTGAGATTGAAACTTTTTGAATCGACGAATTGTTTTATGAAATCCTAAATGGAATTGAGACTTGAGAAGAGAAGAAATGCTGATTTTTTTTTCATCAGAATTTCACTTAGCTTCCCAAATGGTCCTTTCCAATAGGGAAACAAATAAGATATGAAGAGTAGTAGCTTCATACTACTCTTCATATCTTAAATAATGTCTCCTAAATGTCATGTTAAATAGAATTTAATTGAATTTTGATAGCTGGTGGATTTTGGTAGCCAACACTTTCAAAAAATCTCACATTTCGGTTGTTATTTTGCAGTGTTTCAGTGAAATCGGCAAACTGAAAAATTCGACAGCGCTCAGACAGCGCTCAGCTTTCAAAACGTCAATAGAGGATCGGCAAATCCCTTTAACGGATTGAGCTCACCACTTGCATTCTGAATATGCTCATGAACTCATAACTCATGAACACTTTTGTTTTTAAAAATAGTCTACAGCTGGCTGTTAGCCTAAGACTTTGTACTCTTGGTGAAATCTTGATTTGAAATTCGATGGTCCATTTGGCCAAAACTAAACTCGTCACTCACTTCGGCATTAACTTTCCCAGAAACATTTTAAATCAATGAAAATTTACAGAAAGAATGTTTAGATTGTGGACGAATTTGAGGGAAGGAACAAAATGGAGAATTGAGGAGGTTGATTTTTAGCTGAATCAGAATCCGCGTGAGAACCAATCTCAGGAGATTTAAAAGATAACACAAATTTGAGGATAAGAAAGCTTTTGCACAACAGCAAAGTCCAATTCTCAAAGAAAATTCCGCGATCACTTTAGGGTCAATAAGAATAGCGTATTTCCTTTGGTTGTATTCCTCGAAAGAAATCATCAAACTTAGCCAATAGATTTTCGTTTTTCTCTTTTGGATTATCACTTCTCTAAGAAATTTTGTCTAATTTTCAGGGAAATAAACCCTTTGACAGAAAAAAAGACTTGAATCGATTGGTTTTGAACAATTTGAGGGCTTTCTTGATTTGAACAGTCTTTAAGGTGATTTGTCTGGGTTCGGAAAGTAATTCGGGTAATGGGAAAGGCATTTGGGCTTATAAAAAGGTGATTGTTGAGTAAAAATGTTTAAAAGATTTCTCTAACAGGAATATTGTTCCCGGCTGTCATTGCTCCCCTTGACATTAATGGAAAGAGATTTGGTGAACGGCTAAGATTGCCACGGGATTGTCTAGAAAAACTAAGTTTGCCAAGTGACTAGTTGGCTTACCCAAGATTTTGACTTTGTTTTTAGGTACACTACTGGACAATGAAATATCATATTTGAAAAACGATCGTCACTTTCGCGCGTCTGTAGCTCCCTTGTCTTTACCGTATTTCTAAATATTAATATTACCATTGTGTAGCCCTTGAAGAGAGCTTTCAGAAAATGCATAACACTAATAGTTTAAACTCAAAGACAAGGGAGTTACAGACGCGCGAAAGTGACGATTGTTTTTCAAATATCATATTTCATTGACAAACGTATTTCATATGGAATTCGAAGTGCTGAAAGATGATACGATCAAGATTTAAAGGATAAAGGTAAAACGTAAAAAACCCACTCCAAATGCAGTTGAATGTTCATAAGTCTTGCATTCATCCAACATTTCTCGTTTCCGCTCTTTTTTCGAAAGCAATTTTGCGACAAAGAGATAAAGACCAAGCTCAACGCGATTCATTTTTCTTGACACCTCCTGGATTTGATATTTTAAATGATTTTTGAATTCTACTTACATTCCAATATGTATTTGGCACTCCTTCATCAACATTCAATTTCACATTTTGATTACTCCTTTCTCCAATTGCATTGTGGATTTTTGAACCGAATAAATGAGTTGCTTCCATCTAAGCGGTTCCATTCTAAGTTCAGCAAAACTCTAAAAGTTTTCAGAAAGAAAGCAGAATTCAGAAAGCTCAATAACTGCTAGAGAAGACAGTCAATGATACTCGGTCACCTCGATCTCGTTGTCCAAATCTTTCATGTAAAATCGAGTCACCAAATTCAAAGCATCAAGATATGCTCGATTTCTGTTGACAAAATTAGAGATGTTCCCGAATTTCCCTATTGAACCAGTCAAAAGATCATGAAGCTCATTGAAAAGAAAATTAACCGTTTCAACAGCTGAAAGGAATTCTCTAACTTAGGCTTTGTTATCTCACGAGATTTATCGATCGTCTCATTTTTGGCTTCACAAAAACCGAACAGTAGAAAAAATATGCGGGGATTGAAAGTGCGGGGATTGAAAATGTGCTTGAAGGGTAACAACTTTAAGTTGTTAAAGGTAAAGTCTCAGTTTCTTGCCTCGCATTTCATTAACACTCATTTACCAATAAACTTGTGCTGGATCTTATTCTCGACTCTCAATATTTATTCGTTTTTGTCATCGAAAAACTCGTTTCAACAACTTTCTTTTCGAATGGCTCTTCTTTTCTCTTCCGCAGACAGAAAATCGTGAAAGTACTAAAACATTTTTGCCAAAGTTTCCGAATTTCTCGACCTTGTGATCAAATTGAAGAAAATATAATACTCCAAGTAGACTGCATAATGAAATAAATACTTGATTTTATAACCAAAATATAGATTCAGAATCAGCTCTCCAAACCAATAGACTATCTGCTGAATCAATGTCAGTACCGAGTTGCACAGCATCTAAATGAATCACGTTTCACGAATCTTTTGAATCAAAACCAACAAAGTCCTACCTGAATGATCAATAAACGCTCATTTCGTCCAACTTGCTTTTCTCCTCTAAACTGAAAGCTAATCTGAAAGCGAGTCAAAATGAATGCAAAAACCTTAATCAGTCTCCTTCTGGTTACAATATCCAATGAAACCATCAAGAAGCTGGGTATTAGATTGATCCAATTGTCGAAGAGTCGAAACCACGCATAATTTGTATCCATGATCCACTTCTCTGCCACTTGGCCAACAATCCAAAGAAAGAGAGGGATAAAAAGTTGAAAGAACGGTAATTTGAGGGTTTTACGAAAATAGAGACCATCAAAGCAACAAGCAAAGAAACGACTGAAATAAATTATTCTCACTATCATCATTTTTCTGTACAAACCTCACTGAAATCCCCAATTGATAGTATTGAGCCAAATCTCCCATTGTTAGTGAATAGTCTTGAAGAAAACGAAAAATAGCGTGAAAGAAATCGCTCACAAAGGACAATCTACAATGGCTTTATGGGTCTTCATTTGAAAGAAATTTCTCTAACGTAATGTATCCAGTTAGTGGGTTGGCAAAGTAGTTAAATGAGTAAATGAGACCCCAAAGTAGTTTGACGAAATGTTCGATTGAGGTGAATAAGCTGAATTGGTACTTGGTCTTGTTGTGAGTCAGGCATTTAAAGCTAACAAACCGAATTGGCATTGTCAGCTTATTATTTGTCGATGAGCACACAATTGCGAGAAAATTGATTGGGATACTTACGAGAAGAACCTAGATTCGATTGTCTCAAGTTCTCGAAAGCTCAAAACCCCCGCTGTGATGTCACCAATTCGATAAATAGCTTGAATATAAAATTTCTCTTTTACATCAATCTCGTGCCCTGCTTTTCTCAAAGACCAATATCGAGTCTCCATCCAGCGCATGAGATTTGCAATCACTAAAGATTGATGAGTGTTGAGATAGCCGTGAAATCAACTACCGAGCAATGTTGAGGTGATAATGATAACTTGAAATATTTCATTGTAAACTTTCCAAATCCGCGAAACAGAAACTTTCAATCGATTCATTGAAAAATAAGAAATGAAAGGATTTTAATTTGACTGGTTCAGAATGCTGGTAATTTCCACAAAATCTTTATAATTCGGACCGTTAATTACTTGTTGGGCAATTTCTGGTCAAGTGTAATTACTGGTTAGTCATGTTTTCGAGCAAAGAATAGCTGAATGACAAACAATTTCTCTCATTAGATGAAAACTAATGATAGTAGGAGATATAACAATAGCTGGCGCTAACAGTGATCACTTTGAAATGTCAAAAGATAATTGTGGCATCTAACGGTAAAGAAAGATCGTAAAGTATAATAGTCTGTCCACGATTCATGCTCGTTTTACTTTATTCAGCTTGGAATGGAGAAACTCCAGAATTCCTTTATACTGCTGTTGTCTGATCGTTTTTTGAAAAATCGGTACAAGTAATTTGCAATTAAGAAAAAACGGTCAATAAATTACGAGTTTTACAATTGCTGGGTAATTACAGCCAAGCTTTTTCCTGTTTGCTATGGAGAAAATAAAAAAAAATTGATCCCAAGTCTTCTACGCTTCAAAAATTTTATTTTATGTCGTGACCTAATGGATCTAAAATTTGAACTGCTTCTCATCTTTCTTCTTACGTCGAATTTATATTGTAAGTTCAAAGGATTACGGTAGCTAAAACAGGATTACGAAGGATTACGGTAGCTAAAACAAAGCTTAGGGCTAAACTATTATGTGCAGCAATGGTTGGATGAATCGTCGGCTGAATGGGTTGATTGCGGTGAAAATGGTGTGTGTCCTGTTGATCTCACTAAAAAAGCGGCAAAAGTCATTGAAAATTTGATGTACTGGGGTGAGCCTGTGGTAAGTTTAGGTGAGCCATGCTTAAAATCCTCTTTTATTTCCAGGTTGTCGTTTTGAGCCTTTTCATTCAACCATTTGCCATTTTATCTCCAGCTTTCAACAATCGAATAACCACAGCAATCCGGTAATATTAGAATGAACCAAAAGTTTTCTATTTTTTTTTATTAAAACTTTCAACATAAATAAAACAACAGTGAACGGACTCTAAGTTTCGAAATAAAGACTATTCGAATCTATGACTTGAAGCCATCTATCGGCAACTTGGTCGATCCCGCGGCGGTATCACTCCTCGTTCTTAGAGGCGAAAAACTCGCGCCACCCTTTTTCGACTTCGCCCAGATTGTTGATGGCTCGTCCGCAAAGGAAGTGTGCCATGAAAAGATGATAATCGGATGGTGCAAGGTTCGGACTGTACGCTGGATGTGGAAGAAGTTCAATTGAGTCGAGATTTTTGATCTTTTCCTTGGTTCGTCTGACGGTGTGATGTTTTGCATTATCCTGCTAAAGGACTATGCGCTGACCAAAGCGGGATATTTTCCACTAAGCGTCGCATACGTCCGGTCAAGTTAGAGTAGAGGTCGCAGTAGAGGTCTGCGTCGATGGTCCGACCATTTGGAACCAGCTCAAAGTGAATAATGCCTTCGAAATTCCACCAAACACACAATAATCCCTTCCTTGAGAATCGATCACGTTTTGCTACCGGTTCCGCTACTTGCCCGGGATTCAACCACTGACTTTGCTTGTCTGGATTACTAAAATAGATCCACTTTTCATCACGAGTCATAAATCAGCAAATAAAGCGGTCATCGTGCGGATTTTCCAACAGTTTTTGGCAAGTGTCTACACGATTTTGAGCTTGATTTTCCGTTAAATCATGTGGCACTTCTCGGCAGCTTTTGTTGATCTTTTCAAGGGCGTGAAGGTACCGGATAACTGATGCTTGAGAAATATCCAGTTCAGCGGAGAGCCTGCGAGTGCTGGTTGATGGATTGGCTTCAACAGCGTTGCGTAGAGCTTCAGAATCCACAGTAGTTGGCCGACCCAAACGTGGCTGATCTTCGAGACCAAGTTCGCCGTTCTTAAATTTTCAATACCAATATTGTTGGAGATCATTCCTTCACCTTCCACTTGGCATATTTTTTGGCCGCTTCAGTTGCATTGAACCCTTGTTTCCAATAATGGCGCAAAAGTACCCGAATTTCGAATTTTTCCATCTCTTTCCTACAAAGTAAAAAATTAAAAATAAATAATTAAACACACGATAACTTCGTAAAATATGAAAGAGCAAATCAAATGCTACAAAATAAATATGGCACGTAGATATAAAACGAATTTATTAGTTTTAAAAAATTGTTCAAACTTAAAGAGAAAAAAAATAGAAGACTTTTGGTTCACCCTAAAAGTAGCAGTATCAATTTTGACACGTGTTTCAAGTTGTAAGAAATATATGTAGATGTTTTGATCTATATAATGGTTCAATGGTGGTCTTCTTGAAAACGCACAATTTATCCAGCTTTCCCTTATTAGGGCAACTTCGCTCAAACTGGAGCAACTTGGCACTATCACAATTAAATCAACACTTGAATGTGAAAAAAGAATGATAAAGATCAAAAAAGGAGAACAACAAACTCACTCGAAAGCAAAGCTTAATAATAAGTTTTTTAAACAGACAAGCTACAACAACCGGACAGCTGAATATCATTTAGTGACTGATTACGGTAGTTTATCCACCAACTTTGAACTTTAACTTGTATTGAAATTTGACTAACTGCAGAGCAGTGGCAATTCGCCACACAAGTGAAATTTGAACCTTTCAGACTATTCGCAATCAACGAAGGTGTTATGAAGATCCTCTATTTTGGAAAATTTGTCTCGTCAACCAATATGTGTCAATACTTGCACAGCCTGGCTAAATCCATTAAGTGTAAGGGTGATCTATATGATACTGTCAGCGGTATTCTCAACTATTTACCACCCTACTACGTCTCGTTCGATTTGGCAATCTACAGTCAAACAATGATCTCCATCAGGTCAAAATTGAAAGCAATAAAACCAAAGTCAAATTTAGTCGCTATTTGGCTGTCTCTTTCGATGGTCTCCTTTTCCGCTATTCGACTAAATGGCCATTTCTACAATTGGCTATCCCATTTTTGATTCGATACGCTTTCCTGAAATACGATGAATTGGTTTGGGATCAAGGATTCAATCCAAATTCTTTTATTCATTCTATCCAAATGTTTCCCCAATTTCTGATGTGTGCTCTCGATTTGATGACATGGAGACGGATCAGAAAGGTTTTTTTGCGATTCGTTTGCTCTTGAGATGTGGGAATTCAGTTGAATCGAGATGGGAAAGTCTCGCGAGCTGAAAATTTACTCATGACCCAGGTATTAGGATAAAAATATTATAAGAAGTGCAGCTAACAAGCATTTCTAGATGCTTTTCAACACATTCGCAGTAATGGGCGTTATTTTGTTCAATGGATTGGGTGCTTTCGTGGCTTCTTACTTTGGACTCAACATTCGCGGAATGATTCCAGAACTTTTTGGCAAACTGCAGCTAATCGTAGTCCTTATCGGTACCAGGTGATTTAGAAAATAAGTCTGTTAAAAGTTTCTTTCCTTAGAAAAATAAGTCTTTTCAAGGTTTCTTTCATTTCAGCTTGATGAATGCCATCTTTCTGCACAAACCGAGAGAGAAAACGAAAACGAATGGAAAAATCGTACAAGTCACCAAGACAAATACAAAAGATAGCGATTGACCTTGCATTTGACTTCAGTTTTAGTGTTTTTGTACTGATTTTGTGATAATGCTTTAACAATTTCTCAACTGGAACAACCTTTGTCTTCTTTTGATTTGTGCTTCTTTGTGCTTGTCGGTGATCTGATTGATCTTTTGGGTCTTTTGGGTGAATTGAGCTGAAATGAACCTTTGATCGAATGTATCTATTGCTTATCTATTTCTCAATAAACTTACACTTCGATCGCTTGACTGAGGAACTTCTGCTGGCTTGCATCAGGTTGGACATTCTCCCGAAGCGATTTCATCAGCAGAATTCCCTGATCTCCATCATTCTCAGAGATTCCTTGAATTTCATTGCTTCTCCCAATCGCATCCCATATTCTTCAGCAGATTCGGTGAGCATTTCCTCCATTTGACTGTCATTCAATTGAATGCCCATCCTCACGAGGAAGCCTAGAAAACGGATCAAATAACTTTTCAAAATTGTTTTCATGTTTTAAATAAAATGTTTAAGTTAAACTAATACTAAGGACTAATAGCAAGATGGATTGGCTTTGATTCAAAAGTTACCGTCGTTTTCGTGTAGAGAGGAATAGAATGTGAACAGCTTTCATTGTGATCCTCGCTAGATCAGAAAGCATGTTTCTTTGCTGTGTTGACCTCATTTCAGCAGCATAGATCAAATCTTCCTAAACGATTTCAATCAAATTTATAGAACTCTTTGGATATGAATGGGATTCAATAAAAGTTCAAATCCGAGCACAGATCAACGCCTTGTTCACAAATATAAAAGGCTTCAATATCCTGTAATCCAATAGGCCAGTTTCATTTCCCGATGTCTCCTGTTCACTTTTTTCCTCTTTGTTCACTTCCTTCAATCATTGTGTCACAGGAATGCTCATCCGGGCTCCCAGCTTTTTTCGGTAATAAAAATGTTAAAGAGAAGGAATATGATGAATTTATCTACTTTCTGATAATACTTCTTATTTGCAGAGTGTCAACAAGTGTCTGGTGTGTATCAATGCGTTCAAGATATGACACTAGGCTGTGAGCTTATCGATGGAAACTATTATTGCTGTAAGTTTCAAATATGCTTTAAATGCATGTCTAGTGTTTTCTTGTTGCTAAGTAGATCAAATAATTAACTATCTAGATAGCTTTTCTTAAAGGGGGGAGGTATTAATCGCGACCGGGTGACCATAATAATTTTTTTACGGCAACCACCTGTTTTTTTTATTTTAATATCGCTGATTTTATTATAAAAAGAATAAAAATCACCCGGTTAGAGTGATTTGATGGGTTTACAAATTTTTGGAGACGCTGCAAGGCTCGCGTAGTTCATCTACAAGGTAAGTGCGAAAGTAAAGCAAAAGTCAGGCATTATGTTTTCACCAGAAGTGACTGGATCTCCTCCACCGTAGGACGTCTTCAGCGCTTTGATTGACACAATTAGATATTTTTTTTCCATTCGATTGTGGTTTTCTTTTTTCCGTAAGATAAGCTCCCTTGGCTTTCGAAAAACAACGGTAGCTAGATTCTATTTGGCGCTCTCCTGCCATCTCGGCTTGAATCTTTGTATTATGATCCAAAACTGCCAGCATAGTCCTAGTCCATAGTTTAAGTAAATTCTCGGAAAGCAATAGAAACTTACCCTAATAATCCTAACTTTAGGCCCTCTCCCTGTACCAACTACTCCAGCCACCAACACCAACGAAACATGTAACTCTAATGATAAGTGTAATTGTAACTGCAATTGCAACTGTAACTGTGCTGCAATTCAGTCATAAAAAGTTCTTTGTTGTATAATACGTAAAAAGATTGTTTGATCCAATTTGTTTGTCGTTCATCAAAAAAGAGGATTTATCTCGGTCGATATCTGTAAAATACGGGCACGGCCACTTGACGCCAATGGTGATTCCAAAAGCCATAACCATTATCCTTGTCTCGAATCAGTGCATTACGTGTCTCTGGCAGAAGGCAGCCAGCCGTGTCATAAACCTAGACATTAGACATGTTTTAGTCGATCGGTCTTTTCCGTTTTTTAACCGGACCGGGCCAGCCAGGCTGACCTGTCCGATACAAGTCTATTAAACAACGACAAACAAAAGTGTATCACAAGTCCGGTCAAGCAACCCTACACAAACCCACGATTCGGGATTGTACCATCCATAGTTGTCAAGACATTTCCCGGAATTGACTCCTTCCGACAAAAGAAAGCATATTACCAAATAGATAGGACCCATCATTTGCTAAAATTGAAAAGCTTAGCTGAAAGATATTCCGCCGAAGGAACTGACTATAATGACCATTAGAATTTCCGTCGTCCAAATGGCTAGTGTTCTTTGTGTTGCTTTTGCAACTTCTTGAAGTCCGAACTAAAGCTAAAGCTAATTTGATAACTTCTTGCAAATATTTGTGCCTTTGAAAATATACAGTCGAACATCAAATAATAATTTTGAGATCTGTTTTGCAATGCTTGAATGTTCAAAATATTTACACGGAGCCAGAAAAATACAGTGCTCCAACTAATTATAGAGCCACTTACATTTTTTAAAACTCAGTAGCGACTTTGAAGCGAAATCAATTAAATTCAACTTTGGTCAGTAGAGAATTTTTGTACTGATCTTTTCTATTCATTTTTATTTAGAAGTTGCTAACCGTCGTGACGCTTTATCTTTAAATTCAAAAAAATGACACTTTTCCGCTCCAACTAATTATAGAGCCACTCCAAAAATATCAAGAAATGTTTATAAGGATAACAAGTAAACAGGTTAAATGACAAATCAATAATCAATAGCCTCACCATTAAGTTTTATAATCTGGAAAATTCGAGTATCCATGCTTGAAATGAGGTTCTCGATGATTTTTTGATCGATCGTATGCCAAGTATTTATAATCGCCCTTTTCAATTCTTCAAGACCTGCGTATTGTCTGTTATTTTCGTAAATTCGACGTGCTAGTATTCCCCAAATGTTCTCCATCGGATTTATATCGGGCGAATTTGGCGGCCAATCAAGAAGTTGAATTTGGCGCCTCCGGAACCAGCCTCGATTACTTTCACTAACGTGAATTGGCGCATTATCCTGCATGTAAATAAAATTTTGAGTGGAATTCTTGCGATAAAATGGCAACAGACCTCGTCGGAGTATCCACTGATACCTTTCGGAATTGATTTTCTTTGGGACAAACGCTAATTCGATCCTTCCAGTTGATGTGAAGCACCCCCAGACCATTACGCCTCCACCGCCAAAATTTCGTCGTGAAAAAAGCTTTGGTTCTTTTCGGATATCGTGCCAATATGCTTTGAAACCATCGCAACCATCAAGATTGAATTTTTTTCATCGCTCCAGATTACCTAAACTATGAAACGTAAGAAAAATTCAACTTGGTGCTTTTGCTAACCTTAGACCAATCCTGACGCATGTTTCTTTGACAAAATTTCAAACGTTTTTCTTTATTTTGAGCGGTTATCGTTGGAGCACGCCTCATTTTCCTACGCCTGATGAATGGATTTGCGTGGATAAGTCTTCGAATCCATTGGATTGAAATTGTCAATCCCAATTCTCGTTTGATTTGGCGACATGTAATTGTGCTGTTGGAAGCCACTCGCCAAATTCGCCTTTTATCTTGGTCTGATACTTGCGGAATTCGTCCTGTTGATTTTCTAGTGCCATATATGGCTGGATCAGTAAGGTAACTATCAACGAGGTGATGACTTCTACCCAAAACTCGAGCAATTTCTCGATTACTCCTTCCAGCGTGGTTATATGCTTCGATCTGTCCTTTCTCGAAATCGGAAAGCGTTCTACCTCTTGCCATAACTAAAAATAACTTAATAAAGTAAAGTCAATCGAATTATAAATAAATGGAAATGAAAAAAAAACAATTACAAACAAAAATCAGAGTGGCTCTATAATTAGTTGGAGCGGAAAAGTGTCATTTTTTTGAATTTAAAGATAAAGCGTCACGACGGTTAGCAACTTCTAAATAAAAATGAATAGAAAAGATCAGTACAAAAATTCTCTACTGACCAAAGTTGAATTTAATTGATTTCTCTTCAAAGTCGCTACTGAGTTTTAAAAAATGTAAGTGGCTCTGTAATTAGTTGGAGCACTGTACTTAAAAAGAGGTAATTGCTCTAGGCTCTAGACATAAATTAAAGTTGAGATAAAAATTGGGCTGGTAATTTGCTGAAAAGTCAAAGATTTTTATGTGCAATTAGTAAATCGACTATTTTCTGATCCTTCTTAAAGATTTGGCTCGGTTTTCTTGATTTGATGAAGAAAATTCTACCCGATTGTGGGATTAACTGTGAGGTTGGCTGGCGTGAAATCACTCCACCAAAACACGCATCATCGAATTTTTTCAATCACTACCAGCTTTGCTTCTTTCGGTATTGTCGATTGTATAGCGATGAGACTGATCTTCTTTCACTTTTATCTTTTTCTTTGGTGAGTTGACATAAGTTTTAGCCAGGTAGCTAGGTAAAAGCCATTCTGATTAGGTATACCGTATTTCTTCGAATAGAAGACCGGGTAAAGAGTATCATCGCGTACTCCTGCATAGCAGCCCTTTTTAAAATTTCTTTTCTGCATAAAAGCTTTCAATCAAGTGCTATAGGGCTGGAAAATGGCTCAAAAATACCACATGAGCTAACAGATTTTTGAGCCATTTTCCAGCTCTATAGCACTTGATTGAAAGCTTTTGTGCTAGCTCTGTTATCTGTTAGCTCATGTGGTATTTTTGAGCCATTTTCCAGCTCTATAGCACTTGATTGAAAGCTTTTATGCAGAAAAGAAATTTTAAAAAGGGCTGCTACGCAGGAGTACGCGATGATACTCTTTACCCGGTCTTCTATTCGAAGAAATACGGTAACTCATAGGCAGCAGCCACTCTGCTTTCAAAACAATGCGCAATAACAAAAATCGAATTCAGTTTGGTGTAATAGACATGGTGGTTAGTTTGGTGGCTTTTCGACTGGTTCTCAATAATTCACGGGTTGGCCGTTCCGTCAAATGGTTGTTACTCGCAAATGTTGCACTTCGATTCTCAAGGGGACCGGCTGAGCTCTACTTTGCCTCATGTCTCGTGCAGTGAGTTTTCTTTACAGGGAATTGAATGAAGGAATTGAATTAGATCAAAAATACCTGTCAAAACAAACGAAGCAAATCAAATTGGTTTGTATTGACTTGCAAAACCTTTCTACAGGATGCGTAAAAAGTTCGCGGAATCCAATCGCGCATGCTTTTTTAGGATTGTAGTTTGCTGACCTGATAACTTTTTATTTTTTCAGTAATTATTTTGTTTTTTGCGTTTTATTTTATTAATTTCTTTCTTAACATAACGATTTAGATGGCTCACGCGTGGAATCTTCGACCAGACATTGAGCGTCTATCGAAGTCCGGAGTAGGACCGTTAGCAATCGCCGAACAACTCAAAATTCCAAAGAGCATGGTTTACGATTGCCTGAAGAGGATCAAGCTTACCGGTTCGGCAAACGATCGCCCATGTTCTGGACGGCCAAAAACAGCCACTACTCCAGGAATTGTGAAACAAATCCAAGAAAGGATCCGATGGAACCCAAGAAGGCCGATGGAGTAAA